GTGTCGTTTTAAAATACTCTGATCCATACAGAACGGCCTGACGAAGCGGACATCACAGAACTACATCTGAGATCCGTTCGAGTAATGTCTGGTCCACACAGTCGACAGAGCAGCATTCTCGCTACGCGCCCTGCTAACAGACAGCGATGTTCATCGCACACTTAAACACTTTAAATTCTCAGGACTGGAATGTAGCAATAATATTTTGCAGAATCAAATTCAGCGTGATGGGATTGTATTGTTTTTGGTGCAGCCATTGGTTAATGTCCAAATGTTCTACACTGTGCCGTCTGTTATGGAATGAGCACGACTGGAGAGTTTTGACTTTTACATCTTGTGCGCGCTGTGATGAAGGGCCATTGCCCGAAACGTCGCCCATCATATATATTTCCATTTAAGGCCACAGTGCGTATTGATGTGTTGTGTGTGTGTTGAGCGGTGTAAACTTAGTAGCCGGGGATATCCGATCGCAGAAGTATTTAATCTCTTTAAATGATATCGGTTCCGTGACGTGACTATTTTGGGGACGGTGGCGTGGGCTCAGCGGTATCGCAATTGAAGAGATTCGCGGTTCGAATCCGCCTGGCCACCCAGGACAATCCTGCGAGGTGTGTGAGTGTGGGGTGGGGGGGCAGCGGTGGCGTAGCGGTGAAGCACCACGCCGCGACTACGAGCCCGAGGCCCTAGTTGGATCCCCGCACGCGGCCCCCGCCAGCACACGTGTGGCCGTCAGCCGAACCGGTCCTGGGCCCCTCCCCCTGTAGGTCAACTCTGCCTCAGTGCGGGGTGCAGCAAACATCGCCGCTAGGGAGACAAAGGCGGACGGGGCGTGGTGGTGCTGGCCACCAACCCCGTCATGTGCAGTGCCAGCCTTCATCGGTGCTGCTACTCACTAACAGCACTTGCCCCAACAGTCTGTTGAGGCTACACGGGGGATATTTGTCTTGTATTAAACGTAAATAAAATACAAACTACTACGAAGATTTGCGCTTTGCTTCGTACGTACGAGTGTGTGTTGAACTTCTATCGCACCGTACGTAGCCAACCGTGCTGTGTGTGTTGAACTTCTATCGCACCGTACGTAGCCACGCGTGCGAATCGGAGGTGCGGGGGGGTGTACGGAGGTCCCCGTGTGATGTGGCAGTGGTCGCCACTTCGCCAACAATCACGAGCCGCGAGCCGCGAGCCAGACTCGACTCGCTCTTTGTGTCACCCGGTCAGGCCCCGCTGAGCTGTGGAGCTCCTTGTTCAGAAGCAACCGGCTCAGCGAAGTGGCTCATCATCATCATCAGCGTGGACATTTACAGCAGGAGCCAAATACTCTAAACGCGTGTCGTTCATTCTAAACGTGGAGGGGAAAAACCGCAGGACACGTGAAAAATCTACGTGACCACGGGGAGAGAGACACGCAAACTCCAAATATACAGCAGCAGGCGTCAGGGTCGCGATCGAACCCACGACCTCCTGCATACCAGGCGAGATAGTTAACATCTCCTAGCCACCGTGATGATGATGAGAGAGAGAGACACGCAAACTCCAAATACACAGCAGCAGGCGACTGGGTCGCGATCGAACCCACGACCTCCTGTGTACCAGGCGAGGTAGTTAACATCTCCCAGCCACCGTGATGATGATGAGAGAGACACGCAAACTCCAAATATACAGCAGCAGGCGACAGGGTCGCGATCGAACCCACGACCTCCTATAGACCAGGCGAGGTAGTTAACATCTCCTAGCCACCATGATGATGATGAGAGAGACACGCAAACTCCAAATATACAGCAGCAGGCGACAGGGTCGCGATCGAACCCACGACCTCCTGTGTACCAGGCGAGGTAGTTAACATCTCCTGGCCACCGCGACGCCTCAACCCCACAAGCGGCATCGCGTGCGCTGCTGGCCGACTTTGCCCGCCTGTGACGCGCAGCCGCAACCTCTTCCGTGATCGCCCTGGGCCACGAACGAATGGCGCCTGGCACCAAATGTGCACAAAGTTAGTGAATACTGGGGTGGGTGAGTGGGTCAGTGTGTGGGTGAGTGGGTGAGTGTGTGGATGAGTGAGTGGGTGAGTGAGTGGGTGGGTCAGTGGGTGGGTACTTTGGTGGGTGAGCTAGTGGATGAGTGAGTGGATGAGTGAGTGGATGAGTGAGTGGGTTAGTCAGTGGGTGGGTACTTGAGTGGGTGAGTGGGTGAGTGAGTGGATGAGTGAGTGGATGAGTGAGTGGATGAGTGAGTGGGTCAGTGTGTGGGTGAGTGGGTGAGTGTGTGGTGAGTGTGTGAGCTAGTGGATGAGTGAGTGGATGAGTGAGTGGGTGGGTCAGTGGGTGGGTACTTGAGTGGGTGAGTGGGTGAGTGAGTGGATGAGTGAGTGGATGAGTGAGTGGATGAGTGAGTGGGTCAGTGTGTGGGTGAGTGGGTGAGTGTGTGGTGAGTGTGTGAGTGAGTGGATGAGTGAGTGGATGAGTGAGTGGGTGGGTCAGTGGGTGGTTACTTGAGTGAGTGGATGAGTGAGTGGGTGGGTGGGTCAGTGGGTGGGTGAGTGGATGAGTGAATGGGTGGGCGAATGGGTGAGTGGGTGGACGGCATCACTCTTGTTGTTCAGGATCTCGATGTCCCAGTGTGGAGGTCGTGCTGCTGCTGCCATTCTGAGAGAGCTTCAGCAGACAAAGACCCCCGTATAGCCTGTAACAGACTGTCGGGGCAAGTGCTGTTAGCGAGCACCTATGAAGACCGGAACGGTACACGAGGGGGTGGGTGGCCAGCACCACGCCCGACCGCCTTTGTACTCATTTCAGGCTGAGTCGACATAGGGGAGGTCCAGGACCGGTCAGATAATCGTCACTGATGTTGACCGTGAGCGGGAATCGAACCCGGGTCGCCAGGTTCAATGCGCAGCGTAGTGCTAACCGCTGCGCCACCGTTCCTCCTCCTCCGTCGAAGGAACGCACACCACAGTGGGTTTACAGAATCAACTCTTTATTCGGACTGGAGGAGGAATCCGATAAGCTACGAAGCTCTTCTTCACAGATGCTCAGTATTTACTGTGTGGTCCATAGTTTGGGTTGCAAGGCCACAGTCACTCTGCTGTGGCCTGTCTTTAATGTATCTCTATGGGTCTCAATGTACTGCATATATATGGGTGTATATGTATCTCTAAGTGTATTCATGTATCTCTGAGTGTCTTTATGGATCTCTATGTATGTTTATACATCTTAGAGTCGATATGGGTCTCTCTGTGAGACTGACTGAGATGACTGGCAGATGCGCCACCTGTGCCAACTTGCTGTGTTTTATCCGCCCGGCGCTCCGCTCGTTGTTGTGAGTGAGCTCCTCTGCCCTCCGCTGTTGTTGCTGGAGGGCGACTGCCCCCAACTGCCCAGCGGCAGCAGCAGCGTCCTTCACGAGCCTCCTCCTCCACAGAGGCCGATCTTGACACCGCTGGTGACACCGCTCATCGGCCAGTCCACTCAGCTCCACGTCAACGCACACACAGCCACGAGGGGGCGCGCCAGGCTCAAATATCCCCACCGCCACGCGACAAAGACAAAGGAGCCGCGTGTAGCCTCAACAGACAGCAGGGGCAAGTGCTGTCAGCACACGACTCCAATTTTATACTCGCGCATAATGCCAGCAGCAGCAATGTCCCGAAGCAGAAGATTAGTGCTGCATACACAAGCAGTCACATTTGCAAATGTGACTGATAATGTAGTTACTACGGCACTGATATGTAGCTACTACGTTACTGATAATGTAATTACTACACCACTGATAATGTAGTCACTGGTAATTTAGCTACGACGTAACTGCCACCACGACACTGTTCAACCATCACCACACTTGCACATCACAACAACACACTCATCAACTCATTCACCCACTCACTCACTCATCAACTCACTCACCCACCGACTCATCCACTCACTCACTCACTCATCAACTCACTCACCCACTCACTCATCCACTCACTCACTCATCAACTCACCCACCCACGCACTCACTCATCCACTCACTCACTCATCCACTCACTCACCCACTCACTCACTCATCAACTCACTCACCCACTCACTCATCCACTCACTCACTCATCAACTCACTCACCCACTCACTCATCAACTCACTCACCCACCCACTCATCAACTCACTCACCCACCCATTCACCCACTCACTCACTCATCCACTCACTCACCCACCCACTCACCCACCCACGCACTCACTCATCCACTCACTCACTCATCCACTCACTCACCCACTCACCACACTGCAGGTCACCTCCACTTATCTCTCTGCTTCTTCCCTCGCCACTGTTCCACTCTGGAGAAATCCCCTCCTCCTACCATCATCATCACCACCATCATCATCACCAACATCATCATCACCACCATCATCACCATCATCACCACCACCATCACCACCACCACCATCATCACCACCACCATCATCATCACCATCATCACCACCATCACCACCATCACCATCATCACCATCATCATTACCATCATCATCACCATAATCACCACCATCATCACTATCATCATCACCATCATCATCACCACCATCATCATCATCACCACCACCATAATCACCGCCGCCATCACCACCATCATCACCGCCATCATCACCATCATCATCACCATCACCACCACCATAATCACCACCATCATCACCATCATCACCACCATCATCACCATAATCACCACCACCATCTATTTTCTCCACAAGCCCTTCCAACAACGACTAACCTCGCTCCATTCACCAACCCGCGTCACAACTCTCATCTACCTACAGCTGTGGTGATCGTGCTGCCTGTTTCTGGCCGTTCGGCGTTGTGCGCGGGGCCTTATTGGGAGCCCTGTGCTCGGACAATTTGTGTTCACAGCGGACACGGCGGACACAGCGGTGGTGAACAAACCCCAACCTTCTACGCAAACACTCACACACCCGCGCGCGCATTGTGCAGCCCTGTGTGTTTAGAGCGTAGTCTGAAATCAAGAGGGGGATTTTAAAGAGTTTATGAATATAGAAGAAGAGGAAAACCCAAAACATTTGGAACCATTCCCATCTCAAAAGCGCATTCCAGGAGGAGAGCGAGGCGACGCGAACTGACAACCAACAACAATAACAATATTAGATATAGTATAACAGACAAGGTAACCTCTCTTAATGTATTAATAATATACACTTACTGTTCACACTGATGGTTGCCAGTCATAGATATGCGTTGGGTTACTGAACATCCTCCGGCTAGGTTCTGTACCACATTACGATCCACCATACCACATCTCTCTGCTTTGTATGTGTGCATGTTGAACTTTTTTCGCACCGTACGTAGCCAACCGTGATAATCAGAGGTGCAGGGGGTGGGGGTAAGGACAACAAACTAAACACACTCGAAGCAAGTTTTCCGGCAGGAACGCATCCTGCGCGTTGAGCGGGGTTTGCCTGCGGTCGACGTAGCAGCGCTGCACAACTCAAAGAACAACACCCCCCCCCAGCTCCACCCCCCCCAGCCCCCCCCCCAGCTCCCCCCACAGCCCCGCCCCCCAGCCCCCATGAGTGAAAGTAGCGAAGTGGTAATGCAGCAGCAGAGGCAATTACACAATCCATGCAAGCGCGGCACGCGTTGAGAGCGACCTCCCGTTGGTGGGTGGCCCTGTAATGGGGGGGGGGGGGGGCGAGAAACGTCGCGGACACCATTAGGGGTCGTCATCACCATCGGCGTCCACCAGCGCTGTCGTCATGGAGAGAGCAGCATCAGAGTCGATCGCGGGCGCGGCGATGATCATTACCCAGTGGGAGTGAATCGTGAGACAATCGTCAACAGAATCGTCACGCTGACACGTCGTCACGTCGCAAATCGAGCTACTGCGTAGGCAGCATGTTGTGGCCGCTGTGGTTCCTAATGCTCTGGGACGAGGTCTCGTTCAGTCGCAGTCCGCCACTGACTACGCACGTGCAGCAGTGGCGTGCGTAGTCAGGTCAGTGGCTGGGAGGCACTGGCTCGTGTCAGAGCCAGATACACACACAGAGGGGGGCGTGTCCTCGCTGAGGGGGCGTGGCCTCACTGATGGGGCGTGACCTCACTGAGGGGCGTGTCCACACTGAGGGGGCGTGGCCTCACTGAGGGGGCGTGGCCTCACTGAGGGGGGGTGGCCTCACTGAGGGGGGCGTATCCTCACTGAGGGGGCGTGTCCACACTGAGGGGGCGTGGCCTCACTGCGGGGGGCGTGTCCTCACTGAGGGGGCGTGTCCACACTGAGGGGGCGTGTCTTCACTGAGGGGGGCGTGGCCTCACTGAGGGGGCGTGTCCACACTGAGGGGGCGTGGCCTCACTGATGGGGCGTGGCCTCACTGAGGGGGCGTGTCCACACTGAGGGGGCGTGGCCTCACTGAGGGGGCGTGGCCTCACTGAGGGGGCGTGTCCTCACTGAGGGGGCGTGGCCTCACTGAGGGGGGCGTGGCCTCACTGAGGGGGCGTGTCCTCACTGAGGGGGCGTGGCCTCACTGATGGGGCGTGGCCTCACTGAGGGGGCGTGTCCACACTGAGGGGGCGTGGCCTCACTGAGGGGGCGTGGCCTCACTGAGGGGGCGTGTCCTCACTGAGGGGGGGGTGGCCTCACTGAGGGGGGCGTATCCTCACTGAGGGGGCGTGTCCACACTGAGGGGGCGTGGCCTCACTGCGGGGGGCGTGTCCTCACTGAGGGGGCGTGTCCACACTGAGGGGGCGTGTCTTCACTGAGGGGGGCGTGGCCTCACTGAGGGGGCGTGTCCACACTGAGGGGGCGTGGCCTCACTGAGGGGGCGTGGCCTCACTGAGGGGGGCGTGTTAGACACGTCCCCCTCAGTGAGGCAGATGTGATAGCTGCCTCCCCTGGTGCTTTTTCGTTGCAGTTTCATGACGAGACCAACGAGCCTAAATATCTTTATACACGCACGTGAAATAAGTTACCTGGAGTATGGAAGGCGAGGATATGAAATGAAGAGGTCTACAAACATTACATTGGTGACATACTGAGATAGTGACAGGCACGCGCTTATTGCCCGCGCTGCTTCCAGTTTCTGAGGGGTTGCGCAATCAGAGGGGAGGCTGAGCGCAGTGCTGCCTCACCTCTCGTCTCCTGTATTTGCAGCGGAGCTCCGCAAATTTGGCGATTTTGACTATGAAAATGCTTGGAATCGTACAGAAATGACATTTATAACAGAGATCAGTAGGAAAAATCTTAATATATATTTTATTTGATTATTCTTTATTTTTTACTTTTCGTAACAGCTATTTACATTGGAGTACGGCAGGTGAGGCTCTGCCTCCCCTGCCTCCCCTGACCGCACGCCCCTGGTACGTGCGTGTGTGTATGCATGTTGAACGTCTTTTGCACCGGTACGTAGTGAACGGTAACCTCCCTACCGTGCGGTAGCGGCGGCGGCGGCGGTGGCGTCGGGGGGTGGTGGTGGTGGTGGTGGCGTCGGGGGGTGGTGCTGGTGGTGGTGGTGGCGATGATCGTTGTGGTGGTGGTGGTGGCGATGATCGTTGTGGGAGTCGCTCAGCAGAACTGCCGAGTCTTCCAGGTTTGCTGCGTCACGTCGATGGGCGGGAACCAGCGCATCTGTGACGTCATGGGAGGTGGAGGGGCGGGGCGGGGAAAATGGCGTCCAGTCACCCCCACGGCCACGCGGCACAAAGCTCGCTTGGCAGAGGCCTGGTTGTTTTTTTGATTGTTTCGAGTAATAAAAAAATGTTGATGACAAGCTAGACTATTTTAAGAAAATGTGTTTTATTTTACCAGGTAAAGGCCCACTGAACTATGTAGCTTTTTTCAGAAGTGACCTGGCTATCACAAATCATAGCCCAAGCAAGTGGCTTATCATCATCATGTTGAAATGTATCGCAGCCAATACTCTGAACGCGTGATGTCAATCCTAAATGTGGAGGGGGAAAACCGAAGGGCCCGGAGAAAAATCCAGCGACCACGGGGAGAGAGACACGCAAACTCCAAATATACAGCAGCAGGCGTCAGGGTCGGGATCGAACCCACTAAATTCTGCATAGCCGGCAAGGTAGTTAACATCTCGCCACACTCACACACTGTAGCTCCTCACACTTCGTCTCTTCCTATCATCATCATCATCATCTCGCAGTTCGCCGAACACGACTGTGAAACTTTTACGCCGCTTTAAAAATGCACGCGGTCGGCCTCCCCCCCCCTCTCTCTGTCTCCATCTCATCCGGGAATGGCTTTTAGTGCGGGCAACGCAGCCTCCAGTATCGCCCCGCTGAGATCGCGCACGCAAAAGACAAAGATCCCCCATGTAGCCTTTAGACTGCTGGGGAAAGTGCTTGCTACTAACGAGGGGGTGTTGTGGCCGGCACCACGCCCCGGTCTGCGCGCTTGACGTGGACCCACGGACGAGGCGCGGGCAGCGAGGGAGTGCAGGAGCGAGAGAGTGGGTGGGTGAGTGGGTGAGCGAGTGGGTGAGTGAGTTGGTGAACGAGCGGGTCAAGGTGTGAGAGAGTTTATGTGAGAGTGGGCGGGTGAGCAAGTGGGTGAATGAGTGAGTGAGTGGGTGAGCGAGTGAGCGGGTGAGTTAGTGAGTGAATGAGTGAGTGAACGCGTGGGAGCGAGTAGGTGAGTCTCTGTGAGAGTGGGTGGGTGAATGAGCCAGTAAGCGAGTGAGTGAGCAAGTGGGTGAGCGGGTGCGTCAATGATTGGGTGAGCATGCAGGCGAGTGGGAGAGTGTGTGAGAGCATCTCTGTAAAAGCGGGTGAGTGAGCGAGCAGGTGACTGAGTGGGTGAGTGAGTCTCTGTGAGAGCGGGTGGGTAAGTGAGTGAGTTAGCGAGTGGGTGAGCGCGCGGGTGAGCGAGCGGGTGCGTGTGTGGGTGAGTGAGCGGGCGAGCGAGCGGGTGAGCGTGTGGGTGAGTGTGTGGGTAAGTGAGCGAGTGGGCGAGCGAGCGGGTGCGTGTGTGGGTGAGTTAGCGAGCGGGTGAGTGTGTGGGCGAGCGAGCGGGTGCGTGTGTGGGTGAGCGTGTGGGTGAGTGAGCGAGCGGGTGAGTGTGTGGGCGAGCGAGCGGGTGAGTGTGTGGGTGAGTGAGCGAGCGGGTGAGTGTGTGGGCGAGCGAGCGGGTGAGTGTGTGGGTGAGTGAGTGAGCGGGTGAGTGTGTGGGCGAGCGAGCGGGTGAGTGTGTGGGCGAGTGGGCGAGCGAGGGTGGCACGGCACCTGCGCGTGCAGCGTGGAGGAGGCCGTGGCGGTGGCCGTGGGGTAGCAGCAGGAGGAGGAGGGGGAGGGGGGGAAGGCGGCGTGGGCCACCGCGGGCCCCACGTCTGCGTACAGTGCCGGGTGGTACGCCGACCACGCGTCCGGACCCGCGGGCAGCAGCGCCGCTCCCGCCAGCTCGTCTGAGCGCACAGTGGCAGCAGCATCAACATCATCAGCAGCAGCATCATTATCATCAGCATCATCTGCATCAGCATCATCAGCAACAGCAGCATCATCAGCAGCACCAGTATCAGTGGAATCATCAGCAGCAGTACAATTATCATCAGTAGCAGCATCATTACCATCAGCACCATCATCAGCATCATCATTATCATCATCAGCATCATCATCATCAGCAGTGGCATCCGCATTATTATCACAACGAGCGGGTGTCTACAAGGAAGCGCGTTGGCACAGGGAGGAGCGCAGCTGGTGCTGTGGTGCATCCGCCATTCATCTCAGTCAGTCAACCCGTAACCACGTGGGTCTGTCCCGTCACCTCCTGGCGGAGAACCTTCGACACATCACGTGACGGCCTCAAGTGCACCTAGCCTGGCACAATTCACAAGCGCCGTGGTGACGTCACCGTCGCTTCGTGGCGCATGGCGCTTGCTGTGCGTGTGGCCGTGTGTCAATGCTCGCCCATGTGCGTGTGAGTGTACCCATCGTACACTCGCAGCACTTGCCCCACAAGTCTGTGTCGAGGGAGTGGTGGGTGCGGTGGTTAGCGCGCTGCCGCTACGGACCCGGCAGAGACCCGCCGAGTTCCATTCCCACTCGCGGCCGCCACCAAACGCCGGTGACGATTATCTGCACCTGCCCTGGGCCTCCGTCTAGGTCGACTCAGCCTCAAAATGAGTTCCATGGTCTGTAGCAAACATCGCTACGGGGAAGACAAAGGCGGCCGGGGCGTGGTGCTGGTGTCTTTGACCGACCCACCCGTGCGCTCGCAGGTCACGTGATGCCACTCACAGGTCACGTGATGCCACTCACAGGTCACGTGACGTCACTCACAGGTCACGTGTGGTCACTCACGGGTCACGTGACGCCACTCACAGGTCACTTGACGCCACTCACAGGTCACGTGGGGTCACTCGCAGGTCACGTGATGGTCACTCACAGGTCACGTGACGCCACTCACAGGTCACGTGACGCCACTCACAGGTCTCGCGCGTGACGAAGTGCGGCGCCAGGGCGAGGTGCGGCCCCCCCCCGCCCCCCCCGCCCCCCCGCCCCCCCGCCCCCCCCCTGCCCCCCCCCCTGCTGCACATCTTCGTGTTGGACCTGGCGAACTCCAACCTCAGGCTCTGGGGGCTCTCGGGGTCAACGCGGATTCCCTGCGGGGGGGCGGGGGGGGCGGGGGGGGGCGAGAAAGGGGAACAGAGGGAGGGGTCACGGCGGCTGGGCGATGCTGACCCCCTCGCCTCCTGCTGCTGCTGCTCTCTGTGTGTATTGGGAGTGTGCGCGTGTCTCTCTCCCCGTGTGTCTCTCTCCGTGTCTCTCTCTCCCCGTGTCTCTCTCTCCCCGTGTGTGTCTCTCTCAGTGTCTCTCTCTCTCCCCGTGTCTCTCTCCCCGTGTCTCTCTCTCCCCGTGTGTGTCTCTCTCTCCGTGTCTCTCTCTCTCCCCGTGTCTCTCTCCCCGTGTCTGTCTCTCCCCGTGTCTCTCTCTCTCCCCGTGTCTCTCTCCCCCTGTCTGTCTCTCCCCGTGTCTCTCTCTCTCCCCGTGTCTCTCTCTCTCCCCGTGTCTCTCTCTCTCCCCGTCTCTCTCTCTCTCTCCGTGTCTCTCTCTCTCCCCGTGTCTCTCTCCCCGTGTCTGTCTCTCCCCGTGTCTCTCTCTCTCCCCGTGTCTCTCTCTCTCCCCGTGTCTCTCTCTCTCTCCCCGTGTCTCTCTCTCTCTCCGTGTCTCTCTCTCTCTCCGTGTCTCTCTCTCTCCCCGTGTCTCTCTCCCCGTGTCTCTCTCTCCCCGGTCCTTCACCTCCTTCGTCTGGCACGGAAGGCACTGGCAGAGGCCGGGGGTCCTCTGTTTGCCAGTGAAGGAGGGAGGCCAGGGCCTAGTGAGCGTCGCCAGCAGGGTGATGGCGTTCAGGGTCCTGGACATAAGGCGCCTGCTGTACGAGCCGGAGGACCAGCCCTGGAAGGTCCTGGCCCTCGGTTTGCTGAGACGGGCCGGAAGGCTTGGGTACGGCCGCGAGCTCTTCCTGACGGACCTGGGGCTGGTAGACCAGTCGCCGCTGCCAAGGTATTATCGCAGCCTGCTAGATGCTTGGCGTAGTCTTGAATGGGAAAGGGCGCCCGCGGACTATGATGCGAACCTTTTTCTGCAGGAGCCGCTTTTCGCTAACGACCTCTTCCAGGGCCTGAAGGAGGAACGCACCCTGGCCGCGCGGTTTGTTGCCGGAGGGGTGAGCAGGGTCAGCGACCTGGTGGACCCTAGCCGGCGAAGGTGGAGACCGGCTATGGAAATCTCAGAAGCGGCCGGGCTGCGCTCCATGCTCGCCGGGACCAAACTGTTGCGGGAAGTCCTGCGGGCGACGAAGAGGCTCGGAGTGGGGCTGGGAGAGTCGGGCGACGGGGAGGGACCCTCCTTCCCCCGGCTGACCTTCTCCTGTGCCGTCCCCTCTGATCGCGAGGACCGGAGAAAATTATTAAAGATGGAGAACAGCAGGAGTGTCTCGCTGGCGGAAGTCAGCAAGAAAAAGCTCTACACCGCCTGCGTAAAGGCACTGCACTTCCGGGACTTGGAGGAGCTGCCAGACACGAAATGGAGGGGATATTTCTCTGAGCTAACGGACGCTACCCCCCAGTGGCGTGATATGTACCGGCCCCCCACTGCCAAAAGATGTGGCGACCTCCAATGGAGAGTAGCGCACTGGACTGTACCGTCGGCGGTGTGGGTCAGCCGAGCCGTGCCGGGAGCTCCGGACACATGCGCATTTTGCGGACTGAGGGAGGACCTGGCCCACCAGTTCCTCAAATGCAAAAGGCTCGCCCCGCTGTTCAGTTTCCTGGCGGAGGTGTTCGGGAGACTGGGCACCCCGTTTTGCGAGAGCGGCTTTGTGTACGGAGTGACCGGGACGGGGGGCGACAAGCGGCACGTCGCGAACTTTGTGTGCGCCCAGGCCAAACTGGCGATCTATATGACCCGGAAGCGGAGGCTGGAAGGCGGCAGCGGTGGCTGTGGAGTGCTGGCGATGGTGCAGGCCCTCATAAAGGCGCGGCTCGAGTTAGAGTTCGCCTATTACGGTCATGCCGAGGGGGAGAGTGACTTTCTGAAGAAATGGGGGTGCGCCAAGGACGCTCTGTGTACAGTTGTGCAGAATGCACTAATCTACACGTTTTGACCCCCCCCCCCCCCCCCCCGTTTTCTTGTCCAGTCGTGCGGGACTGACGCCGCTGTTCGCTTTGTGGTGATTGTCACTGACACTGAACGAATTTAATTTGTCACTGGTTGCAGAAATGGTCGCTTCCGAGTGGCTTACAAGGCACAGCAATATTCCAGCGCAATTTGCGCTGGGGAAATAAAGTTTTCAAAAGTCAAAGTCTCCCCGTGTCTCTCTCTCTCCCCGTGTCTCTCTCTCCCCGTGTCTCTCTCTCCCCATGTCTCTCTCTCCGGGTTTCTCTTCACAGTCAGAATCGACGTCGCCACGCGTGCCGAGGGGTGTTTGGCTGCCGCTATGAATGTCCACGTCACGATGACGGCGCCACTTTGTTGAGCTGCCACTTGTGACAGCCGCGGTCGCTTCTCAGAACTCATCATCTCATGGCTCAGTGGGCCTCACATCTGGTAAGGTAGAACATTCAAGTTGTTGTATTCAGACATATTTGTATATTTTAAAGTGATTTTTGTTTTACCTTTCATAGACTGTGCCCCCCTATCGTGTTTTTGTATCGTTTGTTGTCGTTGTGACGACGTCCTGACCCCCGTGCCCCCTCGACTGTGAATAAAAGAGCTTCATAGCTCATCGGATTCCTCCTCCGCTAATAAATAAATATTCTGATTGTGACTTTTGTCACCGCGTAGGACTTGAGCCATGGACTCCACGAGCTGCCACCGACGCAAATTAATTATTTAATTATCTCCACCCCCCCCCCCCCTCTCTGCCACCAATGCATTCGGTTATTTATTTATTTAATGTCATCTCTCCTTCCAGGAGGACCTCATCAGGGCGACAGGATCCAGGGGCGCCACGCTCAGCGAAGGAGATAGGCCCAGTGGACATTTGTTTTTTGATGAATGTATGGGGGCCCTGATTTAAAAAAAAAGGATTCAATTGTCAGGATACCAGGTGAGGTTCTGAACCAGGTGAGACCCTGAACCAGGTGAGACCCTGAACCAGGTGAGACCCTGAACCAGGTGAGAGACTGAACCAGGTGAGAGTCTGAACCAGGTGAGACCCTGAACCAGGTGAGGTCCAGGTGAGGTTCTGGACCAGGTGAGGGGCATGTGGAGGAGGAGGAGGGGCTCACGCTGAGCGAGTTCTTGGCCGTCTCCGCCTCGGATCGACTGTCGAACATCACGAATCCCACCGGCTGGACGGAGACAAAGACAAAGGTCCCCCGTATAGCCTTGAAACAGAGCATTGGGGCAAGTTGCTGTTCGCGAGTAGCAGCACCGATGAAGGCCGGAACGGCGTGGACGGGACCACGCCCGGCCGCCTTTGTCTCCCCAGGTGCGCGGCGCGTTAACCAAGGCGCGTGTTAGACGTGGCGTGTCGGCGCGTGTTGTGGTCGCAAGTCGAAGTGGAGCCGTCGCTCACTGCGCACATTCGCGAATTCCTCCTGCACAGCATCCGTGCAGCAGCCTGCGCATGGGAGTCGCTTCGAGGAACAGGCGTGGGTGAGGTGCGGTGAGCGGTGAGTGGTGAGTGGTGGGTGGTGAGTGGTGAGTGGTGGGTGGTGGGTGGTGAGTGGTGAGTGGTGAGCGGTGGGCAGTGAGAGGTGGGCGGTGGGTGGTGAGTGGTGGGTGGTGGTTGAGTGGTGAGTGAGTGTTGAGTGGTGAGTGGTGAGTGAGTGGTGAGTGAGTGGTGAGTGAGTGGTGAGTAGTGAGTGAGTGGTGAGTAGTGAGTGAGTGGTGAGTGAGTAGTGAGTGAGTAGTGAGTGAGTGGTGAGTGAGTGGTGAGTGAGTAACCTGTTTGGAGGTGAGTTTAATCAGCGAACCCTCGTAGCCCTGCACACAGCACAGAGGAGGGCAGCCCATCACTCCCCATCACTCCACATCACTCCCCATCACTCCCCATCACTCTGCATCACTCCGCTGCCGGGTACGCGACTGTCCCCTAAGTGCCCAGTCGCGTCCTTCATGAACCGCCTCCTCCTCCCCAGAGGTCACTCACCCACGACTCACTCACCCACTCACTCACCCACTCACCCACAACTCACTCAGCCACTCACCCACTCACAACTCACTCAGCCACTCACTCACCCACTGACCCACGCTTCACTCACCCACTCACCCACGACCCACTCACCCACTGACCCACGACTCACTCACCTACTCACCCACGACTCGCTCATCCACATGAAGTCATCACAGTTTAGGGTCTCACATTGCCAGGAGAGGGGGGAGGGGGCACTAAATACGAAAACAAAATGAAGTTTCAAGTTTTACGTATTTGGTTTAAAAATAAAGGAGATAGCGGTGGGGAAAAGGAGTTTCTAAAACTGTAAAAATCATCTACAGACATTCCTCGATCACTCCTCCAGAAGCTTGACGAAGTTGGGGGCCTCACCAATGTCACGATCCGATCCTGGCTGAGTCACCTGGCTGAGTCACCTGGCTAAGTCACCTGCTGGGTCACCTGCTGGGTCACCTGACGTCGCTTGAGGGAAGGCTCCTTACGAGTGAGGCTCACCTTGAAAGGTCGGAAGAGCAGGTAGAGCTCCCTGGGTTTGATGTCCATGGGCAGGCCGCTCACGAACAAAGTGCGCACCTGAGCGGGAGGGGGATTTGGGGTGGGAGGCGGAGGGAGGAGGAGAGAGGAAGATGCAATCACGTGGCGGATTCGTGAACTCTAATTATGTTTCATCAAAGTTAACAGAAGTCACGGCCTCATCTCAATGTGTCAGCACCCTGCTGAGAAGTGCCGACACTCGCCCCCAGAGGTTGGCGTGGGCAGCCAGGGCGAGTGGAGCGTGCTGTGTCGTACAGCCTCCTCCTGCAGCCGACACGGCACAATAGAATAACGTTGGGTGCCACGGTGGCTCGGAGATGTTGACTACCTCGCCTGGTGCGCAAGAGGTCTCGTGGGTCCGACCCTGACGCCTGCTGCTGTATATTTGGAGTTTGCGTCTCTCTCTCTCTGCACGGTTTTCCCCTCCACATTTAGAAACACGCGTTTAGAGTATTTGGCTGCTGTATATTTCCACGTGATAAGCCAGTTAGTTGACTTATCATTTGTGAAAGAGCTGTACAGCTGGCTCCTTGGTAAACTAAAACAACATAGATAGTTTTAGTTTAAAGGTGCAGCCACCCAGGCCGAGCGGGTGAAAGGGGGGCGGGCAGAGGGCATGGTGAGGCTGGCGGCACCACCACCACCACGCACCACCATCACCACCACCATCACCACCACCATCACTACCACCACGCACCACCACCATCACCACCACGCAGCACGCTGGGCTACGCTCGGTGCGCGTCTTCTACACGAGCAGCACCCCCCGTGCTGTTCACGAGCAGCACCTATGAAGGCCGGCACGGCACACAAGGGGGTGGGTGACCAACACCACGCCCGGTCGCCTTTGTCTCCCCAGTGGAGAAGTTTACACACCGCACCAGATACTCATTTGAGGCTGAGTCGACCTAGGGAAGGCCAAGGACCGGTTTATATAATCGTCACTGGTGTTGATGGCCGTGAGCGGGAATCGAACTCGGGTCGTCCGGTTCGTAGAGAAACGCGCTGACCGCTACACTACCGCTCCCCCCAAACACACACACGCTCACACAAAGTGACGCTCACACACACACACGTGCACACACACAGTGACACACACACAGTGACACACACACACAGTGACACTCACACACATACACACGTACACACACAGTGACACACACACGTACACACACAGTGACACTCACACACATACACACGTACACACAGTGACACACACACGCTCACACACATACATACACACACAGCGACACACACACACACGCTCACACACAGTAACACTCACACACGCTCACACACAGTGACACTCACACACACACGTACACATACAGTGACACTCACACACACACGTACACACACTCGCTGTGAGCACGCAGACACGGGCGCCAGGTGATTAACGCCACAAATGGTGGACGAGTGTTGATGATTGGCACCCCAAACCGCAGGAGCCGAGTCGCGCGGTCGTGAATAATGAATGGAGCCGGCCACCCATGAGCTGGCCAGCCCTCGCCCCCACCTCTACCCACCCACCCACCCCTCCCCTACCCACCCACCCCACCCCTACCGACCCCGACCCACTCAGCTCCACCCCTACCCCACTTTGAGGCCACGTGAAGTGTCGAAGGCTCGCTGCTGGCAGGAGGAAGTCTCGGGACAGACCCAGCAGGTGGCATGGGTTGGTTGACTGAGATCACCTGGAGATGCATCACCGGCTGTACCCCCGACTGTGCCAACTTGCTGTATTTTAGCCGCCAGCGCTCTGCTCTTTGTTGTGAGCGTCGCTCCTCCACCCTCCGTTGTTGCTGGAGGGCGACTGCCTCCAACTCCCCAGTAGCGTCCTTCACGAGCCTCCTCCACAGAGGCCGATCTTGACACCGCTGGTACCGGTCATCGGCAAGTCCACTCAGCTCCACATCCTCCTGTAGCACATCACTCCATCTCTTTTCTAGCCCGTGCCGCGCCCATTTAGCCCCCTCGATCCGGCCAAGTAAAAGCTGTTTGGGCATGCGGTGGCTGGGCATGCGGGCTACATGACCCAGCCAACGCAGCCTTGCCTGCCGGAGGAGCTTACCGATGGGACTTTCTCCGGATCTTTCAAAAATGTGTGAGCTCCTCACACAATCCAGCCTGGTTAAACCCAGGATGGATCGTAGGCAGGCCAGCCTAAATGTTTCTAACTGGCGCAGATGTCACATTAGAGGGGTCCACCTTTCGCAAGCGTAGAAAAGGGAGGGAATGACTGTGGCCGAGAAGACCTGAAGCTTCGTACGGAGCGATAGCAGGTTGCTTCCACACAGCGGTACGCAACCGATGAAAATGTATTGCCGCTCGACTGATTCGGAGTGTCTGATGGTACAAAATACCCAGGCAGGTGCTTAGTTTTGGTGGGCCTGCTGGTATAAGGCCCCACCTCTTAGTGACACGCTGCAGGTTCAGCAGCAGCGCCTCCAACTCCTCCTTTGAGCAGCAATCACCAGATCCACCCCTAGCCACATCCACCTCTATCCACCACCCCCACCCCTATACACCCACCCACCACCCCTACCCACCACCCCCACCCCTATACACCCACCCACCACCCCTACCCACCACCCCCACCCCTATCCACCCACCCACCACCCCTACCCACCACCCAGCCCCCTACCCACCCCTACCCACCACCCCTACCCACCACCCCTACCCACCACCCAGCCCCCTACCCACCCCTACCCCTACCCACCACCCCCACCCCTATCCACCCACCCACCACCCCTACCCACCACCCAGCCCCCTACCCACCCCCACCCACGGCCCCGCCCCCCTCCACCACTCCCCCGCCCCCACGGAGCCCCCCGCAGCTCCCGCGGGAGGGGGGGGGGGTTGGGGATCGTCACCGTTGGGTTTTGTTTGTAGAAGTGAAGATTCAGCCTCGGCTCCAGATTTACTTTGATGGGGGGCAGGGGAGGGGTTGGGGGGGGTGTTGGGGGGGGGGGACGTGGGGGGGCAGTAGAGCTATTGTGGAGGCGGCACGGTGATAATGATGTTGTTGGTTTTGTTTTTAACCCGGCTGAGAGCTCCCAAGAGACCAGGCTTAAAGTCTGAGTGAGTGGGCGGGTGAGTGAGTGAGTGGGTGAGTGAGTTAGTGGGTGGGTGGGTGAGTGAGTGAGTGAGTGGGTGAGTGAGTGGGTGGGTGGGTGAGTGAGTGGGTGGGTGGATGGGTGAGTGAGTGGGTGGGTGAGTGAGTGAGTGAGTGGGTGAGTGAGTGGGTGGGTGGGTGAGTGAGTGGGTGGGTGAGTGAGTGGGTGGGTGAGTGAGTGAGTCGTTGAGTGGGTAAAAAATACAATTGAGCTTCTGTAGAGGCCAGGACTAACGCGCTCAATTTAGAATTCGAATGTTTATTGAGACTTGAGAAATCCGATGAGCTATGAAGCTCTTGGTCTTAGATGTCCAGGAGCGTGAGTTGACCTGGGTCACTCAAACACGTGCAGAGACAAAGATCCCCCGTAAAGCCTCAAACACACTGTGGGGGCAAGTGCTGTTAGCGAGTAGCAGCAGCGCCTATGAACGCCGCTGCCCCACCGCTCCCCACACACAGCGCGCTAACCGCTGCCCCACCGCTCCCCACACACAGCGCGCTAACCGCTGCCCCACCGCTCCCCGAGGGCCACCTCTGCCGTGCTCGCCGCGCCGTGAAATCGGCGCCGACCACGTGGTCCCCCTAAGAGCTTCCCCGTGGGTCCCCGCGGCTTCATGAAACATTCATCACTCGTTCATTACTCATTCATCACTCGTTCGTTAATCCACACTCGACTATTAATGCGTCACTCTCACACACGCGCGTCACCACATCCTTTTGTCTCCGAATTTTCCAGTCTTTTTAAATATGTGAGTGTATGTCTATGTGTTTGTATGTCTATGTACATGTGTGTGTATGTCTATGTATAAGTGTGTATATCTATGTATATGTGTGTGTCTATGTCTGAGTGTGTGTCTATGTAGAGGTGTGTGTGTCTACGTGTGTGTGTCTGTCTATGTGTGTGTGTCTATAACCCGCTTCGGTTTGACAGCAGAGGTCTTACTCAGAATCAGTCGGGCGGCAATATCTTCTCATCGGCTGTGCAATGCTGTGTGGAAGCTACCTGGTCTGTCGCTCCACACGAAGTTTCGGGTCTTCTCGGCCACTGTCATTCCCTCCCTTCTCTATGAAACGTGAACCCCTCTGGTGGAGCATCTGCGCCGGTTAGAAACATTCAGGCCGGCCTGCCTACGATCCATCCTGGGTTTAACCAGGCTGGATTGTGTGAGGAGCTCACAAATCCTTGGAAGATCTGGACAAAGTCCCATCCGTGAACTCCTCCGGCAGGCAAGGCTGCGTTGGCTGGGTCATGTAGCCCGCATGCCCAGTCGCATGCCCAAGCAACTTCTGTTCGGCCGCATAGAGGGGGCTAGACGGGCATGGCACGGGCTAGAGAAGAGATGGAGTGATGTGGTACAGGAGGACGTGGAGCTGAGTGGACTTGCCGATGACTGGTACCAGCGGTGTCAAGATCGGCCTCTGTGGAGGAGGCTCGTGAGGACGAGCGGTGGGGGGAGCGCGCCTGCGATGAGGAGGAGGTGGTGGAGGAGGTAGGCAGATGATGAGGTGGAAGAGGTAGTGGAGGAGGGGGCAGGAGGAGGGGGCAGGAGGGCGTGGTGCTGAACTCTTCACTGACTGGCACGTTCTCTTCACGTGACAACTCTGACGCGTGCGCTGTGTGGGGTGGTGGCGGGTTTGACGACACATTGTTATTTTTTGTTAAAAGGCCTTATTTTGGAAGCTATTCGATAAGAGGAACCTTTTTTGAAGGCAACTGCTTCGTATATCGCGGTATAATGGCTGTGCGCAGACCGGGCAGGGCCCACGTGTATCAAGCGGGTACCGTGTGGTCGTAGGCTCTTCATGATCACGATGATGGCGATGATGATGATCATGTCGAGTGGACAGATTCCCTTCATCCAGCAGTGGCTCGAGCGTGCCTCGTGGTGGTGTCAACCCCTCGAGAGAAGTCCACTGAAGGCGACTTCCGTCAGCAATTAGGAAATGTTTTCCCGCGGAATGCAGGATAATTACATCAAATCGGCGGGTTCCCATGTGTAGTATTTACGTGTATGCGTTTATTTATTGCCGTTACCATCACGGCTTAATATATTTATTTTCGTAAGCGCCGCTTCGTTGCTTCAACCCGAGAGGCTAAGTGGAACTAAATAAATCTCCCTTCTTTGTTGCCAGATAGAAGAGTAAATTTTTTTTATTAAATCTCCCTTCTTTGTCGCCTTCACACCGACCACAGAGCAGCGCGTTCGGGACACGTGCTGTTAGCGAGCACCTATTAAGCGGGGCCGGAGCGTCAAACAAGAACCACTCCCGGCCGCCTTTGTGTGTCTGTCTGTGTGTGGTGGGGCCAAGTGTGGCTGCCGCAACCACTCCGGAGGTATTGTAGTTATTGGCCAGCAGTGGAAGAGTAGGCCAAAAATACCCGCCCAGAGGCTCATCCGCCAGCAGCGACACGAGCCAGGGCACTTGCAGGGGCTGCGCCTCGTTACCCGCTGCCCCCCCGCCCCGCCCCCCCGCCCCCCGCCCTTACCCGGAGTCTCACCTCCTCCTCGAGCTGCGAGGCCGCCGCCGCTTCCACCACCGCGGAGACGACGTTCATGGCGGTGACGATGGCAGTCGTGGTGGTGGTGGTCGTGGTGGTAGTCGTGGTAGTGGTGGTCGTGGTGATCGTGGTGGTGCTGATGGGGTGGTGGTGATGGTGGTGGTAGTGATTGGAGGATGGTGGTGATGGTGGTAATAGGGTGATAGTCGTCTCTATGTGATCACGATGATTGTTTAGTGTCCTGTTGTTTATATGATGGTGGTGGTCATCTTGGTCGGGTTGATGATGGTGGAAATGATGATGGTGGAGATGATGATGGTGGAGATGATGATGGTGGAGATGATGATGGTGGAGATGATGATGGTGGAGATGATGATTTTGGTGTGGATGATAATGGTGATGGTGATTGTCTGTGGTGGTGATGATGGTTGTGATGCCAGCAATGTCTGTGGTGATGATGGTGGTGGTGGTGATGTCGTGTGATGGGTGCCCGGTGATGATGTTTCTGTGACAGAAACGTAAACGCACGTAGCGCGTTAGCACGATCACCAATCACGTAACGATGAACCATTCTGTAATCACTGATCGCAATCATGACATCTCATCTAACGCCACCGCCTCATTGTACGTCACTATCACGCGGTTTTATCACTCGATGAGCTGTTGACTGTCAGCCTACTGTGGACTATGAGCTGACTAACACCGCACATCACAATGATCACATTGACAAGAGCGGCAGCAGTAGTCTCGCATCACTCCTCACGAGCAGTCGCATCAACGCCCCAGGGCGTCTCCTCGTGCTAAAGGAGGTTCTCAGGAGGCCCTTGAGGACACCACGGTGGCGAGGAGATGTTAACTACCTCGCCTGGTCTACAGGAGGTCGTGGGTTCAATCCCGACCCAGACTCCTGCTGTATATTTGGAGTTTGCGTGTCTCTCTCTCTCTCATCATCACGGTGGCTATGAGATGTTAACTACCTCGCCTGGTATACAGGAGGTCGTGGGTTCAATCCCGACCCAGACTCCTGCTGCTGTATATTTGGAGTCTGCATGTCTCTCTCTCACCGTGGTCGCGTGGATCTTTTTTAAATCCTTTATATTAAGTTCGCGTGCTTGCTTGCTTGCTTAGGACCGTGCAAATCTTTCGGTCGTTTTTTAACCCACTTCCCGTGATAATTAATTTTCGTGAAATTGTTTTTCCAAAATTTTACACTGTTTAGGGAAAACTAATTAAATATTGAATTACCAATTGCTTAATACTGGCAGACAATCATCTGACCCATAGATTGCAGCCATCTCAAGCCAGAGGACGAGAGAACTCTAGCCGCCACGCATATAAAGGATTTAGAGTGAAAAACTTTGTTTTTACGGGTTTACTTGTTAAATCTCAGAGTCCTCCGGTTTTCCCCTCCACATTTAGAATCGACCTCACACATTTTAAGTATGCGGCCGCTCTAAGTGTTCACGTGATGATGATGATGAAGCCACTTCGTTGTGCTCTCACCTGCTTCTGAAAAGTAAAGTTACGTAGCCCAGTGGGCCTGACGCCTGGTCCGCTAAAACTAGTTTTATCCTGGTCCGTTAGAACATTCTTAGCTGGTCACACACAAGTCGACAGGTCGACTGATCTCAGTCGCATCAACACCACGGCCAAAGATAAAGACAAAGAACCCTGCCGGATAGCCTCTTACAGAATGTCGGGGCAAGTGCTGTTAGTGAGTAGCAGAACCTACGAAGGCCGGCACCGTGGAACACGAGGGGGTGGGTGGCCAGCCCCACGCACGCCCGGCCGCCTTTGTCTCCCCAGTGGCGATGTTTACTACACATCGCAACAGGTGCTCATTTGGGGCTGAGTTGACCTAGGGGAGGCCCAGGACCGGTTTAGATAATCGTCACCGGTGGTGGTGGCCGTGAGCGGGAATCGAACTCGGCTCTGGCGGGTTCGTAGCGCTCCTCACAAACACACACTCAAATAGACACATACACGCATATACATAGACACGCATATACATAGACACACATATACATATACACACATATACATAGACACACATATACATAGACACACATATACATCGACACACATATACATCGACATACATATACACACACTTATACATAGACACACAAATACATATACATAGACACACATAGACACACACATATACATAGACACACATATACATAGACACACATATACATAGACACACATATACATAGACACACATATACAAAGACATACACACATATACATAGACACACATAGACATACACACATATACATAGACATACATACATACATATTCTTAGGTTTTTTCGGTAAAGTCACGTAGGTAAAACATCAAAATTAATAAAAATAAAATAAAAATCACGACGTTTCGGAGGCATATATACAGGCACACATATACATAGACACACGTATACATAGACATACACACACTCATACTGTATATACAGACACACATATACATAGACACACATACACACACTCATATACACACATATATGTATACATACACACATGCATAGATACACATATACATAGACATACATATACATGGACACATACACACACGCACACATATATACACATATATACATACACATATATATAGACTACGAATAAGTAAACATTTACATCGACATGAAGGACACACAAGACACCCGACTGCTGGGGCAAGTGCTGTTCGCGAGCACCTATGAAGGCCGGCACGGCACACGTGGTCGTATGGACACACACACACATAAATACATCCGCCTACAGACATGCCAGAGAGCAGGGTTCGGGAACCTTTTTGACTGGGAGAGCCATAAAAGCCAAATATTTCTAAATATATTTCATTGAGAGCCATATAGTATTTTTAACGTATAATAAATTAAATATGTCTTACTTTTAATGCGACTTCTGGTGCTGCATGGTTTTGCTGATGGCCTTGTAGTCTGGTTCGTACGTGGTGAGGTTGAGCTTCGTGCAGGCGTGACCCGTGAATTTTATCTTCAAAACTAGTTTCTGTTTACTTTAAAATGACACGGTATTATTAAGCAATATCACAAGTATTTTAAAATCAGTCCAAACTGATTTTTTTTTTCAACTCAAAATTGTCTGGGAGCCATATGCCGTCACTGGAAGAGCCATATATGGCTCGCGAGCCATAGGTTCCCGACCGCTGCCATAGAGTGTCTACATGGGAATCCCTGGTCAGTGGAAGTGCAGACTAACGTGAACATTTGAAGACGACTCAGAGAAAGAACCAATCACACGTCGACTTCAGAGGAGACACAGAGCAGAGTGCATTCCTCCCCTCGAAATGAAGATAACGAAGTTACCACGCCACTGATAACGTAGTTACCACACCACTGATAATGTAGTTACTACACCACTGATAATGTAGTTACTACGTCACTGATAATGTAGTTACTACACCACTGGTAATGTAGTTACTACACCACTGATGATGTAGTTACTACACCACTGATAATGTAGTTACTACGTCACTGATAATGTAGTTACTACACCACTGATAATGTAGTTACTACACCACTGATGATGTAGTTACTACACCACTGATAATGTAGTTACTACACCACTGGTAATGTAGTTACTACACCACTGATAACGTAGTTACCACACCACTGATGATGTAGTCACTACACTACTGATAACGTGATGGTAGTGATGAGTGATGGTGGTGGTGAGTGATGGTAGTGATGAGTGATGGTAGTGATGAGTGATGGTAGTGATGATGATGGTAGTGATGAGTGATGGTAGTGATGATGATGGTAGTGATGAGTGATGGTAGTGATGATGATGGTAGTGATGAGTGATGGTAGTGATGATGATGGTAGTGATGAGTGATGGTAGTGATGATGATGGTAGTGATGAGTGATGGTAGTGATGATGATGGTAGTGATGATGATGGTAGTGATGAGTGATGGTAGTGATGATGATGATGGTAGTGATGATGATGGTAGTGATGAGTGATGGTGGTGATGAGTGATGGCGGTGATGAGTGATGGTGGTGATGAGTGATGGTAGTTATGGTGGTGGTGATGGTGGTGATGATGATGATGGTGGTGATGATGGTAGTGATGGTGATGGTAATGATGAGTGATGGTAATGATGAGTGATGGTAGTGATAAGTGATGGTAGTGATGGTGGTGATGGTGGTGATGATGAGTGATGATGGTGGTGATGGTGGTGATGGTTGTGATGGTGGTGATGATGATGGTGGTGATGATGGTGGTGATGGTAATGATGAGTGATGGTAATGATGAGTGATGGTAATGATGAGTGATGGTAATGATGAGTGATGGTGATGATGGTGGTGATGGTTGTGATGGTGGTGATGATGATGGTGGTGATGATGGTGGTGATGGTAATGATGAGTGATGGTAATGATGAGTGATGGTAATGATGAGTGATGGTAATGATGAGTGATGGTGATGATGGTGGTGATGGTGGTGATGGTGGTGAGACGTACCCCTGTCTGCGTGTGAGCGCGCGGCGCTTCTCGTGCCGAAGTGAGCGGCGGAGACTCCGGGCTCGAGGCGGAGCGCGCGCGTCACGCCCGGGGGGGGCGGGGGGGCACGGGGGGGGCACGGGGGGGGGGCACGGGGGGAGGGGGGAGGAAGGCGGGGGGCACGGGAGGGGCACGGGGGGCGGGTCACGGGGGGGGGGGGTAACCCGCCCATTGATGGTTGAGAGATCTTCAGATGAATCTCCACCCTGCTGCTGTTGTTGTTTCCTCTCCTCCTTTGCACTGCGATCGTGTTTGTGTCGATTGTGCCACTGCTGTTGTTGCTGTTGTCACGTGCTGACCCCCGTACCCCGACTGGGTATCTGTGAGAGGACGACTTAGGGAGAGAGAGAGGACGACTCAAAGAGAGAGAGGACAACTCAGAGACAGAGAGAGGATGACTCAGAGAGAGAGAGAGAGAGGACGACTCAGAGAGAGAGGACGACTCAGATACAGCGAGAGGACGACTCAGAGAGAGGACGACTCAGATAAGAGGACGACTCAGAGAGAGAGGACGACTCAGAGAGAGAGGGGACGACTCATAGAGAGAGGACGACTCAGAGAAAGAGAGGACGACTCATAGAGCGAGAGAGGTCGACTCAGAGAGAGAGAGAAAGGGCGACTCAGAGAGAGAGGGGGCGATTCTCATAGAGAGTGGACGACTCAGAGAGAGAGAGGACGACTCAGAGGGAGAGGGCGATTATCAGGGAGGGAGAGGACGACTCAGAGAGAGAGAGAGAGGGCGACTCAGAGAGAGAGGGGGCGACTCTGAGAGAGAGAGGACGACTCAGAGGCTCCAGGAGGAGGAGCCACAGACGAGGAGCGGGAAGGCAGCAGCAGTCACGTGGTGCTGGTGAGGAGCCGTCGCTACCGACGATTGTCCAAGCTCTGCGGTCCCCTCTCTATGTGAAGACGTTTTCAACAAATGCGTGATACTTCATGCTCGCGTTCGAGATTCGAAGCAACCAGAAAAACAAATCACCTCTTCCAGATGGAACAGATGGAGATTAGTCCACACTATGCTGTAACCGCCTGGCCTCTGGCCTATGTAATTTTTTTTTATATATGATTATTAAATGTTATTATTATAAATGTTCTTATTATTAAATGTTCTTCTTATTAAATGTTATTATTATTAAATGTTATTATTATTAAATGTTATTATTAATATTATGGTACAGAAACTCCACGAACAGAAGTCCTTAACGCTGTGCCCCTGAATTCCGGGCTTACACTTTCATTTAAAATATTTAATTTTTTAATTACATTTTCCACAAAAGGGCTCGAGTGGTTTATTTTTATTTTTTCGTGACTGCATCGTGAGTGGTGGAGGGGGGGGGGGCGAGGGTATAACGCGTGGCTTGTGTCAGACCCCCCCCCCCACTCGCTTGATAAAGAGAGCCAGAATGGGAGAGGCGTTATCAGCTGATTGCTGTTGCCGAATACCACACACACACACGTGTGTGTCCACGTGTGTGTGTCCAAGTGTGTGTGTGCGTGAAGATCTGGACACATTCCCATCAGTGAGCTCCTACGGCAGGCAAGGCTGCATTGGCTGGGTCACGTGGCCCGCATGCCCAGCCACCGCATGCCCAAGCAGCTTCTGTTTGGCCGCATAGAGGGGGCTAAAGGGCACGACACGGGCTGATGCAGTAAGGGAGGACGTGGAGCTGAGTGGACTTGCCGATGACCAGTACCAGCGGTGTCAAGATCGGCCTCTGTGGAGCCTCAACCCACGGCGCCTGCTGGGTCTGTCCCCATGACCTCCTGCCAGCGGCGAGCCTTCGACCCTTCGCGCGATAGCCTCAGAGTGCACCTAGCCTGGCACAGGCTTCCATACTCTTTGGTTCTTTCGGTAAAGTCACGTATGTAGAAAATAAAAGTAGGCGAGCCTACTTCAGCAGTTTTTTCTTGCTGTGAATGTCCCACCTGATGACGATTGCTTGTGTTGCGATCGAATCGTCGTGATCTATTATTTTCTACCTACGTGACTTTACCGAAAGAACCAAAGAGTATGATGGATTCCTGCGGTCACGAAAGCTTCAAATCAAGATCGGCACAAGCTGGTTCCTGTTCTTAGCCATAGACTCGACCAACGGCCTTGCGAGTAAGGCTCCCCCTCCACCACTCAACCAACTTATCCTCACGACCCGAAGTAAACAATGGAATCATTAATTAGCGACAAGGGGCTCACAGTCACAGATTTAATCTGCACAGCCCATGGCTGATCGAGTCAGAGTCCGAGCGATGTGGCCTCGTTTCTCTCTCTCTCTGAGGTGCGTTGGTGCTAACCATCTATACGGGGGGGATCGAGCGTTGCTCCCTCGCACGAGGCGTGGGGTTTTTTCGCCGGGTTGCTAGGTCTGAAACAAGTTAATTAAAAAATAAAATCCTTATTCAACCTATAGGCGAGAGCAAATTGAGATTTGTAGCAAAAAACAAAAACGAATATGGAACCAAAAAGCGCAATTACTAACGCGTGGACATATTTCGCAGACTCGCAGCCTTCCAATCGCATCTCGCGTGGGCAATGTTTCATTGGGCAGGACAACAGCGATGGAAGGTGATAAGAAGTCATCACGAGAAGAGGCGTAGCAACAAAGACGGAACGGGAGTTAGGTGAATTATGCAGCCGTTGGCGAGCTCGGCCCAAACCATCACAGCGCCCATTCGAGTGGAAGCGGCACGCGCTAAGTGCCCCCCCCCCCCTCTTCCTCCTCCCTCTGCCCCCCTCCTCTTCACCCCCTACGCGCCCCCCTACGCGCCCCCCTACGCGCCCCCCCCCCCCACTCGGCCCCCCCCCACCGTCTCCGCTCTCGCCGTGTCGAGGCGCCGACCGCCTTCCTGCCCGCGGTCGCCGTGGCTCAGCGAGACGGCGACGCGAACATTGCTACCCCCTAGGGCGACAGGGAACCCCATAGGAGAGATCCGGGGTCTTAGTGATGCTGATGATGCTGCTGATGATGATTAGCAGCAGCAGCAGTGGCGTCCAGACAGCGTCGGGAGAAACGGGCCGAGCGATAGCTCTCTGATACTAATCTCTTCCAGATACTGATACAGTCAGAGACTGGGCTCTGGCCGGGTCTGTACAGAAAGTCAAAGATAGACTGCCTCTGATGGAGGGTCTAGGCAGTGGTAGACTGACTCTGATGGAGGCTCTAGGCAGTGGTAGACTGCCTCTGATGGAGGCTCTAGGCAGTGATAGACTGACTCTTATGGAGGGTCTAGGCAGTGGTAGACTGACTCTGATGGAGGGTCTAGGCAGTGGTAGACTGACTCTGATGGGGGGTCTAGGCAGTGGTAGACTGACTCTGATGGGGGGTCTAGGCAGTGGTAGACTGACTCTGATGGAGGGTCTAGGCAGTGGTAGACTGACTCTGATGGAGGGTCTAGGCAGTGGTAGACTGACTCTGATGGAGGCTCTAGGCAGTGATAGACTGACTCTGATGGAGGATCTAGGCAGTGGGAGACTGACTCTGATGGAGGGTCTAGGCAGTGGTAGACTGACTCTGATGGAGGGTCTAGGCAGTGGTAGACTGACTCTGATGGAGGGTCTAGGCAGGGGTAGACTGACTCTGATGGAGGCTCTAGGCAGTGACTCTGATGGAGGGTCTAGGCAGTGACTCTGATGGAGGGTCTAGGCAGTGACTCTGATGGAGGGTCTAGGCAGTGACTCTGATGGAGGCTCTAGGCAGTGACTCTGATGGAGGGTCTAGGCAGTGACTCTGATGGAGGGTCTAGGCAGTGACTCTGATGGAGGGTCGAGGCAGTGGTAGACTGACTCTGATGGAGGCTCTAGGCAGTGGTAGACTGACTCTGATGGAGGCTCTAGGCAGTGACTCTGATGGAGGCTCTAGGCAGTGGTAGACTGACTCTGATGGAGGGTCTAGGCAGTGACTCTGATGGAGGGTCTAGGCAGTGACTCTGATGGAGGGTCTAGGCAGTGACTCTGATGGAGGGTCTAGGCAGTGGTAGACTGACTCTGATGGGACACGCGACGAGCCCCGGCCCACCGGCACAACACAGAGACGCGTTCCTCGCTTGATGCGCTCAGGTGCGCGCCTGGAAAGCGCCGCGTTCAGCGCCCCTCGATCCGCGAGTGCGGGAGGGGGACCCCGCAGGGCGTGGAGACACGATCCCCCAACAAAAGGCAACGACCCCCCGTGCAGCCTGCGCCGTACTGATGGACACGGGCCGAGATTAGTCCGCCCAATGAAGGCCGGCACGGCGCACGAGGGGGGCGGTGGCCAACAATCACGCCCGACCGCCTTTGTCTCCCCAAACTCACAGTGTTGGTATTGACGACTGCGTTGAGTGTGTTGTTGTTGTTGTTGTTGTTTGTTGTTGTTGTTTGTGCTCGTGCCAGACGCAGCAGCAGCAATCACCAAATCATGTGCGCCATCGACATGGAGGGGCGACATCAGCTGGTGCGTCAGACGCCCCGGGGGGGGGGGGGGGGGGGCTCGCGGGGGAGGGAAGGCCTTCATCCAGCAGTGGAGCGATCGTGACCGGCGGTTACCGATGCTTCTGCTTGCGACGCCACGCAAACACGTGGCCAGGGTGGCCGGACACTTTCTCCACTCACTCGTTTCTCGCCTTCTCGCTTCGTCGAACTTTTTTCGAGATTTCTTTGTGGGTGGAGGCGCTCGGAGGAGGTTGTGGGCGCTGAAGTCTCTCTCATTGAGGCACCCAACGCAGCCGTGGACTCGTGGCGCTGTGATTTAGCCATGGGCGCACGCGCAGCCTGTGCAGCGAGGGCTCGGGGGATCTCGCCTGGCAGCTCGCCCCCCCCTCCACGGGCCACCCCTCCCCTCCATCCCCCCTCCCCTCCATCCCCCCCTCCCCTCCATCCCCCCTCCCCTCCATCCCCCCTCCCCTCTATCCTCCCCTCCATCCTCCCCTCCACCCCTCCCTCCATCCCCCCTCCCTCTATCCTCCCCTCCATCCCCCCTCCCCTCCATCCCCCCCTCCCCTCCATCCCCCCCCTCCCCTCCATCCCCCCCCTCCCCTCCGTCCACCCCCTCCCCTCCATCCCCCCCTCCCCTCTATCCTCCCCTCCATCCCCCCCTCCCCTCCATCCCCCCCCTCCCCTCCGTCCACCCCCTCCCCTCCATCCCCCTCCCTCCATCCCCTCCCCATCCCCCCTCCCCTCCATCCCCCCCCTCCCCTCCGTCCACCCCCTCCCCTCCATCCCCCCTTCCCCCCCTCCTCATCTCTCACTTGCCTCCATCCACCCCTCCCTCACCCTCCCACCTCCTCCCACCTCCTCCTTTACACTTCTCAGCGACGCAGGGACAGGAGCCCCAACGTCCTCCTCACCAGCCATGATCTATCCGCCACTGGGTGAAAGCCTCTCTCCCCCCCCTCCTCTGCCTACCCCTCGCCATCTCTCACGATCTTCCGATGGAACTCGGCCACGCACCCGTCACACGACTCGTGAGTGTGGTGGCTGCCTGTCAGCAGGGCGCCGCGGTGGCTATAGGAGATGTTGACTATCTCGCTTGGTATACAGGTCGTGGGTTCGATCCCGACCTTGACGCCTGCTGCTGTATATTTGGAGTTTGCGTGTCTCTCTCTCATCACGGTGGCTAGGAGATGTTAACTTCATCGCCTGGTGTGCAGGAGGTCGTGGGTTCGATCCCGACCCTGACGCCTGCGGCTGTAGATTTGGCATGTGCGTGTTTCTCTCTCTCTCCCTGTGGTCGCGTGGATTTTTCTCGGGGCCCTCCGGGTTTATCCCTCCACATTTAGAAACATAGTCAAGAGTATTTGGCTGCTAGAAGTTCAACATACAGGCTGGTGTGGAAATGTGTGGCCGGGTCGCTTCTGCTAAAGAGCTATATAGCTGAGTCGACCTTACCTGGTAAAATAGAAAAATAGTTTCAGAAACACATGTTTTAGTTTAATCCCGCGCTGTGGAGGCGGCAGCAGCAGCGAGGGGTTAGTGGAGCACAAAGAGACGCTTGTGTGGAACTCCCATCCCTATCCGTGGGTGGGCCTCGATGTGATGACATTACCCCGAGCTCGCACAGGAGAAGGCGGTGCAGCAAAGTGTGGACTAATCGACATCTCTTTCCATCTGTACGGGCACAGGGGGTGGCCCTTGAAGGTCTGGCTTGCATCGGGTGTCGTCATTTTGTCAACAGGGAAGAAAACAAAAGGAAATGTAATGCCAAATGGAAAAGAACTGAAATGGTCGAAGAAAAATGAAAAATGCAATTAGTAAAAATAAATCAGAAACCTCATCCATACCTGGTTTGTACTCAAAAAATGAAGGATAAGTCAACCTAGCGGTGACCACAACAACAACAACAACAACCGCCATTCGCCACTAAGTGGCGGTGACGTCACCACGATGCTTGTGCCAGGCCAAGTGCACCTTGAGGCCACGTGAAGTGTCGAAAGCCCGCTGGCAGGAGGTCACGGGGCAGACCCAGGTGCCACTGGTCGACTGACCGAGATGACCGAGATGACTGGCTGATGCACCACCTGTGCCCCCTACTGTACCAACTTGCTGTGCTTTAGCCACCCGGCGCTCCGCTCGTTGTTGTGAGCGTCGCTCCTCCGCCCTCCGTTGTTGTTGGAGGGCGACTGCCTCCAACTGCCCAGTAGCGTCCTTCACGAGCCTCCTCCACTGAGGCCGATCTTGACACCGCTGGTACCAGTCATCGGCAAGTCCACTCAGCTCCACGTCCTCCTGTACCACATCACTCCATCTCTTCTCCAGCCCGTGCCGCGCCCGTCTAGCCCCCTCGATCCGGCCGAACAAAAGCTGTTTAGGCATGCGGTGGCTGGGCATGCGGGCTACATGACCCAGCCAACGCAGCCTTGCCTGCCGGAGGAGCTCACTGATGGGACTTTGCCCAGATCTTTCAAGGATTTGTGAGCTCCTCACACAATCCAGCCTGGTTAAACCCAGGATGGATCGTAGGCAGGCCAGCCTAAATGTTTCCAACCGGCGAAGATGCTCCACCAGGGGGGTCCACGTCTCGCAAGCGTAGAGAAGGGAGGGAATGACCGTGGCCGAGAAGACCTGAAGCTTCGTGCGGAGCGACAGACCAGGTAGCTTCCACACAGCGTTACGCAACCGATGAAAAGATATTGCCGCTCGACTGATTCGGAGTGAGACCTCTGCTGATAGACTGGAGCCGGTCATAAGCACACTGCCCAGGTATGGGAAACTCTCCACTCTCTCCACAACTGCCTCATCACCAATTGGGAGTTGTGGGGGTGGAGTGTCCGATGGTACAAAATACCCAGGCAGGTGCTTGGTTTTGGTGGGGCTGATGGTAAGGCCCCACCTCTTAGTGGCACGCTCCAGTCTCAGCAGCAGCGCCTCCAACTCCTCTTCTGAATGAGCACACGCAGTGTAACACACACACACCAGCCGCTACGGTGTTTCACTAAGTGGCGGTGGCGTGAGCACGCGGCTTGTGCCAGGCTAGGTGCAGCTTTGAGGCTCTAACGTGAAGGGTGGGACTCGTGGGACAGACCCAGATGCTCATTTATGGCCGAGTCGACCTGCAGGGAAGCCCAGGACCGGTTCATATATTTGTCATTGGCGTTGGTGGCCGTGAGCTGGAATCGAACCCGTGTCTCTGCCGGGTTCGCAGCGCAGTGCGGCGCTACCCACTACACTACCACAGAAACAAAGATCCCCGTATAGCCTCAAGACTTTTGGGGCAAGTGCGAGCACCACCTATGAAGGCCGGAACAGCACAAGAGGGGGGGGAGGGGTGGGTGGCCAGCACCAGGCCCGGCCGCCTTCGTGCCTCGCTAGTGGCGATGTTGACTACACACCGCACCACGCACGCATTTGAGGCTGAGTAGACCTAGGGGGAGGCCCTGCACCGGTGCAGATAATCGTCACGGATGTTGGTGGCCGCGAGTGGGAATCGAACCCGGGTCTCTGCCGGGTTCGTAGCGCAGTACGGTGCTAACCGCTGCACCACCGCTCCCCACAGAATCACACGCACATTCTCTAACACGCACGCACACACGTGGAACTCACGTACAAGACGGTGCAGAAAAAGGCAAAGACATTTTCACAGTTAAGGGGGGACAAACTTCACAGTTCACAGCGGACAACGTAACAACATCGAATGTCAATAAATAAAACCGCAGGCCGCGACCGCACAGACATTGACTCCGCGCATCCCGCAGCCGCGATCGCCCCCGCGCCGACCGAGACGTCTCGGGACGAGGTGAGGGTCGCCTTGGACACAACCACCGCGAGTGGAGCACCCGGCGCTCGATGTCACCAGCGCGTGGTGGGTTCATCATCCACGCCGCGCCGCGAACGCTACGGCAGATCGCCGGTGGCCCACACGCAGACTCTAGACCCCACGTGTGGATATGGCAAATGGGGGAGAGAGAGCGAGAGATCAATATCTCTGGGAGAGAGAGAGAGATCGATATCTCTGGGGGAGAGAAAGAGAGAGATCTCTGGAGACGAAGAATTCCCGTTACGGCTGACGGAAAGTAAAAATCCCTGGCTGAAGAATTCACACGCTGAAAAAACCGTACCGACTTCTCTCCCACAGATATCACGCGAGCACTTGGTAGGCCTCGTCACTCGGGCAGTGGTCATTCTCAACGTGCGCTTGGCTACTCCGACCCCCCCCCCCTTGTTGAATTCTGTTTCAACCGAGCACAGTAACACCCCCCCCCCCTTAATCAATGTTCCCAGGAATAAACGCAGACGCAGGGGGGGGGGGGGTAATGAACATCAACGTTAGTTTAGCCAATTGTCCATCTTATGAGGTATCCTAACTCCCCAATGAGCTCAGTAACTAGCAAGCGAATAATACAAAAACTCAGTCGACGCTCTGGGTGTGTGACATCATTTCCCATCTAGGAGTTAATACGGCGCTTTAGACAAAGCGCCTGACATGGAGTTTGAGTGTTGGGGAGGGGTGGCAAGGGAGGGTGATGACCGGGAAAGGGGTGAGGGGGGTTAGGAGAGGGAAGGAGGGTGGCGAGGGGTGAGGGCAGGAAGCAGAGGTGGGACAAAGTCATTGTTATGCAAGTCCAAGTCGAGTCTGAAGTCATCAAATTCATGACTCGAGTCTGACTCGAGTCCAAGTCACATGACTCGAGTCCACACCTCAGAGGTGGGACAAAGTCATTGTTATGCAAGTCCAAGTCGAGTCTGAAGTCATCAAATTCATGACTCGAGTCTGACTCGAGTCCAAGTCACATGACTCGAGTCCACACCTCTGGCAGGAAGTAGTCGAGGGATACCCTGGTGAAAAACGAGGAGTCGTACGGAACGAAGAATGGTTTCGTGAAGTTGCCTGAGGGAGTTGATTCCACTGGAGGGGAGCCAGGAGGGAGACGGAGCGGCACCGTGAGCGAGCACAGGGAGGGGAGGAGCAGTGAGGGACCACAGAAAGTGTCACCGCTGGGGCCGAGGGGGACATGGCAAGAAACAAGAGCAGCGAGGTGGGGAGGGCGCAGAGCCACGGGGCCGTTGGCAAACGCGGGCGAGGAGTTTGAATAAACAGCACGAGCCGACGGGAAGCCAGTGGAGTTAGACGAGGAGAGCGGAGGGATGGGATGTGATGTGGGAGATTAGAACTAATCCTGGCCAAAGCGTCTTGAAGTTGCTGGAGGGGAGCACAGGCGTAGGCAGGAAGAGCAAGAAGAAGGGGATTGGAGTGGTGGAGACGCCATGAGGGCGTAGGGGGAGAGTATTTTGGCAGCGGAGATTGAGATGAGGGGGGCGAATTTTCCGGATGTTGAAGGGATGAAAGCGGCACGTGGGTTACGGTGGAGATATGCTTGGTGAAGGAGAGAGGGGCAATCAAAGGTGACCCCAAGGTTTCGAGCAAAGGAGACAGAGGTGGGGATGGGGTCGAGAGGAGAGGATGTGGGGTGGGGGCTTTAGAGATGATTTAGAGATGACAGTTGACAGTCCAGCCGAGGAAGTTTGGGGGAGTAACGGTGAAGAGGGAGGAAGCAGGCGGCGGTGGTGGTGGTGGTGAAGGTGGGTGGGGGGGATTGCGGGGCAAGAGTGAGCAGAGAGACTGGTGGTTGTGCGCGTGAGCTTGGCGGGGGGGGGGGGGGGGGCGTTGAATCTCCTTCACTCATCGCCCGTCACGCGCTTCAATGGCAGCGGCGAGCGGGCTCCACACGCTCGTTCGTCGCTACGATTGCTACGGCCTCTTAATGCAACATTCTTTAAATACGCGCGCGCACACACAGATATATATTCACATTGTGTTGTACAGCACAGGGCGCAGTCCCCGACTTACGGGAACAAGTTCCGTTCGTCAAGTGGAGACGATCCGTTAAAGTCGCAACACAACGTACTGTATTCACGTGCGCGGACGGCCAAGTGTTGTGAAATGTGTTCACGGGGTGGGTGGGTGGGGGGGTGTTAAACCCATAAATAAGAATGCGACGACGGAAATAATTCCGCGGTTTCGGTTCGCGAGTTCAAGTTCGCAAAGAGTCGGGCGGTTAAATAAATAAATATCTTACGGAAGAACGCTCGTAAGTGCGGGCATTCATAAGTTGGGGAGTGCCTTCCTGTGTATATATTAGAACTCCTGGCACAAAACATGCATCGGCTAACTTAATTGCTCGACGTTTGAATTGCAAACGTAGAGTCTTGTCCGCGCTCTCCACACTCCGGCCGCGGCTCCGCGGAGGACGAGAGCGGACGCTCCGACGAGGGTGCCTTCGTGACGTCACGGACACCAACAGAACCCTGGAGTGTGTATTATTACTGTCGCTGTTGTCGTCTTTGTCGTCGTCGTCACGGCGGTCGGCCTCATCGTTGAGCCGGCTTGGCAACAGCCAAAACGTGAGCCGATCGCAGCTCCATCGCAGAAGAGTCCGGCGTCAGCGGTTCCGCCAGGTTGCGTTGAACCTGCACGGTTTTTCTGTCCCCCTCAGCGTTCGTAGCGTTTCAAAACGGGCGCAACTCTGAAAAACCGCACAACACTGATGATGATGATGCACAGAGCGCTCCGCTCGCAACTCCAAAGGTTGAGAGTTGACATCCCACCGCCATCATCGAAGTCTGTGCCACGGTGGCTAGGAGATGTTAACTACCTCGCCTGGTGTGCAGGAGGTCGTGGGTTAGATCCTGACAATGACGCCTGCTGCTGTGCGTTTCGAGTTTGCGGTGTCTCTCCCTCTCCCCGTGGAATTTTCTCCGGGTCCTCCGATTTTTGCCTCCACATTTAGAAACATGCATTTAGAGTATTTGGCTGCTATACATTTCCACATTAAAAGCCGCTTCGTTGACCTATCATTTGTGATAGCCAGGTCGCTTCTGAGAAAGAGCCATACACAGCTCAGCAATACAAAATTTTATCATCATTTTCATTTGTCCGCGGTAGCCAAAAACAACATGGAGCCACTCGTTTGCACCCCCAGGATAAACTACAGGCCCCTGGCAGGCACGTGACCATGGCATTCTCACTGCTTGGCTTCAAGGTTGCGAGTGGTGGGTGGGGGGATGAGTGCCGCAATTTTTTTGTTATTTGGTGGAATACCATCCGGCAGTGGAAAAACAAGTGGGAACTTTATCAGTCAAAAAATACATTCGAGGAATAACTTCGAGGGCGTGTTTACACGGCCATCGATTTTTTTTGTTCGCTAAAATTGAAGAATTCAAATGGCTTTAGTCAAAGAGGGAAGCGAAAATGGCAGGAATGAAACAATAAAAGAAAATACATAGAAAACGAGTGGGAAGAAAACCCCCCCCACCCCGAAAAGGTAGCTTTGGAGTAGCGGACGCATCACGTCGCCACAACCGATGTGCAACAGGGTTGGTCCAGATGTCTTGTGACCCCCCCCCCCCCCCCCGCATTTCATTCTCTAAAACGTAATAACTTTTGAGAAAATGTGAGGGGTCAATCAATTGGCGGTGGGAGGGGGGTCACGAGACGTCTGGACCACCAACCCTGTAGATCCGCAAACTCAGTTGTTCAAGTAAAAATTCTGGAAAAACGTCCCAAAACCGCCGCCGATCGCTTTCCAGAACCCCCCCCCCACCCTGGGGATCGATTTGGAGGCAAGGAGGTTCTTTCCCTCCTCCCTGCACGGCGTTACCTCTGCGCCGCTCACCTTTGCACACATTCGGCCCGTACGTGGAAAGGTCAACATACACACGTACGGCACGTGACAGGACGTCATGTGGCATCATAACGTCTGTACAGATGACATACGAGGTCACGTGGCCATCCGAATAACTTCACAGCTCGTCGGATTCCTCCGGCATAAATAAAGATTCTGACGACGATATTCAACGTGTCTCAAGGCGGGTGGGCGGCAGCTTCTCAAGGACGGGTTCAAAGTTGGTCTCACGGCGAGGGGGGCGGGGGTCGAGAGGTTGCGGGGGCGCCGCCCGCTTCACGGGCGCGCCATGCGCTTGCGCCGCAGACTGCGCCGCAGCGCCTCGGGCGTCAGCTCGTGGCGCGTCACCACGCCCACCACGTGGCCCGCCGCGTTGACCACGGCGAGCTGGCGTGCCTGCAGCGCCGCCATGACGCGCAGGGCCTCGCCGGCGCTGGCGCGGGCGTTCACCGCGGGGGCGCCGGCGTCCACGTACGGCGTCACGTCCACGACGGCGCGCGGCTCCAGCAGCGCCAGCTCCAGGTCGCCCACGTCCAGGCCGCGTCGCTCCGCCTCCGCCAGCGTCGCCGCTCCCACGCGCGGCTGCCGCGCCGGTGCCCGCCCCTCCTCGTACCACGCGCCCCGCGCCAGCAGGGCCGCGAGGCGCGAGCGCGACACCATGCCGTGGTAGGTGAGCGGCCGCAGGCGCTGGGCCAGCGTCCAGTCGCCGGGGAGGCCCGCGTCCGCCGCTCGGCCGGGGTCGCCGGCGTCCCCGCTGGCCCAGCCGGCGGGCTGCAGGTTCGGGTACGGCTCCACCCCCGGCTGCAGGACGCTGGCGAGGTACTCGCAAGCGGGCGACGACTCCTCCTCGTCCCCCTCGTCGTCGTCGTCGCGCCGGCGCCGCTCCGGCACGCCGCCTCGCCCGGCGCCCGGCGGCCGCTGCAGCTCGGCCGACGGGTACGAGCGCATCGAGCGGCTGCGGCGCCGGTACTCGTTCGCGCGCGTCACAGCCAGCGCGGCGCGGTGGAACTCGCCGTTCGCGGCCAGCAGCGCCGCGTTGCCGGCGCCGCCGTGGGAGGCGCCGGCGGCCTCAGTGACGACGGGGAAGGCGTGGTGGCGGCGCGCGCGCAGCACGCTCACCAGCGACTGGACGCGCGTGTGCGGGTACACGTACACCAGCTCGGGCTCCATCACGTCGCTCACGAGCAGCAGGCGCTGGCAACGCTGGCCCGGCGCCGGCGGCGGCAGCGGCTCCGCCGAGTCGTCGGGGAGCAGCGGGAGGCCCCGCAGCGCCGCGGCGGCGCGCGCCGGCTCCCGCGACCACGCGCCGGCCAGCCAGCCCGACAGCAGCAGCGCCAGCAGCGCGGCCGCCGCGCCCTCGGCGTCCGCGCCGCTCGCCTCCACCAGCGCGAGCGCCAGCACCAGGGGCCAGCGCGCCACGCCGCCCAGCGCGGCCGCCGCCCCCGCCAGCGCCAGCTTGTCCTGCCGCGGAGGCGGCCACCGCCGCGGCTGCCAGCGCCGGAGGAGCCCGGCGGCCAGGCGGCCGTAGACGGCGCCCACCAGCAGCTGCGGCGCGAAGGCGCCGCCGGGCGCCCGCAGCCCCGAGGCCCAGAGCGAGAGGGGCGCGAGGCAGCCCAGCGCCATTAGCAGCGAGGGCGGCGACGGCGCCGCGCCGGGTCCCAGGAGGCCGCGGAGCGCCGTCTCGGGCGCCGACAGCAGCAGCCGCGCGAGGTCGTTGGCGGTGCCGTTGGGGCAGAGCAGCGACGGCAGGAGGGCGCGCGGGTCGCGGGGCCCCGCCGCCGTCGCGTTGCCCGCGGCGGCGGCGCCGCCGTCGTCGCGGCACGAGCCGAGGGCGGCGGCAGCCAGGAAGGCGGCGCAACTCCCGGCGAGCGAGACGAGCAGCGCCTCGAGGGCGCCGGCGCACGGCGGCTTGGCGAAGACGTGGCGCGCGCGGTAGCGGGACAGCCGCGCCCGCAGGCGCCGGTGCGCGGCCGCGTGGACTCCGCCCACCGCGCCCAGCGCCATCGCCGCCGGCAGCAGCGCCCAGGGGTCGGCGCCGCCCGCGGGACGCCCGCCGGATTCGCCGGCCAGGTCGAGCATTCCCACGGGCCACGCAGGAGGAGAGCCGCCAGCGCCGGACAGCGCCAGCGCGCCGGAGGAGAGCGCCGAGAAGGCGAGGGAGGCGGTGACGGAGCTGAGCAGGACGGGGAAGACGACGCCCGGGTCGGCCAGGGCGCCGGGCCCCGCGTTCTGGAGGCCGAAGACGGCGCCGGCGAGGGGAGCGCCGAACGCCAGCGCCATCCCGGCGGCCGAACCGGCGGCCGCGAGGCAACGGCGCCCGCGCGCCGTGCAGAGGGCCGCCGGGCGGAGTCCGGCGCGGGACAGCGCCGGGCAGAGCAGAGAGGGCAGCCACAGGCCCAGCGCCGTCCCCACGTGCAGCATGGGGGCTTCGATGCCCACCTGCCCAAGGGGGATTCGTCACGGCGGTTGATTAGGAACAGGGAGAGGTGATCGGAGTTCAAGAGACCTCGCAAACATCACAACCCACGAAGCTCACGGTCCACCCTTAACTGCATCCCGCTGCGCAGAGCATGGCATCAGCAGCAGATGATACCTGATGCACAAATAAAATAACTCTCTCCTGCAGCGGTGTCCGACAGTGGTCATCCAGAGCAGAGACCGGAGTACAACGCAATGCAAGAACCGATCCACAGATACGGAGGAGACATCGTCACAGCGATGGACTCGCTCCGCTACTGCTCCTGACGCGGTACGTTTTTTGACCACCTGAATGTGCATCGTAGTTATTGCAGAATCTCAGGGCCGCTGCATTTGGGCAAGTGACACTGTGCACGTTACACATCAGCATTGTTATTATCGACATCAGTGGCCGCGCGAAGATTAAGGGCCATGCTAGACCACGTCGCTGGTGTCATTCATGACTGCTGCTGCTGCTGAGATGTTGACATTGAAAAAGACTGACAGAGACGTCAGACGTTGGCACTCGAAATGTATCGCTGCAGGAGGACGCTGCTGCTACTGCTGTCTAAGCTGGAACCAACGGAGTGCCCAATGTAGACGCAGGGAAAATGTTGCTGCTGCTGCTGTTGTTGTTCGGGACAAACGGAAGTGGAAAGAGAGAACGACCGAAGAGAGAATGTCCTGAGTAGGACGCCGTCGTGAAATATTGGTGCCAGAGAGAAGTGTCCACCACGTGACCACATTGGCACCACAAGAGAGTGGACACCACGTGACCACATTGGCACAAGGCAGGAGGAGTGGGCACCACGTGACCACATTGGCACAAGGCAGAGAGTGGACACCACGTGACCACATTGGCACAAGGCAGAAAGTGGACACCACGTGACCACATTGGCACAAGGCAGAAAGTGGACACCACGTGACCACATTGGCACCACAAGAGAGTGGACACCACGTGACCACATTGGCACAAGGCAGAAAGTGGACACCACGTGACCACATTGGCACAAGGCAGAAAGTGGACACCACGTGACCACATTGGCACCACAAGAGAGTGGACACCACGTGACCACATTGGCACCACTAGGCAGAGAGGAGTGGGCACCACGTGACCACAGTAGACACACCTACTACGGTGATTGCAAATATTTAAATTAACCAACTTTCTTCCACCTTTTTAAAAACGCTCCCGTGCGATCAGCGTCAGAGACGACAACACGCCGCAAGATGTCAACTACCTCGCCGGCTGTACAGGAGGCCGTGGGTTCGATCCCGAGTATTTGGCTGCTAAGAGAGAGTTGGGCCCAAGTGCCGATAGCGAGCAGCAGTAGCAGCAGCTATGAAGGCCGTGGACACGGCACACGAGGGGGTGGGTGGCCAGCACCACGCCCGGCCGCCTTTGTCTCCCCAGTGCCGCTGTCGTTTCCACCCCTCCCCACCACCCCCACCACCGCCAAGACGCACCACGAGGCCCCCGGCAGACGCGCACGCCGCTCCGAGCCCTCTGACCGCCACGGCCCCGCGCGTCCACGCGACCGCATCTCGGACCCCGTCCCTCAGCAGCCACGACGCCTCCTCCTCCTCCTCCCCCCACCCCCCGTGCCGCCGCCGCCGCCGCCCGGAGCCGCCGCCGCCGACGACGGCGGCGGTGCCGGCCAGGGCGGCTCCCAGCGCCAGCGCGCCCCGCACGGCGGCGCCCAGCAGCAGCAGCAGCGCCAGGGCGCCGCGCTCCTCGCTCCAGCGCAGGGCGCCGTCGAGCGCGGCGCGGGGCAGGGCCCAGGCGAGACGCGCGGGCAGCCAGACGAGCAGCAGGGCGGCCGCGGCGACCGCGGCGCCCAGCAGCGGGAAGCAGAGGCCGTGGGCGGCCCGCGTGAGACACGCGCGGCACACGCGACGACGCCTCCTGCTGCCGCCGCTGCTGCCGCCGCCGCCCCGCGTCCTGCCCTTCGTCAGTCCCTCGTCCTCGCCTCCTCCCTCCCCTTCCTCCTCCTCGTCGTCGTCGTCGTCACCCGCCTCGTCGTCACGCTCCTCGTGCTCGGCCTGCAGCGCGCTGGGCCACGCGTCCCGCCGCTCCAGACTCTCGACGACGGCGGCGGCGCCTCCAGCAACGCGGCCGCCGCCGCCGCCGCTCTCCGCCTCCTCCTCCTCGTCGTCGTCGTCGCACAGCTCCGCGAGCTCCTCGGGGGTGCGCGCTGCTGCTCGCGAGCCGCCCGGAGAGTCCCCGCAGCAGCCGCAGCCGAAGCAGCAGCAGCCGAAGCCGCGAGCGCCGCCGTCAATGCCCACGCCGCCATCACTGTCCGCGCGCTCCATGTTTCTTGTTGCTATGGGAGGGGGCGGGGCTACGCGATGACGTCGCGCCGCCGAGTCAGCGTTGTGCGGCGTGCGTGGTGACGTCAGACGCAGGGCGCGAGACCGTCTGCGGTGCCGATGACGTCATCACGCACACATCAACCCCCCCCCGCACCGTGCGGGTTGACGTCATAAAAGGCCGCAGGACGTTCAGGATGACGTCATCATGCACGTCAGTTCACCAAAGGGGTGCAGGGTGACAGGAGCTGTGGTGCAGGGTGACAGGGGCTGTAGTGCAGGGTGACAGGGGCTGTGGTGCAGGGTGACAGGAGCTGTGGTGCAGGGTGACAGGAGCTGTGGTGCAGGGTGACAGGAGCTGTGGTGCAGGGTGACAGGAGCTGTGGTGCAGGGTGACAGGGGCTGTAGTGCAGGGTGACAGGGGCTGTAGTGCAGGGTGACAGGGGCTGTAGTGCAGGGTGACAGGGGCTGTAGTGCAGGGTGACAGGGGCTGTAGTGCAGGGTGACAGGGGCTGTAGTGCAGGGTGACAGGAGCTGTGGTGCAGGGTGACAGGAGCTGTAGTGCAGGGTGACAGGGGCTGTAGTGCAGGGTGACAGGGGCTGTAGTGCAGGGTAACAGGGGCTGTAGTGCAGGGTGACAGGGGCTGTAGTGCAGGGTGACAGGAGCTGTGGTGGAGGGTGACAGGAGCTGTGGTGCAGGGTGACAGGGGCTGTAGTGCAGGGTGACAGGGGCTGTAGTGCAGGGTGACAGGAGCTGTGGTGCAGGGTGACAGGAGCTGTGGTGCAGGGTGACAGGAGCTGTAGTGCAGGGTGACAGGGGCTGTGGTGCAGGGTGACAGGGGCTGTGGTGCAGGGTGACAGGAGCTGTAGTGCAGGGTGACAGGGGCTGTGGTGCAGGGTGACAGGGGCTGTAGTGCAGGGTGACAGGAGCTGTGGTGCAGGGTGACAGGAGCTGTGGTGCAGGGTAACAGGAGCTGTGGTGCAGGGTGACAGGGGCTGTAGTGCAGGGTGACAGGAGCTGTGGTGCAGGGTGACAGGGGCTGTAGTGCAGGGTGACAGGAGCTGTGGTGCAGGGTGACAGGGGGTGGTGCAGGGTGACAGGAGCTGTGGTGCAGGGTGACAGGGGCTGTAGTGCAGGGTGACAGGAGCTGTGGTGCAGGGTGACAGGGGCTGTAGTGCAGGGGCCCACATCTCAACATTTCCCTGTCAATTAGTTCACCCACATCACGTGACGCCTCCTTCAACTCCGTACTACCCCAGGGCCTCGTCGTATTTCTAGCCGCAGTATTTAACATTTGAAGAGCTCGCAGATGGATCCTGAGTGGACCGTCACGTGTTTGCGGCAACGCGTTCCAACTGTGATGGCACAAACTGCATGCGCGCGCACGTGTGTGCCTTCGGCACATTCACATCAAAGTTTAACAATGTTTTCCCCGTCTATACATTAAAAAAAATGTTTAACCCACAATGATTTTAATGGGTGCAGCTAAACTAATTAATGACTTTTTCATTATTGTATTTCCATGAACAGGTCCATTCTATTATTGGAACCTGCTGAAACGCCCCTCCTGGACATCTGTGAAAAAGAGTTTCTTAGCTCATCGGATTCCTCCTATTCCGATTCTGAATCTCTTCCATTACCGCATGTGGCGGCAGCAATGTTGTCCTCCTTCTTCAGGATCTCGACATCCTGCTGTGGAGGTCGTGCCGCTTGCTGCTGTCCACGCTGAAAGCGCTTCAGCAGAGAGATCGCGTCGTTTGCCTCCTCCTCCTCCTCTGAGCCAGTTTCGACATTCAGTGTATCATCAGCAAGCCAGGCTTTGCTTGAACCATTGGTTCAACAACAGCAAAAACTGGGCCGGTTTTGACATTGTTTTTATGCTGACGTTTGCGTCCCAGTTTGACGGGAAGCGATGCATCAAACATGGCAATGGAGCACGATTTATTCCTGCATCATAAATTCACGCGCGTTAAGTAACTTAGGCGTCTGTTGCATAATCTAATGCATTAAAACAAAATGGAAATGCTTTTCATGAATTCAGTGAAACAGATCAGCTGTAAGTTACCACTACCTCCACCACAATCGTTTTTTTTTGTTTTAATGTTAATAAACACAAAGGGTTTGATGAAACAAAGAAATTGTACTTCTGTGCCCATGCTTAATTTGTTTTCATGATTTACCTTCTAACACAAATCTGGCCACGTCTCGCACAACCCCAGAAGGGGCATCTCGCACCCCCGAGGGATAGCGTGCACCTCACGTTAAGAACCACTGATCGAGATGATTTAAAAGTGCATCATGGCTCCCAGCGGTGTCCTAATATCGGAATAAAAGAGCGTTCCAGACGGGCCGCAGAAGCGCATTTCCGGAAGCGCCGTGCGACGGTGGGGCGCAACCTCCGTCTCTGTTCGCCTGGTGCAGAGAGCTCCTTGGGACGGCCAGGCAGCCAGGGAGCCAGCCAGGCCGTTGCAGTGCACGCCAAGGCGAGAAAGACCGCAGTCGGTGCCCGTCAGGGTGGTGGCTCGGCTGCGGACAGAGCGAGGAGTTCAAATCCTGGTTGGAGGCGACGGGGGAGGCGGGTTGAATCAACCCATCATGCCTCCCTTCCGCAGGGTCGATAAAATCGGTACTCGCCCGTTGGGTTGGGCTGTTGTTGTACTCGAGTCACGCCCAGAGGACGACACGGAACGTTCGCGAGCGGCAGGAGCGGCGGTGGCGCGCGCACTCAAAGCGGTTCTTTGTTTGGTTTATTTAAACTCAAAAGTGGCGGCGAAGCTTCAACAAAACAAACCGACGAATGTGTCTCGCCCGCCCACGCGACGAGCCTCGTTTCTTTGTTCGTTTCCCAAATCTCGCTCGCGCGTCGCCCACTGGCGGGCTCGCAACGCCGAAACTCGTGCCGCTCGTGCCGCCGGCCGCCGCCACCGCCACGTGGACCGCGCTCACGAGACAGCGCGCGGAGAGTCACGCGGGGCTCACGGGCGGGGCCTGCGTGTCGGCAAACGGCACGGCGGCAATCGCAAGACATTCATTTAACGCGAAACGTTCGCCATCTCTCTCGGACAGTCATTACAACCCGTTACTCATCACCTCAAAACATAACACACACCCCCCCCCCCCGACCAAAAATCACTTTTCACAATAGAAAATAAGTCATAAAGAACGTAAATATTTAAAAAAACGACTCAACGACAATTAATTTAAAACAAACATAACTAACCTTTGCAGGGAAACCCGCCCAAGAGATCTGCTGCACGTTGGATGGGGGGGGGGGTGATGCGAAGGGCTTCAGCGCTGCCACTGTGACACTGCCGCAGGATCAGAATGTCGATCTGCATTGGCGGGGGAGGATATCTGATGAGCTATGAAGCTCTTTGTGTCACACACGTGCAGAAAGCGGACGACGATGGCAGCCTCCTCCTCCTCCGGTGGGGGGGGCGCTTCTTGTGCGACGACCTCGCGGCACGTGGCTCGCGGAGAAATTCCGTTCGCTCGGAGAAATATTCCATTTCGTCCGTCCAAAGGAGAAAAAACTAAAGTCTCCTTCAGGGTCGTCAATTTCCCTCCGTACCGGAAACTTCCGTAAACCGAAGGTCCGCGCAGGCCGCGGGATACGCGCACTTTGGCCACGAGAGGGCGAGCGAGGCGCGTACGGCCGTGGTGCCGCGTTGCCGTCTCCCGCGGTCTCCTTCGCCGCTAACTCTGCCGCAAGCCGCTCTAGTAAATCCGAGAGGTGGTGGGGGGGGGGGCACGTCGACCGCTCACGGTCGGGGGGGGGGGGGGGCAAGGAGGAGGAGAAGGGCGCTCCCTCCTCTCGCCATTGTGACGCCCCCGTCCCCGCGCAGGCCCGGCACGGCGGTCCCACGCGGACGGATGCACCCTGCGGGCCCCAACGCCACCGGTCCCAACCCGCCGATCGCGCGCGGCAGGCGGCTCGGAGAGGAGGGAGCGAGCCTGAGCGCGACTGCCGCCCGCAACCGGGTCGCAGGCGCTTCCCGCACGCGATTCGCGTGCGGTCGAGTTTCGGCCGACCGTCGCCCTGACAGCCGAGTCCCAACTCGGAGCGCAGAGACGCGCACGACGAGCGCTTCGGTTGCGCGCGAGCGACGGCTCGGCCGACGGCTCGCGTCGCTCTGCGCGTCACGCGAGAGGGTCAACAATAACAACACGTTCATTCGAAGCTGATGAACAAGAACACTTAAAACGCAAATTGCACTTCGAAGCGTAGAAACTCTGTCAATGGCACTTTCCAACAACGCTCACGGCCATGGCATGGGGGGGGGGGGCGAAGGTGGGGGTGACGGGGGGTGGGGTCGGGTGGTGGTAGCAGCGCGAGTGGGGGTAGTAGTGGCGGTGGTGGTAGCAGGGGTGGTGATGGTAGCAGGGGCAGTGTTGGCAGTGGTGGTGGCAGCAGCAGTCGTGGTGGTCGAAGGGGTGGTGGTGGTGGTAGCGGCATGCGTGTCGCTGCGATCGCCGAGTTCTGCCAAATTCGAAACGACTTCCAAGGCAACGACGACACGGGGCTGCACTGCAGAGGGAAATCCACTGCTGGATGAGGGCTCCCCCTTCCCCCCCACCACCCTACCACCCCCCCCCCCTTCCCACACAACGCCACGCGTGGGTCACGGCGAAGGTGGCGAGGCCCCACGTGGGATAGCAGCACGGGCCGAGTCCTCGCTCAACGCTCGCCGGCTCCAACGCGAGGTCAGTCCCTCGGGGAACGCTTTTCGCACGCACAAAACGCAACGAGACCTCCCTGTTATAACGCGGCACATACGCACCTCCCCTTCCTCCCGTTATAACGTGGCACACACGCACCCCCCCCCCTCCCGTTATAACGTGGTACACGGCCCTTGTTACAACGCGGAATGCACCGTTATGATGCGCGCACCGTTATGATGCGCAGCGCGTGCCACCGTTATAAGGCGTTTCTGAGCAGTGGACTTCCAACCTCGTTCTTGAACTGAGCGGTACAGCGACACGGTACGCGGAGTGATACGGTAACGCAGTGATGCGTCCCCCCATCTCACCCGAGTTGTGCACCGTACCCCACCAAGCTTCATCGTTGCATCACCCACGGGGGGGAAATCGGTTTCCGCTTAACGCGGGCGCTCTTCAGGAATGCCTCGACACCACCACTGCCACCTGACAGCGCGTGAAACGAGCGACTTTGCCGCCTACGGCCACAGATTGTGTTGCACTGCCCTCTGCTGCCCACGGCTCAGCTCAGATTAATCTGCACGAAGACCCAACAAAACCTACGAAGAGCAATAGCCCGGTGCACCAAACCATTGTGCCACCACTCCCCCCACCCTCGACTTTGCCAACCGTCACGGAGCGGTCAAGTATGGTCAAAAACAAAAACCAATCAAACCCCCAGGACCGACACGGTGGAGGGTCGGAGGGCTTCATTCCCTGGTGGATGGACGGTGACCGGCTGCAACTTATTCATCATCACTTGTTATTTGCAGTGCTACAGCGGCGTGCCGTTTGTGTTCATCAGCAAGGTGACGCCCCCCCCCCCCCAGCGATGCCGATCGCCACTCCCGGCGGCTCATTCCCTCTTGAATTTGAAATGTTGTGCGCTCACCCGCCACCGCGATAAAACTACAAACTAAAACTATTTTTTATTTTACCAGGTAAGGTCCCACTGAGCTATACAGCTCGTTTTCCGGAAGCGACGAGTCCATCACAAACGATAGCTGAACCAAGTGGCCGATCGCCACCGTGTGGAAATACACAGCGGCAGCCAAATACTCACGAAACGCGTGACGTCGATTCTAGACGAGGAGGGAAAGACCGGTGAACCACGCGACCACGGGGAGAACACGCAAACTCCAAATACACAGCAGGGGTCAGGGTCGGGATCGAACCCACGACCTCCTGTACACCAGGCGAGGTAGTCAACATCTCGCCAGCGTGGACGCCCACAATAAGGTAAGGCAGCGCTGCAATACTGAAACAAACTGCGTTCAACAATCTCAACTGTCAAAGCGATTTCCTCGCTTCCTTAGATGTTTACAGCCCCTGCAAAGCCAGTGGTGGAAATTCCACATTCCCGTGGCGGGGGTGGGGAGGGTGAGTCTCTGCATGGGAGAACCCGCAGTTGATGTCACCACAAAGTGGTGCTCAGTTTATCGACTCCGGAGGGATGGATGATGGGATTTCCATCAGGCTCTCGGCAAAACGGGTCCGCAAGCGCGTCGGTAACCACCAACGCAATGACAAAGCTCCCCCGTGCAGCCGCTAATAGACTGTCGGGGCAAGTGCCGTTAGCGAGTAGCAGCACCTACGGAGGTCGGCACTGCGGCACACGAGGGGACGGGTGGCCAGCACCACGCCGCCCGGCCGCCTTGTCTATCCACAGCGCCGACATGTACGCATAGCACCTCCCGTCCCCCCCCCCCCCCGAGACGCAGGTACTCATTCGAGGCTGAGTCGACCTAGTGGAGGACCAGGACCCCTTCAAACTTTCGCCACTGGGTTTGACCGCGAGCGCAGATACCGCTCCCCGTGCACACGCGTGCACGCTAACCGCAGCACCACCGTTCCCCGTGCACACGTGTGCACGCTAACTGCTGCGCCACCGCTCCACCCCACACCCCACAGGTACCGCCTTAACCGCAGCACGGCGACCTCATCGCGGTGACCACGGGAGCCGCCGCCGCAGTGTGCGGCGCGGTGGGTGGACGGCTGGACGCTGGTACCCCCCAGTCCCCCACCCCGCCCCCCTTCCCTCCCCCCCACCCTCCCCCCCACCCCGCTCCCCACCCCGCTCCCCCCCACCCCTTCCCGCCCCCCCCCCTCCCCCCGCTAGGTTGAGAGCGTTCCTTGAAGGCTTCCCTCTTCTCCGGTCGTCGTCTCCGCACGCGGCTCGCGGATCCCTGGACTCACGCCGGAGTCACCTGCACGACGACAACGACGATGTGATCATTTGAGGCCGAGTCGACCTAGTGGCGGCCCGGCACCGGTTCGGATAACCGCCGACTGGCGCCGGCGGGAATCGAACCGGAGCCGAAAGCCGCTTTCGTAGCGCGGCGCACTCGCCACGCGTGCCGTGTGCTCGCGCGAGCGAACGCACCTGCAGACTCGTCCAGCTGCTCGTCCAGCTGCTCCTCCAGCTGCTCGTCCGACGGTTCGGCGTCTCCTCCGACTTCAGGAGCCGACACGGTCAACGCGGTTCCGTTCTAGAGGTTGGGCGAGGGGGGCGTGAAGCAACAGGGCCGGGTGAGAGAGGCGGCGCCAGCGAAGACCCGCGACAGCCTCGCGCTGGCACCGCTCGGCTGCACCAGCAGAACACCGGCGCACGTGTGGAGCCTCCTTTCTCAAGTGGGCAACCTTGCCCATCCACCCCGCCCACCACCCACCCGCCCACCACCCACCCGCCCACCCCGCCCACCACCCACCCGCCCGCCACCCCGCGTCACCTGAATCTTGGCAGCTGCCGGCCCCGGGCTTTGCCCCCCGCCAGTGCCGCCGGTGCCGCCGGTGCCCTCCTCCGGCTCGGGCTCCTCCCAGGCGGCGTGGCCCAGCCTCACGAGCTCCGCGGCGACGTCCACGCTCTGGGGGGGGGGGGGGGGGCACGGCGCGCGCTCGAGAGGATGAACCAGGGCGGCCGCCGTGAACTCGGACCACGAGAACGTCCGCGGGCGAGCGGCACGCGCCCGTGCGGGTCGAACCTACGGCCTCCCTGGTTAATACTCGGTAACGTAGACCGCAGATCCCCACCACAACCCCCCCTACTCCACACCCCCCGCTCCCTAACCGAGACAAAAATTAATAAACTGTGCAGCGATTTTAAAAGCGTGCCGAGATATCCACGCTGGACTCAGGGCGTCGTGCCATTAAACGATGTTGATCTTTGTTATACAAAGCAGCCTTCGAAGGCGAAGAGCGAGTTTGTGGATTCGACCCCGACGTCTGTTGTACATTTGGAGACTGCGTCTCTCTCTCTCTCTCCCCGTGATCGCGTGGATTTTTATCCGGGTCCTCCGGTTTTTCCTTCCACATTTAGAATGGACATCACCACCACGCGTTTCAGAGGACTTGGCTGCCGCTAGAACTTTCCACGTGCCGATGGAAAGCGCCTTGGTTGAGCTGTCATCTGCGACGGCCAGGTCGCTTTTAAAGAAGAGCTCAGTGGGCCTTGCGTGGTTAAAGAAAATTTTGTTTTAACTTAATTTATATATTTTTTTAGTTTAAACGCCAACAATAACCGATTACACTCACGGTGCGGGTAATATCCAATCACAATTAAGGACAAACCAACGAATACAAATCGGCTTTTGAAATGAGACCTTTAACGGTGCTGACCAGAGTCCTGGATGCGCGATGAGGTGGGGGGGGGGGGGCGTGAGGTGGGGGGGGCGTGAGGTGGGGGGGGCGTGAGGTGGGGGGGGGGGGGCGTGAGGTGGGAGGGGCGTGAGGTGGGGGGGGCGTGAGGTGGGGGGGGGGCGTGAGGTGGGGGGGGGGGCCGTGAGGTGGGGGGGGCGTGAGGTGGGGGGGGCGTGAGGTGGGGGGGGGCGTGAGGTGGGGGGGACGTGAGGTGGGGGGGGCGTGAGGTGGGGGGGGCGTGAGGTGGGGGGGGCGTGAGGTGTGGGGGGGGCGTGAGGTGGGAGGGGGCGTGAGGTGGGGGGGGGCGTGAGGTGGGGGGGGGCGTGAGGTAGGGGGGGGAGGAGGAGCCGGCCGAGCGGCACCTGCTCGCCAGTGGCGTCGACGAGCTGCACGCTGGGCACGACGCCGCCGCTGTCCGTGGCCACGTAGCGCACGATCTTGGCCTGCAGCGCCGTCCAGCAGGCGCAGTGCGTGAGCCGCTCAAACGCGTCGCTCGCCTCCTCGCTCCAGCACGCGCCTGGCGCCGCGGCGGAGCGCACGGCCCGGACGAGTTAGCCCAACGAGCCGCGGGCGGGGGCCTCGCTGGCTTACGGGGTTCGTGCCACCGGTCCCGGTCGGACAAGCGCAAGACGTGACGGCCACACACGCACCCAAACCCACCCACCCCACCCACCTAACCCACCCCACCACCTAACCCACCCCACCACCTAACCCACCCCACCACCTAACCCACCCCACCCACCCACCCACCCCACCCACCCACCCACCCCACCCACCCAACACACCCACCCACCCACCCCACCCCACCCACTCAACCACCCAACCCACCCCACCCACCCCACACACTCACCCACCCAACCCACCCACACCCACTCACCCAACCAAATCCACCCAACCCACCAAACACATCCAACCAAACCCACCCACCAAAATCTACCCACCTTCCCACGCAAACCCACCCACACCCACTCCCACACCCACCCACCCAACCCACCCAACCCACTCACCCAACCCACCCACTCACCCAACCCACCCACCCACACCCACCCACTCACCCAACCCACCCACACCCACCCACTCACCCAACCCACCCACACCCACTCACCCAACCAAATGCACCCACCCACCCAGGAACATACCGACTGGCTTCACCTGGGCGAGGCTGCATTCGACCGCTTGGAAGGGGAGACTCAGAAAGTCGCTCCTGAATAAAGAAGTCAACAACAACAACAACGGTCACTGCCATCTGAAAGCCGCAAAGGAAAATTCACTTCGCAGATACCACACGGTGCCCAGTGCTTGGTGTGCATGATACACCACCTCACTGCCACCTGCGAGTCGCAAAGCAATAGTCACTTAGCAGAGGTATGGTATGCACGCTGAACTTTCGCACCGTACGTAGCTAAGCGTGCTAATTGGAGATACCCCACGGTGCCCAGTGTACACGGTACACCACCTCACTGCCACTTGCGAGTCGCAGCGCAATATTCGGTCAGCAAACAACACACAGTGCTTAGTGTACGCGGTACACCAACTCACTGCCACCTGCGGATATATTTACTCAGCAGATACCGCACAGTACCTGGTGTACACAGTACACCACCTCACTGCCACCTGCGAGTCGCAGAGCAACATTCGCTCGGCAGACACCACGGCCCGGGGGGACGGCGCGCACCGCAGAGGCCGCAGGTTGCCGGCGGGCACGACGGCGCTGTCGCCGTAGTCCACGTAGTAGAGCTCCACCGTGTCGGCGCTCGCAGGACGGGCGACGCGGGCGCGGTACCACACGCTCGCGTGGTCGAAGGGGGCGGATACCACGTCGCCAATGCCAGGCGCGGGCACGGCCTGCGCACCGCACGGTCGGGGAGGGGGGGCGGGGCGGGGAGAGCGGTGTGTGGGATGCACGGGCACGGCGGCACTATACGGGAAGTTTCGGTCGCCTCCGCGTCGTTCTTCTATCGCTGCTCGCTACTACTACTACTTTGCTGCTGCTGCCGCCACGTTTCTGTTGCCGCGAGCGTCACTCGTCCATTCCTCCAGCCGAGCCGAGGACTCGGGGGAGGGGGGGGGGGGTGTCTAACCAGACTCTCACTGCGTCGTCTCATCCACCATCTAACAGACTACAACTTTACCAGCGGTGTGTGTTGATAACTAATAGATACATAAATAACGAATGGGAAGCGTCTGAGTGGGGGCAGAACAAGTGGCCATCAACCAATGCAATGAGCCAGACGTGCCCCAGCAGTCACGGAGAAGAAGGGATTGAAGACAACGACGACCAATGGAAGGAGTCGGGGGGGGGGGGGGGGGGGAGCCGCACCAATGGATGAAGTTAGAGGGGTCACCAACGGATGTCAGGGGAGGGTGAGCAACCAACAGAAGGAGTTGGGTGAGGGGGGGGGGCATCAACGGAATGAGTTGTGGGGTTGGGGGGGGACAGAGTTGGAGGGTGGGGCCGGGGGTGGGGCAGCTCCAATGCAGGAAGGCGGCACGGCTCGGCACGGCTCGGCACGGCTCGGCACGGCTCGGCACGGCGTTACACGTCACCTCGGCGGCGGAGTCCTCCGAGCCGTAGTAGATGCTCATCTCGGCGGTGAGCCGGTCGAGCTGCAGCGAGCGCGGCCCCAGGATCTGCAGCCACGCGTGGCCCGGGTGTTCGAGGGCCGACACGTACACCTCAAAGAACTCGCCGGCCGCCGTCGCCGCCACCGGGCTCGGCACTTGGGGGGGTGGGGGGGGCGGCGAGCACCGGCGTGGTGACGGGCCACGGCGTGGAACGAGACGCGTGCAGGAGGAGGACGACGATGGATACGGACCGGACAACGCCGACGTTTAGTTTTGATGTCACGGCGTTACCGCGCGGTTTCGCGTCGAACTAAAAATCTAAAACACCGTCAAGGATCGGCGAAGTTCAAACGGCGTTGGTTCAAGCGAGCCGGACTGGCGACGAGACGCCGCGTGTCGGACCCGGTGCCACGGTTTAGCTCGTCGTGAATCGATGCTGTAGAAGTTATGCGCTTGCAGAACTAAATGTAACTTAACTTTTTTATTTTGACCAGGTAAGGCCAACTGAGCTGCTAGGTAGCTCCTGTTCAGTAGTGACCTGGCGATCACAAATTTGGCAGCTCAACGAAGTGGCTTGTCATCGTCGTCGTGTGAAAATTGATAGCAGCAGCCAAATACTCCGCCGATTCTAAATGTGGAGGGAAAAACCGAAAGACCTGGAGAAAAATCCACGCGACCACGGGGAGACAGAGAGACACGCAAACTCCAAATATACAGCAGGTGTCAGGGTCGAGATTGAATCCACGACATCCTGTAGATCAGGCGAGGGAGTTGAAAAATAATAATTCTGTCAATCCATAATCTGTGCCTTTGTCCGTCCTTCCTTCCGTCCGTCCGTCTGTGCGTCACTCCCTAGTACCGCCGGGCTGGCTGGGCCGCGGCGTCTCGTACCTTCAAACGTGGCCCTGCGGACCTCCTGGGACGACTCGTGGGACGACTCGTGGGACGACTCGCGGGACGACTCGTGGGACGACTCGCGGGACGACTCGTGGGACGACACGGGTTCCGTCGTCTCTTCTGGGCACGGCTCGGAGCCCTCACTCCTGCTGGGGGGCGGGCGCTGTCCGGGCCACGTGGTGAAGGTGAAGGCGGTGGCGGCATTGGCGGTGCTGGAGGTGGTGATAGCGGTGGTGAAGTTGCAGGCGGCGACAGTGGTGGCGGCAGCCACGGCGGTGGTGAAAGTGGCGGTGGTGGCGGGGGTGCAGGCGACGGTGGTGGTGGCGGTGGTGAAAGTGGCGGCTGCGGTGGTGAAGGTGCAGGCGACAGTGGCTGTAGTAGCCACGGCGACGGCGGTGGTCGCGGCGGTGACGTTGAGGTTGGGGCCGCGTACCGAGTGGCACGTCCCAGACACCTTCCTCTTGTGGCGTGCGGCCACGGAGGAGAGCACCTCGCTCCGGAAGGTCCTCTTCCTCCGCCACTTTCTCGAGGAGCAGCGACTGCGGAGGCCACACAAGAGGGCAGGGGGAAGGTGTCGGGGGGGGGGGGGGCAACGGAGAACGGGAGGCGATTCCCCTCCTCGTCGATTCACAAAACAATCGTGAATTTTTTTCTAATTGTCTCCTGCTTACCACCGTTTGTGCCGTCTGCCCACCCACCCGCCCGCGCGCGCGAAGGAACGTCGCGCTCGGAGGCTTTAACGGAAAGAACACGGGCGGTACAAATCGAGAACCGAGATGGTGAAGGAAAAACAAAAAAATTTTAAGTATAGAAACAAAAAATAAGGAAACTAAAATGTTAAGTTAGGCCAGCGCGTGAAAGTTTGATCCTGACTGGGCACGCAAAACGCCCGTGGAAAAAGTCCGGGCAGTGACCACGAGCGATCTGTGCTGGCACGGCTCCGGCGTGCCCGCAGGGAAAAGAAAAAAAAACGTGGATTTGCCGCTCGCGTTTTTTGGCGGTCCGGATTCCCGCGACCCTCTGGGCGCGTCTCTCTCGCGGTGCGCGAAGGAGGGCACCAACGAACCTTCGCCATCTCGATCTGCTGGTGCGTGCCCACGATGGTAAACACCCTCTCGCTGTCCGGGTGCAGCCCGCCTGCGTGCTCGCAGTTGATCTTGGCGTTGGAGTGCCGCTGGATGGCGCGGATGTTCTGCCCACCTCGGCCTGCGCTCGCCGGACAAAACACTTTCCTCGGTCACGCGGTTTGCCGCCCGCCCGCCCGCCAGCCCGCCCGACTGCCCGCCTAGCCCGCCCGACTGCCCGCCAGCCCGCCCTGACTGCCAGCCCGCCCGCCCGACTGCCAGCCCGCCCGCCCGACTGCCTGCCAGCTCAGTCGGTCAACCCACGGCACCTGGGTCACTGTCCCGTGACAATCCTGTCGGCGGCGAGCCTTCGACACACTTCACGTGGCCTCAAAGTGCACACGGCCTGGCACAGGCGTCGTGATGACGTCACCGCCACTTAGTGGCGAATGGCGGTTGTTGTTGTTGGCGAGCGGTAGTGGGGAGCAGTAGTTGTAGCGGTTAGCGCGCTGCGCTACAAACCCGGCGACCAGAGTTCGATTCCCGCTTATGGCAACCGACACCAGTGACGATTATCTGAACCGGTCCTGGGCCTCCCCCAGCCTCAAATGCGTACCCGGTAGGGTGTGTGGTAAACGTCGCCACTGGGCAGACAAAGGCAGCCGAGCGTGCTGCTGGCCACCCACCCCCTCGTGTGCCGTGCCGGCCTTCATAGATGCTACTCGCCAAGAGCACTTTCCCCGACAGTTTGTTCAAGCTATACAGGGGATCTTTGTCTTTGGTGGTGGTGATGGTGGTGGCTACGTCGCTGCACGTGGCTGCCTGTAATCTCAGCAGCACTGTGGAGGCAGCGGTGAGGGCTGGTGGATCACACACAGATGATGTTGTGAAACTCCCTCCCCTCTCAGGGTGGGCGTCCAGGAGGAGCCGGACCCTGGCTCGCCAAAAGGCGGTTACAGCAATCGGACCAATCGCCACCCGTTTCCATCTGGGCGGGGATACAGCGTTGCCCCCTCGCGCAAGGCGCGAGGTTTTCTCCGGGTGCTCCGGTTTCCTCCTCCCACGTGAAGAACGCTCATCACCACTCATCGGCTGAAAACATCTTACAAATAAAACCTTACAGTAGCAGCAACAGGCAGTGCCACACTGAGTCCCATGACCCAGCGCGGTTCTCCGGGATAAACTAAATAAGAATGATGCATTATCATTCATAACAATCCTTACACGATAACGTGCACCGACAGCCGCGAGATGTAAATGACATCTCTACGTCTCCACCGCATCTCCAGTGTCATCTCTACCAAATCTCCACCACCGCGTCATCTCCACCGCGTCATGTCCACCACGCTTCATTATTTCCACCGCATCTCCACCGTGTCATGTCCACCAGGCGCCATCATCTCCACCGCATCATCTCCACCGCATCTCTACCGCGTCATGTCCACCACGCGTCATCATTTCCACCGCATCTCCACCGCGTCATGTCCACCAGGCGTCATCATCTCCACCGCATCATCTCCACCGCGTCATGTCCACCACGCGTCATCATTTCCACCGCATCATCTCCACCGCATCATCTCCACCGCGTCATGTCCACCAGGCGTCATCATCTCCACCGCGTCATGTCCACCACGTCATCTCCACCGCGTCATCTCCACCGCGTCATGTCCACCAGGCGTCATCATCTCCACCGCGTCGTGTCACCGGCGATGGGCGAGCGAGGCGCCCCCTTACCCATGATCCTGCCGACCGCCCTCTGCGGGAGGCGCAGCTCCTCCACGGCGGTGGCGCTCTCCGCCACGATGCGGTGGAGGGCGACGCTGGCGCGGCACACGTCGTCCGGCGTGCCGCGAATGCGCACCACCTCCTGGCCACGTGCGTCTCGCTCGCCCCTCGGCGCCCGCTGCACAAACACCTGCGCCCCCGTCTCCCGTTGGAGCTATTGGGCGGAGACGGCGCCGGGAGGGGAGGAGGGAAAGGGGGAGAAGGGGCAGAGGAGGTGGTGGTGGTTCACGCATTTAGAATCGGTCCCCGATATATATACGAAGATATTTTCATCAAATTAATGAGCAAATTAAACCGGAGGACTTGGAGAGAAAACTCACACGTGTGCGAGGGGGCAACACTCTATCCCATACTGGTGCAAAGATGATCTTAGCCGGCACTTTTAGAGCATTTGCCTGCTGTAAATTTCCACACGATGGTGATGAGCCACTTCATTGAGCTATCATTTGTGACAGCCAGGTCGCTTCTGAACAAAAGATAATGTCGCTCAGTGGGGGCCTTACCTGGTAAATAAATAAAACTAGTTGAATAGTATCCTTTGGGTCTTTCGGCAAAGTCACGTAGATAGGTTCAAATTAATAAAAATTAAAAATGACGTTTCGATCGCAACACAAGCGGTCGTCATCAGGCGATCGAAGCGTCGTAGTTTTTTGTTTACTTTATTTTCATTAATTTGAACCTATCTACGTGACTTTACCGAAAGACCCAAAGAATATGAATTCCTGCAGTCACGGAAGCTTCAAGTCAAGATTTAGTTGAATAGTTTTATTAGTCGACTACCTGAGACCCGTGAGCAGCCAAGTGGCCAGTTGTGCGATCTAAACTAAACTATTTTACATTCTACCAGTGAAGGCCCACTGAGCTATGGAGCTCTTTTTCCTAAGTGACCTGGCGATCGCAAATGATCGTTCAAACGAAGTGGCTGATCATCATGTACAAAGTTGTAGCAGCAGCCAAATACTATAAACTCGTGAAGTCGATTCTAAATGCGGAAGGGAAAAACCAGAGGACCCGGAGAAAAATCCACACGACCACGGGGAGAGAGAGAAACACGCAAACTCCAAATATACAGCAGCAGGCGTCAAGAGTCGGGATCAAACCTACGCACTCCTCCTGTATCCCGGGCGAGGGAGTTGACGCCTCGCCACCCCGGTGCCCCGTATTGTACCCGGCTCGCATTGAGTCGCAAATAAATTAATTGTTCACGGCTCGCTCGGAAAGCAGCGAGCGTGAAACCCACTCGTGCCGTGAGGGCCCCGGGGGAGGGGGGGGGGGACACGTGTGCCGGAAGTGGAACGGAAGGAAGGGGGACCCCGTCAGGGGACAGTCGTGCACCTGGTTGATGGTGGCGCCCTGCTTGCCGATGATGGCGCCCAAGGCCGACACGGGGACACTCATCTCCACCGTCGTGAGGATCCTGCGCGCCACACCGCTGCCGTTCTGCGCCAAGTCCTCGTCACCTGCACACGACCCCCACCCCATCCACCCCGTGTCACCTTGACCCCTGTGTAACCTTGACCCCTGTGTAACCTTGACCCCCGTGTAACCTTGACCCCCGTGTAACCTTGACAGACTTGGAGGGAGGGGGGGTGGGGGCGAATGGGGCTGGGGAATGGGGGGCGGAGGGGGTTGGGGGTGTGGTGCGGCGGTGGGGGGCAGCTGGGCGGAGGAGGGCAGGTCGAGCGGCTGGAGGGGACTCGGGGGCCGGCTGGGGGGAGGGGGGCGGGGTGCGTGGGGGGCGACCCTCACCATACTCACGCAGGCGGTGGTACAGGAAGTAGAGCAGCGCAGCTCCGGAGGGGACGGCCAAGAGGAGGGCGACCTTGCGGCCCGTGCCGAGGTCGCCCCAGCGCTGCCAGGGCATCGTGTCGGCGAGAGCCCGGCCCCTAGCCGCACAGCACAGTGGCAGGCACACAGGAGGTAGCTCTACGGTATCCGCTTCCGTGGTCCCTTCCCCAACGCAAAGTGGGGGGGGGGGGGGGGGAATCGGGATTAGATCCGCGTGGGGAAAATATATATTTGAAAAAGAATCGATTCTTGAAAATCGCGAATCGTTGGGCCGCATCGCAGGGATTCACGACATAGCCGCGGCGCGACAAAGTGACGGGCTCGTCCCGCAGCTGTGGAGCAAACCAAGTCCGTGGGAAAGCCGGTCCGGCAGGGGAGGGGAGTGGCGATGGTGCGATGGAGTAAGGCGGCAAACGGACAAAACTCCGCTGGTAAACAGGGGAGACAACCCAAGAGTTTTTCGAGGAGCAGCCTTTATTTAGGCAGACTCAAGGCCCTGTAGGCCGCCACGTCCCTTCGAAGCCTTCGTTAGCCTGACTACACATTGGAAAGTCACGGCCACGGGGGGGGGGGGGGGGGGGAGGCTTTCAGAGTCAGGAGCCTTTATTAATTCCTGGAGGAATCCGATGAAGTTCTTTGTCACCGTTCAACACGTGGCAGTAGTAGTAGCAAGGCTTTCGCGACCAATATTATCCATAAGAGGGTTTTTTTTAAGTTAAATCGCATAAGCGTAAATGCTGTGTCGTTAAATCTGCCCCCACCCGACACAGCCAATTATTAAGATTTGCCAAGTAAACAAAATGTGTCGATTCGTTACCAGTTCAGAGTACCGCGAAATGTCATAGTACTCGAGTTGTGAACGTTGTGCGTTTACTCTCCAGCTAACTGGTGTGTGCCGGACTGGCACGCTCTGTTTACGTGACAAACCTTACTCATGGGCCGTGTCGGGTGGTGGCGGGTTTAACGACACATTTGTTATTTACGCGATCTAACCCAACAAAAAAGACTATCTTTCACAGTGGACAGCCAAGGCCGCCGCTGCCTCAGCGCTGTAAACAAACGGGCGACGCGCTCCCAATGACACTTCAACGCTCAAGTGAGCGGGGAGATCACTCGGACGTCTTTGAACTAAATAATCGACCACCCGGTTATTCTTTTGGGTTGTACCTCCCTCCAAGACAGCGGTTCCCAACTTGGAGTAAGGCAAGAGACATCTCTAGGGGGTACACGGGACAATTCGCACGAAGGCGTCGGTCACGTGGGGTATTGTAGTAGTACACAGATAGTGGAAAGGGCTGGTAGTAGTCCACAGACCTGGGGTAGGGCTGGAAGCGGTACACAGACCGGGGGTAGGGGCTGCTAGGGGTACAGAGACAGGGGTAGGGCTGTAGGGGTACAGAGACAGGGGTAGGGGCTGGTAGGGGTACAGAGACAGGGGTAGGGCTGGTAGGGGTACAGAGACAGGGGTAGGGCTGTAGGGGTACAGAGACAGGGGTAGGGGCTGGTAGGGGTACAGAGACAGGGGTAGGGGCTGGTAGGGGTACAGAGACAGGGGTAGGGGCTGTAGGGGTACAGATACAGGGGTAGGGCTGCAAGCGGTACACAGACAGGGGTAGGGGCTGTAGGGGTACAGAGACAGGGGTAGGGCTGGTAGGGGTACACAGACCGGCGGTAAGGCTGGTAGGGTACATAGACAGGGGCTGGTAGTGATACACAGACAGGGCAGAGGCCTGGTAGGGGTGGAGTCAGGGGGTATGGCCCAGTAAGAGATAAATGAAAGCCAAAGATTGGGAATCACTGCTCTGTGACGCATGCAGAGTGGGGGTGGCGGGGGGCAAGATGGACCACACAAATGGCACAGCACACGAGGAGAGGGCGACTCTTACATGGACGCTATCTCGAAAGCGTTCACATGAACCGTGTCGCGGCCGTTTGACAGCCCGATCTCCATTCTCGCAATGATTTTTTTGTTTGTTTCACACCTGCGGACAAGATCAGCAATTTTTGTTTCGTTTGAAATAAATAAACCACCGTGCAGAGAGGGGGGTTTTCTGTCTCTACCCCTACCAGCACAATAACGGACTGACACGGCCTCACGGACACGATGCGTCAGCCCGAGTTGGTGAAAGCGTTGGAGCAATTTAATAATTGGGCGCCACGTGGCTAGGAGATGTCAACTACCTCGCCTGGTATACACAGGTCCTGGGTTTGATCCTGATCCTGACGATGCCTGTTGTATATTTGGAGCTTGCGTCTCTCTCCCAGTGTATTTTTTATCCAGGTCCCCCGGGTTTTTCCTTCACATCTAAAATCAACATCACGCGTTTGGAGTTATCTGACTGCTGTACATTTTCACGTGACGATAAGCCACTTCGTCCAGCTATCATTTATGATAGCAGCCGGGTCGCTTCTGAAAAACAGCCACATCGCTCAGTCAGTGCCGGATCAAGCTAGTGCGGGGCCTGTAGCGTTTGATGTTATACAGGGGTCCTAAATAAAATAAAACAAATATTAAAACACTCCAAATTAAGTATGTTTAAATATTAATACACTATTTTTTTTTACTTACAGTCAAGTTATTGTATTTTTTTATTTGCTACACAGCCAGATAATACGACATATCACTAACCTTAAACACCCGGTCATTCGTAAAAGTTGAAGGCGGTATAGCACTATAGTAAGAGCTAGTGCAGAATCACTGTAATTTATAGTTTGAAAGAGCGGGACCCTTGAAAGTGCGTGGCCCGTAGCATGTGTAGCGACGAGGATAATCTGACACTGGGCTCATTGGGCCTTACCTGGTCAAATAGAAACGAGTTCGGTAGTTTCACGTGCGTTTAGAGAAAACGGCTGCTAGAAATGTCCACGTAAGCCACGTCGGTGAGCTGCTATCAATTTATAGCCGGGTGCCTTACCTGCTGAAATACAAACTCGTAGAATAGTTTCGTTTAAAACAAATCAAATAGTTGAGTGTGAAGGGTCGACCACGTGCTCGCAGCGCTACTGTACTTCGTCACGAGGCACAGCGCGACCACGTGGCCAGCTCCGAACCAATCACGCGTCGCTGCAACAACGCCACGCACTTGAATACATTTTATTCAAATATAGAAAATATTCTAAATTCTTCGACTTTGGCTATGACTATTATACCAATTTGCAATAGGCGTGCGAGTGTGAAGGTGTACTACTTAAACGTGAGCGACGGCAAAACGTGAAATTCAAAGCGCTCCGCAATATTGCTGCGTGTAAATGAAAATTATACATTTCGGGATGTTGCAGGCACTCACCCGTGACACGGATACTCAAAATAAAAATTGTGCAAACCGTCAATCCTTACCGCTAATGATAACAATTAATCTTGTTAAATGCAACTTAATTTAAATACAGGTTGTTATAAAGTCATTTGGAGCAACAAACGAACTTACAAAAAAAACATACGCCCTCAACCTCAGCTATAAAAGAGCAGAGACAACATGGACGTTGTGTTATTTATAACAACGATCAAACAAATACATTTTGAGTAACAAAAAATATTTTCACAAATTCTCCTTACCACGACCTACCAATGCCCCACGCGTGTAACCCCCAACCGCTTTGTATTTCCCACATCGGATAAGCAGCGGGGTCCGCACGTGATCGGAGCTGTCGTCGTCGCCGATTGGTCAACGCCTCCGCCGAGTGACCAATCGCGGACGTAGCGTCCCGAAGCGCGCTACGAAATCTAATGCGCCTGTGCTGCAACGGACGTCACCGCTCAATTTCCCACGCAGGATAGGCACAGGCGCACTTCTGATTGGCCAGCGAACTGCGCCTCCAACCCCCACCTCGGTTCGTCTAAACCAATGAAATGTCGGCAAATTGAACGTGGGCGCTAATCCACTGTGGGATATCTGAACGGCTGGGCACGTTGGCTTCTTAGGGTTCAATACAATAACAAAGATCACTTTAACACGAAGGAAGCTTTCACATCCAATAGAAGAGGTTTTTGAGTTAGATCGCGTAAATATATGAATGTGTCGTTAAAACCCGCCACCACCCGACACGGTCAACTAGCAAGGGTTCATATTCTTAGTTTTTTCGGTAAAGTCACGTAGGTAAAAAATGAAATCTAAATGAATTATTATTTTATTATTTATTTAGTACAGCGCTAGTGTATAGTAGTGTATAGTGTAGTATACTACACTATACACTAGTAGTATACTAGTGCTGTATAGTATCCTACACTATACACTACACTAGTGCTGTACTAGTATACTACACTATACACTACACTATACACTACACTATACACTAGTGCTGTACTAGTATACTACACTATACACTAGTAGTATACTAGTGCTGTATAGTATACTACACTATACACTACACTATACACTAGTGCTGTACTAGTATACTACACTATACACTAGTGCTGTACTAGTATACTACACTATACACTACACTATACACTAGTGCTGTACTAGTATACTACACTATACACTAGTGCTGTACTAGTATTATACATTTCGATTTCAAGCTTTCTTTTAAGGCGCCCCTTCCCGCTCCAACCTATCTTAAATAGACGCTCCAAGCCTGGGACGTGTCATTCAGACGCCGTCTTCTCGACAGACCAGTTCTTCACCTGAGGACGGCTGCTTGCGTTGTGGCCGAAACGTCGTGAGAATTATTTTAATGTTTTATTTGTATTATTTTATTACTTCCCTTCTACGTGACTTTACCGAGAGAACCAAGAAGATAGTATTATACACTACTACACTAGTGCTGTACTGGTGACGAATTGGCACGTTATGTTTACGTGACAACCCTTACTAGTTGGCCGTGACGGGTAGTGGCGGGTTTTAACGACACATTCATATATTTACGCGATATTACCCAAAATAAACCTCTAGTATGGACAAAGATCCCCCGTGTAGCCTTCACCAGCCTGTTGGGGCATGTGCCGTGTGTAACGAGTAACACCTACGAAGGCCGGCATGGCACAACACGAGGGGGTGGGTAGCCAGCAACACGCCCGGCCGCCTTTGTCTCCCCACACTGGCGATGTTTGCACATCGCACCAGGTTACTTATTTGAGACCGAGTCAACCTAGGGGATGCCCAGGACCGGTTCAGATAATTGCCACTGGGTGTTGATGATAGCCGTGAGCGGGAACACATTTGAGCACACACACCGCATATTAAAAAGTTATTTTGATATTGTCACACGCGCAAATGTTAATGTTTCCTAAAGGAAAGCACTCGTGCAATAAACGGAACTGCAATGAGTGATCACAAATCACAACGTATTTAATGATTATGATCGATTACATGGCACACATTTAATCACCGCACTACAACGTTACTGCCATGCAGCGTAAGGGTCAGCACAGAGGCTGCGGGTCAACAAGGGGTCACGACGCGTGGCGGGGTAGAGAGTGGGTAACCCCGTCTTCCAAGACGTCGGGACGTCGAAGGAGAGCAGAAGAGTTGGGAGGCACTTCCGCCAGCAGTGCATGGACTATCCAGTTGGGATATTATAATAAAGTCTGCGTACAAATACAATTAGCTGTGGAGCTCCTTAGCCTCCCATTCCTGGCTACAACGGTGGCTAGGAGATGTTAACTACCTCGCCTGGTATGCAGGAGGCCGCGGGTTCGATCCCGACCCTGATGCCTCTATATATATGGAGATTGCGTGTTTCTCTCTCCCCATGGTTGCGTGGATTTTTCTCCGGGTCCCCCGGGTTTTCCCCTCCTCATGTCGACTTCAACATCATGCGTCTAGGGTATTTGGCCGCTATAACGTTTCACGTGACGATAATCCAGCTCTCGTTGAGCGATCGTGACATGCGGCCAAGTCGCTTGTGAAAAAATAGCTCGATAGCTCGGTTGGCCTTACCTAGTAAAGTAAAAAAAAGTTTATAATATCCACCAGGCCCACATGCCGGTTGACTCCACACCTCCGGCGAGGCCCTCCACGCTTCCCCTCTCGACCTGGCAGAGGTTGGGGGTCCCAGAACGGACGATCCGTATTCACATGTCCCCTTCCACCGCTGGCCACGGGGGCGGAATGGGTCTCTCAGCCATGCGTTTTGCTCTCGTCTCGTAACCCTGCCGGTCGATAGCGCGTGTGGCCGCTTGCTTTGTGGAGGTTCGGGCTTCGAGGCCCCACGGCCGCCCTGATCAATACTGTTAGTCGTGTAAATCTTGACTTAAAGCTTTCGTGACTGCAGGAATTCATATTTCTTTGGGTTTTTCGGTAAAGTCACGTACACATTCCACAAGGAGTGACTAATCCCATATCTGCATTTTCCATCAATATGCTTAATTCCGCTGTTGATATGTAAACTCCTTTGTCAAGGTGCTCTCCTCCCCCCGACCCAGCTTAAATATACGCTGCCAAGCTTAGCAGTGTTCATTGGGACGCTGTCTTTCCGACAGCTCTGTCTTCACCTGAGGACGGCTGCTTGTGTTGTGGCCGAAACGTCGTGAGAATTTTTATTTTGTTTTATTTTTATATTATTTCCCTTCTACGTGACTTTACCGAAATAACCAAGATCACGTAAATAGGTTAAAAAAAATAATGAAAAAATACATTTTTTTTACCTATCTACTTGACTTTAAATATGTTGGTGGTGTATTTAACCATAACAAAATAGTACGTGCCGTCTGCTTCTGAGCGGACGTTGAAGATCATGGACCACACGCGACAGAGTGATGATTGGGACCGACAGAGTGATGATTGGGACGCACATCGCAAGTGTCGCCCTCTGCTGAGACACCTTTCAAGGATCCTTCAAAGGAGTCTTGAGACCAAGCGAGGCTTTCCTGGGTAAACTGATGGAACAACACAGGTAGTCCCCGACTTACGATGATCCGACTTACGTTATTTCGATCTTACGATAGCGATTTGACAAAATTGTCAAATATTTTACATTTCGCGCGGCAGGCAAACGCAGCAGCGTACGAGGTACGATGCTGCACATTGGGACGCTGCCGGGATGTTACTGCACGCATCTCCCGCCTTGTGTGGTGATGCCTCTCACTCTCACCAGCGGTCGACTGAGTTAAGTTGTATCGGTGTTCAATGCATGTTAAACGTTTTTATAGCAGATAGGATTATTTCCTGAAAAAGCTTTCTGTGAAATTGCAGTTCATATAGGTAGGCTAAGAATTTACCTTGTTTTTTACTTTTACTGTGCAATACAGTATTGTAATTAATAAATACAGTATATAGTTTATACAGTACGGTACTGTAAATTGCTCTGTTCTTCAAGACTCCTGGGTAGGCTGGGCCATTTTCGACTTACGATATTTTCGACTTACGATGGGGTCGTCGTAACGCATCTGCATCGTAAGTAGAGGCCTACCTGTAATGCTATGAGAAATGGACTCACTCTTCGGATCTTGATCTTCACATTAAAACGTCACCTTCTGCTTCCTGTGCATCTTACGATGTTTGTTTTGTGTTTCTGCAGGAGTGGAATCCTCCCCACACACGCGAGTATGTCACTGAACTTCTGTCGTAACCTTACGTAGCCAACTCTGCTAATCGGAGGTGCGGGGAACGGACCACAAACTAAAATCTGTCCTAAAGAGATGAGTTGAAACGCTTTCCTTCCATGCGGATTCTCTTGATGGATATATAATCCACAAACACTCATTAATTGGGCTTCAGCACTTTTTAGCGCCGGCTCAACCGCCTGGCTACCTTCCAGCTTCGTCTGCGATTCCTTAGCTATTGTGAGATGCAATTTGCGCGAACGACGACGCTATATATAACATTAAAACATTATTATATCAACATTTTCTACTGTGTGGGTTTTCACGGCTGTGCTGTATAATTCTCTGAAGCTCCAGCACGTGGAGAGAAACGTCAGACACTGTGCCGAACAACACGTGGTACGATCCGATAACCAAGCCGGAAAGCTGAGGTCTCCCACACAAAGATCCCCCATATAGCCTTAATAGACTGTTGAGGCAAGTGCTGTGTTAGCGAGTAATACCTACGAAGGCTGGCACCACTGCACACGAGGTGGTGGGTGGCCAGTACCCGCCCGACCGCTTTTGTCTCCCCAGTGGCGATGTTTACACACTGCATCAGATAGAGATTTGAGGCTGAGTTAACATAGGGGAGGCCCATCACCGGTTCAGACAACTGTCACTGGTGTTGGCCGTGAGCGGAAATCGAACTCTGGTCGCCGATTTTCATAGCGCAGGGCGCTAACCGCTTCGCCACCGCTCCAATAAGCGATTTTCGGTCTCTGCAAACATCTCCCGAAAGTGCGACCATGCATTTAAATGGCAACTGGGATTTATTAAACCCTTTCCCTTTCCGATGACGTATGTGTACATCATCAGTTCCATGGACGTACACATGCGTACGTATCGGAACAAAGTCGGAAAACATAAAGAGGCTCCCACGAGGCCATGTGGGAGGGCGTGGCACAGTTTGGAACAAGCTATCACAGGGTGCGATCGTGTCGCTACAGTTCTCTGCGGTGAGTACAATGTCTTTAACAACAACGGCACTACAAAGCCTCTCTAAATAAAATTAACGCCGAACCGCTTGCGTGTTCCGAGAGTCAACGGTGACCGGAACCTACCCCTCATCAACATGCAGACGCCTCGGAACGGCAAAGGGTTGTTAAGACCACTGCGGAAAATATTACATTGACGTGTGCTTGGAAGGGTACTTAATCTTGACTCCGGTCTCTGCAACAAAGTGCGTTCTTCACGTGCTCCTCCTCCTCCAGGGCTTGTGGAACAGTTGAGCCTCTCCCACCTGCGCCATGGTGGCTAGGAGATGTTAACTCCCTCGCCTGGTACGCAGGAGGTCGTGGGGTCCATCCCGGTGCTGATGCCTGCTGAATATTTGGAGTTTGCGCGTCTATCTCCCTGTGATCGTGTGGATTTTTCACCGGGTCCTCCAGTTTTTCCCTCCACATGTAGAATCGACGTGCATTTATAGTATTTAGCTGCTATACATTTCTACACGACAATAATGATAAGCCACTTCGTTGAGCTATCAAACGGCCTACGCATAGCTCTGTGTGGGCCTGACCTGGTAAAATAAATAAAAAAAAGCATAGGACAGCATCTATGACCCCTCGTCATCCTCCGTGTCGCTCACATCCTCATCCTCTACGGAGGAAGAAGGAAGGGCCCCCTCCCCCCCCTCTCCCCACGCGCCATCATCGTGGCGCTCGTCATCGTCGTCCGTTCTCGGGGCGGCGCCCCCGCGTCCCCGTGGCGCCCTCGGCCGTGCCGCCCAGCCACCTCGGCTCTCTCCGTGGCAGTCCCGCACGACGGTCGGCGGGGCGTATTGACAGCTCCCGCCTCCGTCTTCCACCTTGACGCCAGGCCACGTCTCGAAGCCGGGATTTCCTTCGCGCTTTCGCTTCGATGGCGGAGCCGTGACCGCGGCGCCACGGCCGCCGCCTTCGAGAGTCACCTTCCGCGCGCCGGCAGGCGCCGGCGTGCGGGCACCGGGGAGCTCTCTCGCCGGCACGGGCGCCCTCCTGCGCTCGGTACACCCGTGCGCCCCGCCGACGCCTGCACGCCCGTGCCTCATGCCGCGAAGATGGTCCGCCAGGCTGAACGCCCGTCCGCTCGACGGGGCCGCGTGGGGCGCCTCTCTCGGTGGCGGCGGCGGCTTCGAGTTGGGCATCCTCTCCGGGTGGATTTTACGGTGCCTGTGCAGGGTTCCCGAACAGAAGATGGCCTTGCCGCGAACGCCGCACCCGTGGGTCCTCTCCCCGGCACGGGCACCCAGGTGGCCGCCGTGAAGCCCGGGCTTTGGGGCGGCGTCGGCGGCGGCGGACACGTCCGCTTCGCGTTTCACCTTCACCCCCGGCCGCGCTTCTCGCACGGGATTTCCCTCCGGTTCCCTTTGCCGGGGAGCCATGCTCGAAGCGGCGTCTTGGCCTTCGCGCCCCGGCGTCGACGCCGCCGTCGCCGCCGCCGCAACCTCCCGGTGGACCTTCTGATGTTTGTTAAGGGCCCCCGCCTGGGCAAACGCCTTGTTGCACACGGTACACTTGAAGAGCTTCTCGCCCGTGTGCGTGCTCTGGTGCCTCTGGAGGTGCGACGACACCGTGAACGCCTTCTCGCAGACGGCGCACTTGAAGGGCTTCTCGCCCGTGTGCGTCCTCAGGTGCGTCTTCAGGTTGCCCAGCTGCGTGAACGCCTTGTCGCACACGGTGCACTTGAAGGGCTTCTGGCTCGTGTGCGTCCTCCGGTGCGTCTGGAGGCTGCCCAGCTGCGTGAACGCCTTCGCGCAGTCACTGCACTTGAAGGGCTTCTCCCCCGTGTGCGTCCTCAGGTGGATCCTCATGTGGTCCCTGCGGTGGGTGTTGTAAGTACACCGGCCGCACTGGTGCCACTTGGTAATGGGCTGTCGCCGCTCCATTTCAGTCGCGCGGGAACAGAGCCGGGGGCCGCAGGAATTGCTGGCTGCAGACAGACAACACAAATGCGTACAAATCGGAGGTGATGGTGATGTAAGTATAACTTTCCACAACGCACGTAACCAACCGTGCTAATCGAAGGTGCGGGGGAAGGAAAATTAACTAAACATTAAAAGCAGCACTCTGGTTCTTTTGGTAAAGTCACATAGGTATGAAATAAAATAAATCACGACGTTTTGATCGCAACACAAGCGGTCGTCCTCAGGCGGAAAACATATAATCCAGCAGTGGAACTGGTTAATAACGTTACTAACGCATTTATCAACTGGTTAAAACGCAGTTTCACATGCTGGATTATATGTTCCACTGCTGGATTATATTGTTTCCGCCTGAGGACGACCGCTTGTGTTGCGATCGAAACGTCGTGATTTATTTTATTTCTACCCACGTGACTTTACCGAAAGAACCAAAGAGTATGGATGCCTGCAGTCACGAAAGCTTCAAATCAAGATTAAAAGCAGTTTTAAAGAAATTCGTTTTCAATGTAGATTTCAAAGTGCATAGCTCCAGTGGCTTCCTAAGCATGTGCACAACCTGCATTAGCATCAACACAGAAGCACATGGGCACGCAAAAATAAAGATTCCCCATAGAGCCTAAACAGACTTTTGGGGGGCAAGTGCTGTTACCGAGCACCTACGAAGGCCGACAGCACCATGCCCGGCTGCCTTTGTCTCCACATAGCACACACGCACAGGTACTTATTTAGACATGTATGCACACACACGCACAGGTACTTATTTAGACATGAACGCACACACGCACAGGTACTTATTTAGACATGTACACACACACGCTCAGGTACTTATTTAGACATGTACGCACACACGCTCAGGTACTTATTTAGACATGTACGCACACACGCACAGGTACTTATTTAGACATGTACGCACACACGCACAGGTACTTATTTAGACATGTACACACACACACGCACAGGTACTTATTTAGACATGTACACACACGCACAGGTACTTATTTAGACATGTACACACACACGCACAGGTACTTATTTAGACATGTACACACACATGCTCAGGTACTTGAAGACATGTACGCACACACGCACAGGTACTTATTTAGACATGTACACACACACACAGGTACTTATTTAGACATGTACACACACACAGGTACTTATTTAGACATGTACGCACACACGCTCAGGTACTTATTTAGACATGTACACACACACGCACAGGTACTTATTTAGACATGTACACACACACGCACAGGTACTTATTTAGACATGTACACACACACAGGTACTTATTTAGACATGTACGCACACACGCTCAGGTACTTATTTAGACATGTACGCACACACGCTCAGGTACTTATTTAGACATGTACACACACACACAGGTACTTATTTAGACATGTACGCACACACGCACAGGTACTTATTTAGACATGTACGCACACACGCACAGGTACTTATTTAGACATGTACGCACACACGCTCAGGTACTTATTTAGACATGTACGCACACACGCTCAGGTACTTATTTAGACATGTACGCACACACACACAGGTACTTATTTAGACATGTACGCACACACGCACAGGTACTTATTTAGACATGTACACACACACACAGGTACTTATTTAGACATGTACGCACACACGCACAGGTACTTATTTAGACATGTACGCACACACACACAGGTACTTATTTAGACATGTACGCACACACGCACAGGTACTTATTTAGACATGTACACACACACACAGGTACTTATTTAGACATGTACGCACACACGCACAGGTACTTATTTAGACATGTACACACACACACAGGTACTTATTTAGACATGTACACACACGCACTGGTACTTATTTAGACATGTACACACACGCACAGGTACTTATTTAGACATGTACACACACACACACAGGTACCTATTTAGACATGTACACACACACAGGTACTTATTTAGACATGTACGCACACACGCTCAGGTACTTATTTAGACATGTACGCACACACAGGTACTTATTTAGACATGTACGCACACACGCTCAGGTACTTATTTAGACATGTACGCACACACGCACAGGTACTTATTTAGACATGTACACACACACACACAGGTACTTATTTAGACATGTACGCACACACGCACATACACCGCCGTCGTCATCATCGGCCATGGTCATTCCGCTGCTGGATGAAAGCCTCCCCCAAGCCGCATATTCACGATGCTGCGATGTAGTAATCCATCTAACGCGTGCACACGATCCGGTTTCATCGCTCCATCTCATCGGAGTGTGACTGAGGCGAGTCTTCCACCCAATTATTCAATACTGTATTAACATCCGGCAATTGTTCGATCAATGGTAATTCATTATCAATGAACATGCCTCGAGCCCCACGATAGGCTGCCAATAAGTTTCGAGTAGTCTCATTCCAGCTTGACATATCCTTTGCCATTCATAGACACCCCACTGATTTATTACCCGTGATCTTTTCAATTTGAATTGATTCTCTAACTAGTCTTGGCCAGAATCAATTGAAATTGAGAATTCAAATAATTTCAACCGCTGTGATAGCTACAGACTCAGCGCAGCCTAGAAGCGTATTGTTAAGTAATACACAACACATCTTAGCAATTCTACTGATCTATGACACAATTGCATCCACCCCAACCTCGAATCCTGATGGGGTTCAACAACGGTGACGTCATCTGGCACTATTCAAGACCGGAAGCAGGTGGATGGATCCACTCTTCAACTCGCCCGAGGGCTAAAGTAGTGAACTCATTTGTCTTTTGTCAACGTGACACTTTGTTTATTGATTGGCCGTGTCGGGTGGTGGAGGGTTGTGACATTTATAAATAAGGTGATGTAACCCAAATACCTTTTATGAATAGACGATCGTGGTTTGCTGAGACTATGGGCAATCAAAGTGTAATTGTGTTCAAAGTACATCTAGTAAATAGCTAATTAAATAAACTTAAAATGAAGAAAACTCGCAATATAGACATGGGGAGGGGGGGGGGGGTAAGATGGTTATTAGCATAGAAAACCAACAATTACGTAGCGCTACAAACGTCACCTTGCTCCTCGTGAAGCTCAGGGGGGAGGCGCGTGTTGGTGCTGAATGACCGACGACTTAATTGCTAGACGAGGAGGAGGAGGAGGGAGAGGAGAGAGGAGTTACATCGTCGGCGTCAACATCGACAGTCACTCGAGCTGACGAGGTGCAGCAGGACGGCTGCTGCCGAGCTGCGGAACAAGACGCGTGCCGCTCCACCTTCCTTACAAACTTATCGAGCGACGAGTTGACGGTGGCCGCCTTCTTCTTCTCTGCGTGTATCTCCCTGTAACAGGCCAGCGCCTCCTCGACGCCTCGGTTCACCTCCAAGAACCGCGAGGCGTTGGGGTCCATCCTCTCGAAGCGCGCCATGGCCGCGGCGACCTCGCGGAACGCGGCGGTCATCTGCGCGGCGTCGAAGCGTCGTGGCTCTTCGGCCGCCTCGTCTCGAGCCTCTTCCTCCTCCTCCTCCTCGGCCACCGACTTGGCCGCCGCCGCCTGCGCCGCGAGGTCTTCGCTAGAAAGTTCCGCTCCGTGCGACTCGATGAGCTCCTCGACGTCGGCGGCGTCGACCTCCAGCCGGAGCTCGGCGGCGAGGGCCACGATGCGCTGCGCCAACTCGGCGTGCGACTCGTCGTCGACCTCGGGGCCTCTGCGCCCTTGCGGCTCCACCGCGTGGGGAGGGCACAGCTTGTGCCAGGCCACGTGCAGGCAGCTCTGGGTGACATCTGCCCAGGCCTTGGCGATGTTCTGGACGGCTTGGTACACGTCGTAGGCTTCCCAAAACTCGCGCAAGCTCTTGCCGCCGTCTCCCTCCGTGGCCTCTAAGGCCTGAGCGAGGGTCCTGCGCAGGTAGTAGGCTTTACACTTGGCGTTCACCCCCTGGTCCATCGGTTGGAGGGCCGACGTTGCGTTCGGTGGGATAAACACGACTTTGACGTTCGGGTGGAAGTCGTCCAAGTGCGCGGGGTGACTCGGGGCATTGTCGACCACGAGCAGCACCCTGAACGGGATGCCCTCGTGCCGGCAGTAGTTCTCCACCTCGGGGATAAAACAATTGACGAACCAATCCTCGAAGATTGCCGCCGTGACCCAGGCCGTCGGATTAGAACGGAAATAGACGGGAAGGGTGGCCTTGCTGATGCCCTTGAAGGCTCGTGGACATTCCGAATGGTACACGAGCAGAGGCTTCAGCCTGTGATCTCCCGCCGCGTTGGCGCCGAGCAGCAGTGAGAGGCGATCGTTGCGAGGCTTGAATCCCAGCCGCGTGTTCTCCTCCTTGGAGAGGAACGTCCGTTCTGGCATCCTCTTCCAAAAGAGCCCCGTCTCGTCCACGTTGAAGACTTGCCGTGCCGTGTAGCCCCCCTCGTCGATGATTCTTCTCAGCACGCGTGGATACAGTAGCAGCAGCTCCGCCACCGCGCCTTGGTCGACCTCGCCGCTCACCGCCGCGTTGCCGGATCGCGAGCGAGCCTTGAACCTGTTGAACCAGCCGTGGCTGGCGGCGAACGAGGCGTCGGGGTCTCCGTGCTTCCCTTTCACGGCTTCGAAAAAGCTCCTGGCCTTGGCCTGCACCGCCACGAGGCTGAGCGCCTCCACGTTGCCCTCCATCCAGAGCGTGAGCTGCTGCTCCATCTCGTAGATGGCGCCAGAGCGCTGCTTCGTGATCACGGTGGACGTCAAGGGGGCCAGCCCCTTGACGTGCTCCTTGATGCGAGCGGCGTCCTTGAGGATCGTGTTCACCGTGGAGGTGGCCAGGCCCAGTTCGCGCGAGATGGACGACAGAGTTTGACCTCGTTCGTGCTTCTTTATAATTTCCATCTTCTGACCCAAATCGATCACTTTGCGCTTGCGGGCAGAGGCCGCGCTCTCGCGATCGATCGGTCGCTTTCCACTCATTGCGGCAACGCTATTGACGGGCGCGATGTTTTTTTTGATGTTTTGCGAAGTTGACGAGACGCGAGCGAGGTAGCAGCGGCGACGAGAGAGCCTCTGTACAGTTCACCGCCTGACGCCTCTCGCTCCGCGGTGTTCATCCGCAACCTCGCCGCGCCGGAACTACTTGCGCGCTTGCGTAACTAACGCAAACGTTTCCGCATGTTGAGATTTAGTTTAGTTACTAACGCGATAGACGACACTTTCACAACAATTCACGCGAAAACGCCGAAGCGATTGAGGCCGGTGTTATTTTTTTATCTCTCCGTAATTTCCATGACAATTAAATAAAAAGGTTCTGAGATTAGATTAAGCAAAATACAATAAAGTTAAAAAGTTCCCAGTCTGCATTGAACGACAAAAACACCACCGGTTCATTGACGGCGTGGACACCACACACACATCGCACACACCACACACACATCACACACACAGTACACACACACAGTACACACACAGTACCACACACAGTACACACACATCACACACACAGTACACACACACAGTACACACACACACAGACAAAACGGGAAGCAAACTAGACACGTGACACAGCGACTGGATGCACTACACACTAACGCGCAGTACTCACACACACATCACACACGACACACACAGTACACACACACCACACACACACACACACAGTAAACACACACAGTAAACACAGTACACACACAGTGTACACACACAGTACACACACTACACTACGCACACAGTACACACACTACACACACACTAGAGACACACCACACACACACACTGCACACCCTACACACACACACCACACAGTACACACACACACACTACACACACACACTACACACACACTAGAGACACACCACACACACACACACTACACACACACTAGAGACACACCACACACACACACACACTACACACACTACACACACACCACACAGTACACACACACACACTACACACACACTACACACACACTAGACACTACCCACACTACACACACGACACACTACACACACAGTACACATAGTACACAGTACACACACTACCTAGTACACAGTACACACACTACATAGTACACAGTACACACTACACACACCCCACACAGTACACACACACACTGCACACACAGTACACACACTACATAGTACACAGTACACACACTACACACACACTACATAGTACACACTACACACACTACATAGTACACACTACACACTGCACACACAGTACACACACTACATAGTACACAGTACACACACTACATAGTACACACTACACACACACAGTATATACACACAGTACACACTACACACACACACTACACACACACTACATAGTACACACTACACACACTACATAGTACACACTACACACACACAGTATATACACACAGTACACACTACACACACACACTACACACACACTACACACACACTACACACACTACACACACACTACACACACACTACACACACACTACACACACACTACACACACACTACACACACACTACACACACACTACACACACACTACACACACACTACACACACACTACACACACACTACACACACACTAACGCAGCACGGCGTCGCCGCGAGGGAGGAGGAGGAGAGGGCGGCTCGCGAGGCACCTCGGAGCGTCCCGCGCCGCTCACGTCCAGAGTCGGAGGCGCAGCAACGTCGACCCCGCCATGACCTCCTCCTCCACCTCCCCCTCGTCACGAACTCGCGCGATGACGTCATCGCCCCACATCGTCATCATTCGCGCGATGACGTCATCGCCCCACATCGTCATCACTCGCGCGATGACGTCACGACGAGGAGCGCTCGTCCGTCTCGCTGTGACGTCATGCCAGCATTCGTATCCATCGACCGATGATGTTGCGTAATCGACTAACTTTTAAGTTTCGATTTAAAGCTTTCGTGACTGCAGGGATTCATCTTCTTGGTTCTTTCGGTAAAGTCACGTAGAAGGGAAGTAATAAAATAATAAAAATAAAACATTGTTTTATTATGTTTTATTTTTATTATTTTATTGCTTCCCTTCTACGTGACTTTACCGAAAGAACCAAGAAGATAACTTCTAAGTGTCAATAATCGTCTTTGTATTTAAATATGCGACGTGACGTCACGGCGGCGTGCGGATGTGACGTCACGCAGGGCGAGGACGCGGAAGTTCCTCCGCGCGGAGGGCCCGGCACGGCTCTGGCACGGCTCTGGCACGGCTCCGGCACGGCTCTGGCACGGCTCCACGCCAGCCCGCTTCTTTGTTCCATTCGTCTGTCACGCGCGGCTTCCTGTCACCATACTTCACCACGCTGGGCCTCTCGTGGTGGCGGCGGCTTGGGGTGTGAAAGGCGAAAGGCGGCTTTGGGGGAGGACGGGTCGACCAAGCGCGGTTGGCTACGTACGGTGCGAAAGAGGTCAGACGCGCCCAAGTTGATAATCGATTATCCGGCCGCTTTCAACATTATCCGCCTGACCGATCCGGCGAAACCGCTCCAGAGGCCGCAACCCAGTCCGGTGATTGGCACCGTGACGGACAAGACAGTAGCGACGATTTATTTCAGCGTCAAATGTTACACTACATTATACACTACGCACAACAACTTAATGCAAATTACCGCACGCATATACATTTTCCATGGCTAATAACTACGGCAACACGCGCAGAACGTAAACAGGGTTCGACCCGGCGACAATCTGCGTGTAATTCGCCGGTCTGCTGCATCGGTGCGGCGATCGTCAACCACGTGGGTGTTGGAACGAGAGCGGAGTGCCTCACCCCCCCCCCACGCACACAGGCCGCCAGAGTGGAGTGGGTGAGCACGCCGCAGCGAACACAGTCACTGGTCACGCGGGGTTATCGAGTTGTGTCCATTCCTATGTTTATTCGTGCCAATTATCTAAACAATCTAAATGACTAATTGACAACATTCATGTGCGATTGTCAAGATAGGCGCCCCGCCTGTAAGATGGGTAGTTCACCAGAATTGATTCAAGCGAGCCAGACTCTGCTGATGAGAAACTGAATGTCGAAATCGGTCCAGAGTTTTGCTTGTACTGTATCAATGCTGCTGAAATTGCGTACTCCCAGGTGGCTGTGTGGCTGATGCGTAAATAATCATGCTTTTATTTTGTATGTGGAGAGATGTGTATATGAAGAAGACGTTTTTTCCGGCTCATGTTTTTTATTGTTACACGACTAATTGGAGAAATGTTCATATTTTGTGTGCATGTGTATCAGTAGGTATGCGTTATCTATTATACATGACGAGTGCTTTTGACGATTATCTGAACTTCTCCTGGGCCTCCCCCGAAGTCGACTTGCTACTTGTGTAAACATCGTGGTGCTGGCCGCCCCACCGCCTCTTGTGCCAATCCGGCCTTTATAGGTGCCACTCGCTAGCAGCAAATTTCTGTTCAAGCCATACGCTAACGGAAGGCCGTATGCACGCTGGATGTTTTGTTCTCTGTGGTAGCCACTTCCACCTCTGCCGCTGCTGCATAGAATCACATGGAGGAGGTGGTGAAGGAGGAGATGGTGAAGGAGGAGGTGAAGGAGGAGGTGGAGGAGATGAAGGAGGGGATGGAGGAGGGGATGGAGGAGGGCGTGAAGGAGGAGATGGTGAAGCAGGAGATGGTGAAGCAGGTGGTGAAGCAGGAGGTGGAGGAGGGGGTGGAGGAGGGGATGGAGGAGGCGGTGGTGAAGCAGGAAGTGGAGGAGGAGGACGGGGTGGAGGAGGGGGTGGAGCACGGGGTGGAGGACGGGGTGGAGGAGGGATACTCGACGCCGTCCTGCGCCAAGCGGTACCAGTGCGACCGGTGCCCCTACGGCACGGACCAACGGAGCAGCATGACCATCCACAGGCGGACGCACACGGGCGAGAGGCCCTTCAGGTGCGAGGAGTGCGGCAAGGCGTTTGCGCAGTCCACCACCCTGCACAGGCACCGGCGGACGCACACGGGAGACCGGCCCTTCGCCTGCGAGGACTGCGGCAAGGCCTTCGCGCAGCGGACCACCCTCCGCAAGCACCGGGCGACGCACGCGCGCGACGCCCCGCCCGCCTGCGGCGTCTGCGGCAGGCGCTTCGCCCGGCCGGGGCACCTCCGGCGGCACGCGGAGACGCACGCGGCCGGCAGGTCGCTCGACTGCGCCGTGTGCGGCAGGGCGTTCGCGCACCTGGGCCACCTGCGCGTCCACGAGCGGGCGCACGCGGGCGACAGGCCGTTCGCGTGCGGCTCGTGCGGGAGGGCCTTCGCCGACGTGGGGAGCCTGCACAAGCACCGGAGGATCCACGCCGGCGGGAAGCCTTTCGAGTGCGCCGTCTGCGGCAAGGCGTTCGCGCAGCCGGGCTATCTCAGGAAGCACCGAAGGATACACATGAGGCGGAAGGTCCACGGGTGTTCCTTCTGCGGCCAGGTGTTTGCGAGCCTGGAAGACCTTCGGAGGCACCAGGAGACGCACACGGGCCCGAGACCCTACGAGTGCACCGTGTGCGGCAAGAGCTTCAAGCGTTCGAGGAACCGGAACGCTCACGAGAAGTCCCACGGCGGGGAGATTGCGAGGTCTGACCGCCGCAGAGGAAGAGGAGGAGGAGGACCCGCGGCGGGCCTGTCCCTTGCGAGGCGAGAACCGGCAGGGAACCCCGGTCCCGAGACGTGGCCAGCGGCGCAGGAGAGCCGCGGGGACGATGTCACTTCCGCTCCGAGGGGAGACCGTGGTTGTGGCCGTGGGGAGGGGTTCGGGCGCCCCGTGGTCCACTCGGGGTGGACGGCCAACGGGGAGTCGGCATGGTCGTCTGACCGGGAGCTCGTCACTCGCGGCAGGCCGCTGGGAGAGCTCCGTGAAGCGAGAGAGGCGGAGCGAAACGGCGCGCCGAGTCCCGCCGCCGTCACCGCGCCGGTGAAGCGAGAGCCTGGAGAACGTGACGGCCTCGCTCCGGAGGCCATCAAGGGAGAAGCAGGGGAATGGCCCGGCTCCCAGACGGAGCGCCGCTGCCCCTCCTTCGCCGTGGCCATGGTGAAGCGCGAGCTGGGAGCCGGCGACGACTTCGCGACGTGGCCCGGCGTCAAGGTAGAGTGCGCGGATGAAGAAGGTTCTGCCTCGGGAGCGGACGCAGATGCGGGCGACTTCAACCTCCACACGCAGCCCGAGCGGGTTGAGGTTGAGGTGTGGATGGAGGGTGGCGGGAGTGACATCGAGTAGACCGAGTTTTTTTTTTTCTAGATGTAAAAGTACCAAGACATGTTGGTTATGGTAAGGGGTGGATACCCAACTCGGATAAAACTTAAAACTATTTTTGTGTTACGACCCCCCCCCCTTAATCTCCCCGTCATAACCGCCACTATTATTGTTCCCTCTTAATATTCTCATTATATGGATTTCACTCATTCCCCATTCATCATTGTTTCAAAGAACAAATGTGACCTAAGGTCTTCGCTCATTTACCAGCTTCACATTCCTTATTGCGTACATATACTGGAGCAAGGGCCTTTTCTATTGATGCCCCCAGGGTCTGGAATGCTATCGCCAATAAACTGCAGCTTGGATCACTGTGAGATCTTCACTCAAAACTGCTCTAGAGGAGTTGTACACCCCTAGCTGCCACTGCTATTCAGAATGGCCTGAAATCAAATGTATCGTTCCGGACGACCGCTGCAAAGTATGATCTTGAGTTTTGATTATAGTGTGCTGATCTTTAAAGGTGGATTGAAAAATGTTGATACTGCTACTGATGCTCCTGCTTTTATGGAGTGACTCATGCTGCCAGCTGCAAAGTTTGGTCGTACATGTTATGTATATCGTTTATTGTTACATTCGAATCACAGTTCCTATGATCACTGTTACATTGTTTTTATAGCTTTATTTTGGTGATTTTGTAAAGGTTTTGGTTTGGCCATGTTTGTTTGTTGTAGTACAGAGTTAGCCTAATAACTTTAATCTAAATTGTCTTAAGGGTGCTGCTTATTGTTTGACTTGCATCCCACTGGGATTTTTGCACACAGCGTTGAAATGCGGTGCTTTTTCTGGAAGACTTTGCTGTTTTTTCCCGTATTTTTATGTTGCGTGTAGTCACTTTAAGATGTTCCTTGTTCATGTTATTGTTTGTTGCGGTTGCACCCGAGTCAAGAGCCGCATGGCTCACAGGGTTATACCTAATACATGAAACTGAAATGAAATCATTTATTCACTCCATTCGTCATCATTTACTGCCACCAATTTCACTCTCACGGAATTCACGCATCACAGATTTCCCCCTTTACTTCATCTATTTCATTCACCACATCTCCACCATTACATCCATATGTACCGTTAATTGTGTAAAGTGCCTTGGGTAAGGTGCTATATACATTCCTTTAAGATAAGATCGCTGTGGTGGTGATGGCTCCTTCATATCGATCTGTGTGTGATTATAAGGGTTTCTATGCGAGTCTGGGTCTCTATACAGGTCTGGGTCTTTGGGTGAGTATGGGTCTGAGTGTGAGGCGATGGGTCTGTCTTTTTCCTCGTGTGGCTGTTGATGATGATGAGCCGTGATTCTCCATGGAGGTGGTTGATGTGCCAGACGTTCGCGTCAGGAGTAGCAGAGTGGCGAATCGTCATCGATGCTGTGGTGACGATGCCGCCGCCGCCTCCATATCTGAGATTCGGGCATCGATTCGTCCTGTGGTTGTCCTGGGTGGGGACCACAGACGACACCGCACACTGCCCGGAGAGTTTACTATTTTCCCATTCGTGAATCAATCATCGAGTATAACCACATCAGCTGCTGCTGCTGCCGCCACTGCTACCATGATTTGTCCAGTGGATGTGGTTCAGGGTTGTGGCCCAGAAGCTGCAGGGTGGAGATGAAAGGCCAGGGATTTAACCGGCACGATATTCTTGTTCACGACGGCCTTAACGTGTTTGTTCGTGCGCTTGCTCGCCTGCCTAAATGTTTCGCCCGTAATTTTTGTAAAACCCTTCAATAAACGAAACACGGTTACGTGAACAGAACATGCTACCCCAGCCTCTCATCTGGATGAAAAACTCATGCGTTTAGAACTGCTTTTTGTGTGTTTAGTTTGATTAGCACGGTTGGCTATGTACGGTGCGAAAGAAGTTGAACATGTACGTATGTTGAACTTCTTTTGCACCATACAGAGGTGCGGGGGGAGGATGGACATCAAATGAAACACCAACATACATACTATACATACATCTGCAATACTGTCAAACCTCAAAACACAAGACGAGATTCTGTGATAAACGCATGAAGAAAACATCTTTAATTTCGCTGTAACTGACAGTGCTCAACAATGGCAACAGTAAAATTCAGCGTAGCCAAACATCACAAATACTTCGCCTGGCATTATGACGATTACCATCGCCGACTTAACCCATTTGGGTGCGGGTGGGGAATAAAAATGAAAAATGTTTGCTGTATGAACATTCACGACACTTAAGTTTGACATGTAAACTGTGGCTCCCTTCGTAGGTACGGCAAACAGAGGCACTGCGCATACTCGGGTGTCCAAATAAATGCCACAATTTTTGTCCCGGATTTTTTATGTTGTTGTCGCTGCTCCAATTGGATCACGATTGTTGCTATCAGCGTCGCGACACGAGACTAAGCAACGATTCGTAACTCTCACAGAGCAGTGCGACCCCTCTGTACTAGAGAACGGCCCACAGAAGTGGATATCACAAAGCTACTTCCGAATTCTTCAAGTGACATTTGTTATACACACACAAGGGAGGGCAGCACTTGCCCCCTCTACTGCTGTTCGTTACGTAACAGTCAAACCGATTTTTGCAATCTCAGATGCTAAATTTCCAGCAAATTAAGTGCAGAACCAAATTGAATGCGATGTTGTTGTTGTGTGTGTGCAGTAAATAGTGACCGAGCTGAGACCATCAATCCAAAAGAGGTGTTTTGTTGGATTGGATGGCGTCAATATAAATGTGTCGTTAAACCCACCACCACCCGACAACCAATTAGGTTTGTCACGTAAACAGAACGTGCCAATTAAGTTACGATATCAGTAAACCGGTTGTGTTGGAGATTAAACCCTCAACACGTGCGGTGGTGAGGTTGGTTGTACTTACCAGTGAAACATCGTATACGAATCGTCAATGTTGTGGGTTGAATCTCAAACACACCGGTGTGCTGAACTGGCACGTTATGTTTACGTGACCATGCTTACTCATTGGCTGTGTCGGCTGGTGGTGGGTTTAACAACACATTTATATTGACGCGATCTAATCCCAAAAAAAGACCTCATGGATAATATTGGTCGCAAAAGTCGACTACTACGTGTTAAACTGACACCATCAACTCGCCACAATGGAGGACCCAGGTTAATCACGTTCAGCTGCCTGGATGAGAACCCAGGAGCTAACGCCATGGAGTTAAATGCCACCCAGCGATTATAGGTAATCTGTAACCAACATGGGGGATTCTCAGGAATGATGGCCTAAAACAATAACCATACATGTGCGTGCGTCAACACGTGCGTAAACACGTGCGCACTCGCGTACCCCACAGCGTGCAGGGAAATATATTCCCGGACAGCGCACCCCCATTTCAAACAACGTATGTACATGTACAGCCCCACCCTTCTTTGTCAACCCACTGCTGGATGAGGGCCTCCCCCAACCACACCCGTGCATGTCAAAGGGGGAGTCATTTGACCATCGGGAGTACAGATGTGGATGCATAGTAGTACAGGAACAGCGCAACAATGGGTTTGTGTTACAAACTCGAGCAGCTAAGCACCACCCCAGGGGGCCCAACCCCTTGCTGAGCTTCAGGGAACTGTGGAGATATTTGGCGCATCCTGGGTGCTTTGGTCACCAGACGCCGCGCGTATTCAAGCCTCTCGTCCGCTGTACACCCCAGCCACGCATTCTCACCGGCACGTGCTCGCAAACTTCGCTCGATGAACCGAACTCGATAAAACGCAACTTCAACAAAGAGAATCAAACAACTTTACCCATGAAGCCCCGGACCGTACTCCGTGACTTCATCTCTCTCTTCCCCCTATAACCCTGCCGCCCCTCCCCCCCCCCCAGTGTTTCCCATGTCAGGGGCTGGGGCGCCTACGTCACTGGACGTATTGGAGGTGCGCGATGCGGACCGCCACAAACGCGTGGGGACCACCGCTTCGAAACGGCCCGCGGAACGATACTGAACCGTCAGTGCGAGCTGAACGAAGCGCCGCGGTGGCTAGGAGATGTAACTACCTCGCCTGATACACAGGAGGTCGTGGGTTCGATCCCGACCCGGACGCCTGCTGCTGTATATTTGGAGTTTGCGTGTCTCTCTCCCCGTGGATTTTTGTCTGTGTACCTCTGGTTTTTCCCTCCACATTTAGAATCGACATCACACGTTTTATAGTCATTTGGCTGCTATGCATTTCCACATAAGCCTCTTCGTTGAGCTATCATTTGTGATAGCCAAGTCGCTTCTGAGAAAGAGCTGTACAGCTCAAGTGGGCCTTAGCTGGTAAAATACAAACGTAGTTCTAGTTGAGCTTTAGTAATCGCGTACAAGGTGAAGAAGGGTAAAGGTGCAGCCCTGCAGCGGCTTGCGGGAGGGGCCTCCCACGCGAGCGAACTCGCATCGAGGGTGACTTTGGCCTACTCTTTCATGCCGGCCAGATGTCTCGGAAGAGGTGGGAGTAAACCCACGCTTCCCCCCATCATCGTCACACGTGAAATGAGTGAGAAAGTTCTATCGTTATTCCAACTCCCGTGCCGGGATATTATCTACGACCTGGAAACGCCGTGACGTCGCTCCCGTCACTGAGGGCATCTTGCAGTGATGGGAGTGACCGAGGAGTGTGTGTGTGTTGTTGGTGTGTGTGTGCGTTGTTGGTGTGTGTGGGTGTGTGTGTGCATTGTGCGTGGGTGTTATGTGTGTGTTGTGTGTCCGTGTGTTGTGTGCGTGTTGTGTGTGCATGTTGTGTGTGTGCGTGTGTGCATGTGGTGTGTGTTGTGTGTGTGCGTGTGTTGCGTGTTGTGTGTGCGTGTTGTGTGTGCGTGTTGTGTGTGCGTGTGGTGTGTGCGTGTGGTGTGCGCGTGTGGTGTGTGTTGTGTGCGTGTTGTGTGCGTGTTGTGTGCGTGTTGTGTGTGTGTTGTGTGTTTTGTGTGGGTGTTGTGTGCGCGTGAACGTGTGGCTGCCCCCTGAATGTACGTACGTACATTCCGCTCGTACCCAAACGTGCTAATCGGAGGTATGTAATCGGCTTAAATCCGCATCCGGTAAGATTCCTCACCCCTGCCTGATCTCACGAGACCTGCAACACGTGACCACCACACTCAACGGCTTGCACACACGTAGACAAAGCTCCCCCATACAACCTCAACAGAATGTTGGGGAAAGTGCTGCAAGCGAGGGCGTGTGAAGGCCGTCACGGCACACGAGGAAGTGGGTGGCCAGCGCCACGCCCAGCCACCTTTGTCTCCTCGGTGGCAATGTTTACACGTCGCACCAGGTATCAAGCCGAGTTGACCTAAGGGAGGTGCCAGGACCGGTTAAAATATTTGACGCTGTCGTCAGTCGTGAGCGGGAATCGGAATTTGGGGTGCCAAGGTCCGTAGCTCGGTGCGCTAACCGCCGTGCGACTGCTCCCCATCACGCGCACACACACACACAGACACGCATGTACACTCACACAGACACTCGTAACACTCGCCCACACGCACAGTCGCTTTTACGTGCTGTGCAGCGGAATGACAAACTTGCAGCCGAAGGGAGAGTGATAGGCAATGCCCACCTCCTCGAACACCCGCACGGGGATGCCCACGTCGCACAGGTACACGCGGCCCGCGCCCTCACCCAGGCTCGACGGCAGGCCCGGCACGAGCGACCACTTGGCCGCGAACGCGACGCCGCCGGCCTCGCCGGGCGCGTCTTGCGACGCGGCGGCGGCAGGACGAGCCGGGGGCGGCGGATCGACGGCGAGCAGCGGGGCCAGGGTGGCCGCGGCCCAGGCGGCCGCTTCCCGCGGCGGCTTGAGGCGGCCGAGCGGACCGGCGGCGGCGCTCTCGTCGGGGTCGCCCAGCAGGCACTCGACGACGAGGTCCACGGCGGCGCCGGGCAGCTCTGAGGGGAGGGGGCGACACGGAGATTCCCTCTCGCGGACTCGGCTTCACCTTGCCTCGGGGCGGGGGGGGGTGGCGGGGGGACGCGAGGCGGCGCCGTGAGACCGGCGCTCCTTACCGGCGACGCTGCCGACGCACCGGGCCGTCGTCGTCCTCTCCAGCAGGCGCACCTCCTCGGCGAGGCCTCCCGGCAGGCGCTCGCGGCACGAGCGCGACGACGCGCACGTCGCGGTTGGCGAGGTGGCGCGCCACGCACGCGCCCTGCGCGCCACGCCGGTGCGGCCCGCACAGCACCACCACCGTGGGCCGCTGATGCGAGTTCTTGGGGTCCATGCTGCGCACGCGTATGTGGGCGGGAGACACACACAGACACACCCACGCGGGTGTGAGACGCACACACACAGACGCACCCACGCGGGTGTGACACACACACACCCACACGCGTGCGAGGGTGCAACACTCTATCCCATACTGATAGGTGATCTTAGCCACTTCATTGGGCTATCATTTGTGGCCAGGTCGCTTCTGAAAGATCTACATTGCTCAGTAGGGCCTCACCTGGTAAAATAAAAATAGTTTGAGATTCGTTTTTACTTCGCTGTACCCTCTTCTCGCGGCGAGCCAGGGTCACGGCACTTCACGACGTTTTGTGCGATCCGCCAAACCTCGCTGCTTCCATGGCGCCAAATTACAGGCCACGTGCCGAGGTGCCACCCGGTCCTTTGTATTTTACTTTCCAGCGCATTTGTAGATTCTGGACATCGGTGACAAAGAGCTTCATAGCTCAACGGATTCCTCCAGTATAAATACATATTCTGATTCTGAGATTAAAGTTTAGTTTGTTCAAGCCAGAGCAGAGGATGAGTCTCATTTGCAAAAGTGACCTGGGTCACCGGAATAAGCAATAGCGTAAAACAACGAGCAAGCGTGAGTGTGTGTTAGTGAGCGTGAGTGTGTTAGTGTGTGAGCGTGTGAGCGTGTGAGCGTGTTATCGAGTGAGCGTGTTAGCAAGTGTGAGTGTGTTAGTGTGTGAACGTGTTAGCAAGCGTGTGTTAGTGCGTGAGCATGTGAGCGTGTTAGCAAGCGTGAGTGTGTTAGTGTGTGAGCGTGTTAGCAAGCGTGAGTGTGTTAGTGTGTGAGCGTGTTAGCAAGCGTGAGTGTGTTAGTGTGTGAGCGTGTTAGCAAGCGTGAGTGTGTTAGTGTGTGAGCGTGTTAGCAAGCGTGAGTGTGTTAGTGTGTGAGCGTGTTATCGAGTGAGCGTGTTAGCAAGTGTGAGTGTTAGTGTGTGAACGTGTTAGCAAGCGTGTGTTAGTGCGTGAGCGTGTGAGCGTGTTAGCAAGCGTGAGTGTGTTAGTGTGTGAGCGTGTTAGCAAGCGTGAGTGTGTTAGTGTGTGAGCGTGTTAGCAAGCGTGAGTGTGTTAGTGTGTGAGCGTGTTATCGAGTGAGCGTGTTAGTGTGTGACCAGGCGCACCGGTTGGAGCCCCCGAGCAGGGACAGTGCCATCTGCGTGGCGCACACCCCCAGCACGTCGCGGCGCCGCTCCGCCGTGAGCCCCGCTCGCTCCGCCGCTCCCAGGAGCTGCCGGTGCAGCGCTGGGCTCACGCTGGGCACCACCATCCCCGTGTCTCAGCGCCAGCACACACACGCACGCGCGGGTAACACAGACAGAGATCCCCTCTATAGCCTGAACAGACTGTTGGGCAAGTGCTGTTAGCGAGCGACACTTACGAAGGCCGGCACAGGCACACGAGGGGGTGGGTGGCCAGCTGACACACACACAAAGACAAAGATCCCCCGTGTAGCCTTAACAGACTGTAGGGGCAAGTGCTGTTAGTGAGCACCTATGAAGGCCGGCACAGGCACACGAGGTGGTGGGTGGCCAACGCCACAACCGGCTGCCTTTGTCTCCCCAGTGGCGATGTTTACACACTGGACCAGGTATTGGTGTGTGCGAGTGTCCATGTGTGCCCATGTACGAGTGTGTGGGGAGCGGTAGTGTAACAGTTACTGCACTGTGCTACAAACCCGGCAAGCTGAGATCGATTCCCGCTCATGTCCAACATCAGTGACTGATTATCTGAACCGGTCCTGGGCCTCCCCTAGGTAGACTCGGCCTCAAAATGAGTACCTGGTGCTGTGTGTAAACATCGCCACCGGGGAGACAAAGGTGGCCGGGCGTGGTGCTGTCCACCCACCAACCTCTCATGTGCCAATGTCGGTCTTCATAGGTGCTGCTACTCACTAACAGCACTTGCCCCAACAGCCTGTCAAGGCTATACGGGAGGGGGGAATCTTTATCTGTGGTGTTCATCGTGGTGTTTATTTTGTTGTCATGCCATGTTGCTGAGAGCACGCTGTGGTGGTGGTGTTTGTGTTTACGTTGTCGTCGTCACCACACCATGTGGCCGCAGGCTGTGGGATGTCCATCCTGTCAAGGCCATACGTGGTGGGGGGAGTGTACCTGCGCGTGTGTCTTAGCGCGCGTGTGCGTATGCGTGCGCGTACCTGTGCAGTACAGCTTGGGCCCCGGCTGGGGCACGTCGATCCTGTGGAACTCGCTGGGAGCGGCGGCCGCCAGGACGTTCTCGTCGTGCCGGTACTTCTGCGTGTCGGCGGGCGGGGTGCCGCGAGCGCGCGCCGCCGCCGCCGCTGCCCCGTTGGGCTGCGCTGCCCCTCCGCCGTGGTGCATCTCGATTTCCTGCAGGCAGAGGACCGCTTCAGTTAAGCGTCACCGGCGTTGGCCGTGAGCGGGAAGCGAACTCGGGCGTTACCGTATAGCCTCTTAGCGCGCCGCTGGGGCAAGTGCCGTTCGCGAGTTGCAGAATCAGAATATTAATTTATACTGGGGGAATCCGATGAGCTACAAAATTATTTTTCACCGACGTCCAGTAGGACCTGTGAAGGCCGGCACGGCGCACGAGTGGGTGGTGTGGGCAGCACGGTTAGCTACGTACGGTGCAAAATAAGTTCAACATACATACGTAATGCAGCGCGCTAACCGCTGCACCACCGCTCTTCATAGACGAACGCGAGTGTAAAACACCGACTCGCAGTACGAGACGCACCATTTATACATCACGGAGAGGAGCAGGCGACTGCACTGGACCTCTGCTGCTCGCTGGACACGTACGTACGTATACTGAACTTCCTTCGCACCGTACGTAGCCAACCAAGGCAGTCGGAGGCGCATAGCGACGAAGCCTGTAAAACGACCCAAATTCATACCACCCGCGGTGCCGCCCCTCCACGCGCTGCCCAGGCTCAAACCGCCGCTTAGCTCGGCGGCTCGGCACGCTGGCGCGGCTCCGGCACCTGGAAGACGGCGGCCTTGTCGAACAGCGCGAGGTTCTTCTCGAAGTCGAACTCCGTGTCCAGGAGGTCGTCGAGGTCGTCGGCGAAGCAGTCCTCGTCGCGCCCAGAGCGCCGGCCGCCGCCGGCGGCGGCGCCGCCGCGGCCGCCGGCGTTGCGCTTTGGTGTCGTGCCCATCAGCGCCTGCCGGTTGCTCGACGACCCTGCCGCACGCGGACCGTCACCCCTCGCGTTCCCGGTCACGACTCCACACCGAGCCGTCGGTGTGCGACGGCCGTCGCTCGCGGTCGGAAAAACTGTGAATAACTAATAAGCCAACTAACCCAAGTAATAATGGGTGTGAAATATTCTCAGACTGCATGAAACCACCCCCCCCCCCCCCTCTGGTCTTCGCACGAAATTAGCTCAAGTGTTTTAAATGGCGTGCCGCGAGCTCTGTGTTGCATGTCCAGTGCGCTGCTGACCATTACGATAAACTATTTTTTATTACGTCTCTCTCTGTCAGAAGCGACCTGGCCACAAATGATAGCTCCACGAAGTGGCTTTTCAGCATGTGGAAACTTTTTGTAGTCAAATACTTTATAAACACATGTTGATTCTAAATGTGGAGGGAAAACCCGGAGAAAAATCCACACGACCACGGGGAGAACACGCAAACTCCAAATATACAGCAGACGTCAGGGTCGGGATCGAACCCACGTCCTCCTGTATACCAGGCGAGGGAGTCAACATCTCCTAACCACCGTGGCATCTCCCGCATTCACGCCGACTGTGTGCAGTGCAGAGCGAGTGAGCAAAGGCTCTCACAGGAGTTGTGTCGGCGGCGGAACCCCTTGGAGGGTGTGGAGCCGGGCACATCTGTGTGGGCGCGCGAGGATGGCGGCTGCTGCTGCGATGAGGAATCGGCGGCCTCGGCCTCCCGCTCCCCTCGCCTGCGTCACAGCATCGCGGGGACAGCCAGACGGCCCGGTCAGAGAGAGTGAGAGGGCCCGGTCAGAGAGAGTGAGAGGTAGAGCCATGAGCTAATTCATGTGCGTATTGAACTTCGTTCGCACCGTACGTAGCCAACCGTGCTAATCGGAGGTGCGGCTCCTTAATGTATGCTCAGCACAAGGAGGAATGGAAACTTTTGTCATTCTAAATACCACTCTCAGATCCTCAAAAGAAGCAGATGGCTGTGTCGGGTGGTGGTTGGTTTTAACGACATATATTTACGCCATCTAACCCAAAAAACCTCTTATGGATGATATTTTTACGTTCAATACATTAACTATGACGGCCTCGAACCTCTGCAACGTGCAACAAATTCTAAAAAGTTGGGACAATAACATGTTCACCCCCTCCCCCCTTAACTCTGCAGCTTAAAAAAAAGAGGCTGCATCTCAGTAAATATTAATCGCCGAGCTGCAATATTTGGGCTTGGTTTCATTCAAACAGGTGGTCTGGTTACAAGCACAATGTCATAACAGCATGTGCTGGGCATGTGTGTCTGTGTGGTTTTGTGGTTAATGCGAATTTAGGGGAGCGGTAGCGCAGCGGTCAGCGGGCTGCGCTATGAACCCGGCGACCCGAGTTCGATTCCCGCTCGCAGCCAACGTCCGTGACAATTATCCGAACCGGTCCTAGGCCTCCCCTAGGTCGACTCGGCCTCAAAATTGGTACCTTATGCGATGTGCAAACATCGCCACTGTGGGGAAACAAAGGCGGCGGGCCGCGGTGCTGGCCACCCACGAGCTCGTGTGCTTTGCCGGCCTTCGTAGGTGTTCGCTAACGGCATTTGTCCTAACAGTCTGTTAACGCTCCACTGTGGGGGGGGGGGGGGTCCTTGTCGTATTTTTGTGGTTAACGCGTGGTACCTGGCAATAGGGTGAGAGGCCGACTGGGCACCGTTGGTCATCGCCACAGGTGCTGTTCCGTTGTGAAGCGGCATCTGCGTGTGCTGGAAGATCGCAGGATCAGGCGGCAGCTCCAAGATCTTCAGCTCCTTGATATCCGTCGCACTGCGGGGGTAGAAAAAGAAGACACGCGAGCCCTTCATTACAGACACGGGGCCCCAGTTGTGTGGCGCTTATCCTGCGATGACATTTTCGTTGTTGTTGTTACCTGTGTCACACCACAGGAAGGTGAGTAGAGTCAAGGGTACGATGTAGATGCTCAGGGATGAAAGGGCGGTGGTGATGATGACGATGATGAGAGGGAAGAGAGAGAAGGAAGGAGGGAGTAGAAGTGAGCTGCACGGAGAAGGAGCAGCAGCACGTGCTTTCACAGGGGGTGGCGGGTAGAGGGGAGGGATTCGGAGTAGGAGGGGGCGGTCCACACAGAAGTCACGTGGGAGGCTTGATCTGATATATATTCAGTGCCTTGCATACCTTTCTTTCTATGTTGCCCTCCTATCGCTGTGTGTGTATTGTTTGTTGTTGTAACTTGCTGACCCGCCCAGACTGGACATTTGTGTAAAAGAGCATCATAGCTCATTGGATTCCTCCGACAGTCTAAATAAATATTCTGATTCTAAAATCGGTTCTCTGGCTCCCAGATCTGTTCTCTGGCCCCCAGATCTGTTCTCTGGCTCCAGATCTGTTCTCTGGCTCCCAGATCTATTCTCTGGCTCCAGATCTGTTCTCTGGCTCTCAAATCTGTTCTCTGGCTCTCAAATCTGTTCTCTGGCTCCCAGATCTGTTCTCTGGCTCTCAAATTTGTTCTCTGGCTCTCAAATCTGTTCTCTGGCTCCCAGATCTATTCTCTGGCTCCAGATCTGTTCTCTGGCTCTCAAATCTGTTCTCTGGCTCTCAAATTTGTTCTCTGGCTCTTAGATCTGTTCTCTGGCTCCCAGATCTGTTCTCTGGCTCCCAGATCTGTTCTCTGGCTCCCAGATCTGTTCTCTGGCTCCCAGATCTGTTCTCTGGCTCTCAGATCTGTTCTCTGGCTCCCAGATCTGTTCTCTCGCTCCCCGGTCTCCCAATGAGGTACGGAGGCTTGCGTGCGTGTGCGTGCGAGCAGCACCTGAGCGTGAGCTCTGGCACGGTGCAGCGCGCGCCGTTGCGGAACGGCTGCACCAGCGAGATGCTCTGGCAGTGCTGGTCCACGCGGCTCACGCGGCCCTGGTAGACGCCCAGCACGGGGCCGCAGTTCAGGGAGACCACGCAGCCTCCCCAGCGATCCTCCATCCTCCCGCCTGCACCAGCAAGCAGCGGCGACAATCCTGAGCATCACCACCACAACCAATGACGAGAGCATCACCAACAACCAGCCACAACGCCTGGGCCACAGGGCGATATCGTCACCACCACCACCTCGCTCGCCCTCAACCCACCACCTCGCCCCTCCTCACCCTCACCCCACCTCGCTCACCATCACCCCACCACCTCGCCACTCCTCACCCTCACCACCACCTACTCACCCTCACCCCTCCACCTCACCCCCACCCCACCCCTCCTCACCCTCACACCACCACCTCACCCCTCCTCACCCCTCCACCTCGCCCCTCCTCACCCTCACCACCTCGCTCACGCTCACCACCTCGCCCCTCCTCACCCTCACCACCTCGCCCCTCCTCACCCTCACCTCACCACCTCGCCCCTCCTCACCCTCACCTCACCACCTCGCCCCTCCTCACCCTCACCACCTCGCTCACGCTCACCACCTCGCCCCTCCTCACGCTCACCACCTCGCTCACGCTCACCACCTCGCCCCTCCTCACCCTCACCACCTCGCCCCTCCTTACCCTCACCACCGACTCACAACTACGCCTCGTTCCTCCTCCTCCTCGTCGCACCCCGACTCGACCACCACGTCGCCCCTCCTCCTCGTCCCTCCTCCTCCTCCTGTCACCCCGACTCCACCACCACCACGTCCTCGTCTCACCACCTCCTCGTCCTCTCAGCACGTCGTCGTCGTCGTCCGTGTTCACGCCACAGGCGTCTGCAGGTCGCCGCGAGCCTCGGACTGGGATCGACCCCGAGGGTTGGAGGCGTCGTGGGGAGAGGGAGGACGGTGGTGGGGGGGGGGTGACGGTGTGACGTCACACCAGGTCATATCGTCACGACCGCAACCGGCGGCCATATTGGGAGAGGGTCGGCCCGAAGAAGATTCGGGCGGCCTCGCGATTTCCCGCCTTTTCCCTCTACGTCGTCGCGTCACGATGACGTAACGCAGCACACGCTGTGCCTCGCCTCACCCCCCCCACTACCCCTAGGTAAGATGGCCGCCTTCCGGCATCAGCCGCCTCAGCCCGGCGATGGTCCCGGCGGCGATGAACTCTGAGAGGAACCGCGTGGAAGTGAACCAGAGTCCGGAGTCGTCCGCGAAGAATCCGAAGAGCCGTGAAGCTCTTTAGCTCGCTGTTGCGCAGACGTCCTGAGTGAGTTGGGCTCGGAGCCGCGTTCCGTCCCCTCACGCCTCTTGCCGCCGCTGTTGTTGTTGTTGAAGGCTGAGCGGTGCGTATCGCGTTATTGCAACATTCAAATACAAATGTTTAAATCTGAACAGTTTTATTTTAGCAGGTGTGAGGCGTACTGAGCTGTGTTGATTTTTGTTCCATAGGCGACCTGGCAGTCACAACGATAGCTCCGCGAAGTGGCTTATGTTGAAATTTATAGCGACCAAATACTCTAAATGCGTGTTAAACTACTGTACTGTACGTACTGTACTATATATTATGTTATCAGGTGAGGCACCACTGAGCTGTGACCGGGCCACAAATGACCGCGAAACGAAGTGGCTATGTTGAAATGTATAGAAATCAAATACTCTAAACGCGTGATGTGTGTATCTAAATGTCGAGGTAAAAACTGGAGGATCCTGGAGCAAAATCCACTCTGAGAGAGACAGACGCAGAACTCCACACACACAACAGCAGCAGCAGGCACCGTCAGCAGGCATCGTCAGGATCGAGCCCACGACCTCCTGCACACCCGGCGAGGTAGTTAACATCTCCCGGCCCGCGTGGGCTCCAGGGACGGACGCCGCCCACAGCTCCCAGCTTGGGCAGCACGAGGTCGTGGGGTCAACTCCGACCCTGACGATGCCCGCTGCTGGATGTTTGGGGTTTTAGGCCGATAAGAGTGATCTTTGTCTTTGATGGATAGATGGTGATGGTGAAGATGATGATGGTTGTGGTGTGGATGATGGTGGTGGTGAATATCATGCTGGTAGAGAAGATGATGGGAATGGGGACGATTATGCTGGTGGTGGTGACGGTAGTGGTGCAGCAGATGACGGTGGTGGTAGTGCAGATGATGCTGGTGGTGGTGCAAAAGATGGTTTGTGGTGGTGGTGCAAAAGATGGTGGTGGTGGTGCAGATGACGCTGGTGGTGGTGTAGAAGAGGTGGTGCAGAAGATGGTGGTGGTGGTGCAGAAGATGGTGGTGGTGCAGAAGATGGTGGTGGTGCAGAAGATGGTGGTGGTGCAGAAGATGGTGGTGGTGCAGATAACGGTGGTAGTGGTGCAGGTGCAGACGACGGTGGTGATGGTGAAGATGACGGTGGTGGTAGTGCATGTGATGGCGGCGGAGCTGATGATGATGGTGGTGGTGCAGATGACTGTGTTGATGGTGGTACAGGTACAGGTGATGGTGGTGGCGCAGGTGCAGATGACGATGGTGATTGTGCAGATGACGGTTGGTGGTGCAGATGACTGGTGGTGGTACAGATGATAGTGGTGGTGGTGGTGGTGGTGCAGTTGATGGTGGTGGTAATGGTGGTTAAGATGATGACGGTGGTGGTTGCGGCTCTGTTTGTGATGACGGTGGTGTGCCGCGTGCATGCTGTTGCGCTATGCGTGCATGCTGTTGCGCTCCGCGTGCATGTGGCGATCCCGCTGGTGCCGTGCGTCTCGCAGGCCATGGAGGAGCTGGTGGACGCGCTGGCCGGCTCGATGGCCGTGACGTCGTCTCCCAACAGCACGGCCGCTCCGCACCCGCGCCTGGCTCAGTACAAGCAGCGCTGCAGCAGCAGCCAGAGTCAGAGCGAGCGCCGACAAAAGCTTCTGGAGCTGCAGAAATCGTAAATGAGCAGTGTGTAAACAACAACATCCGCCACCGTTCGCCACGTCACCGCAGCTCCTGTGCCAGACTAGGTGCACAGGGGGGTGCAATGTCTCATACGAGACGTAAGGCGCTTCGACTCCCCGAGGCATTTAAGCAACGCCGTATATACAGTCGTCGTATATACAGTCGTCTTCGTCGCTTGGTTAACGTTTTTAATCCGTTCCACGGAAACTACTGTTAACCTAAATAACTGTTAATCGAATTCACTTATAAGTTGAAAAATAAGTAAAAATCACTGAGTCTGCAAGAGAGCTGTTTCCAATGCCAAAACAGAAAACATAATATAAGCCAAGCCAGTCGAGGTCTCTATGCTCATAAATGGTGCATCGCTGATTGGCGGAGGGCATGCTCAGCCCACTTACAAACACTCGGATTGGCCGAAATTGGTACCCGAGTGCATTACGTAAACATACCGTGAATCTAAATATCTACGTTAGTCGAAACCACGGGGTCATATGGGAGACGAAACGTTAGCCGAAAAACCGTCAACCGGTGTCGCTTGATCATAATAATTATGCATGATCATAATTATTTTGGTCATGCAGGCTCAGAAGTAAAAACTTGGGTCTTTGGGCATGCATCGTCAACCTTGAGGCGACGTCGCTTGTCGTTGCAGGAAGAGGTTGGACTATGTCAACCATGCCCGGCGCCTGGCCATGGAGGACTGGGCGGGCATGGGGGACGTGGCGCGGACGGCTCGGGGTAAGAACGCGCGGGAAGCACCGAACGAGGAGGATGCAGAAGAGGGGAGTGAAGACGACATGGAGGTGGACATGAAGCACAAGAAGCTGCCGCGGTCCTACGCCAACCAGGTGAGGCCCTTGCCTGCCTCGGAGGCCGCACGCAACTCAGATTATTCGGTGGCGGCGCCGCTACTGCTGTGCCATGCCGACCTGCATAGGTGCTCGCTAACAGTACTTGTCCCAACAGTCTGTTCAGTATATACAGGGGATCTTTGTGTGTGGGGAGCGGTAGTGTTGCAGTTAGTGCACTGCACTACAAACACGGTGACCCGAGTTCGAATCCCGCTCAAGGCCAACACCAGTGATGATTATCCGAGCCAGTCCTGGCCTCCCCTAGGTCGACTCAGCCTGACCACACCACCCCCTCGTGCGGTGCCGTGCCGGCCTTCGTAGGTGCTGCTCGCTAGCATCACTTGCCCCAAGGGTCCATTGGAAGGCTACGCGTGTTGACCTTTGTCCTTGGTGCTTGTGTGCAGCTGATGTTGTCGGAGTGGTTGGTGGAGGTGCCGGCGGACCTGTGTGAGGAGTGGCTCATGCTCGTGTGCCCCGTGGGCAAGCGCTGTCTCGTCGTCGCGTCACGGGTAAGCTGGCGCCGGACCAGCAGCTGCTGGTGTGACCACGTGTAGCTCTTTCTCGTGTCGGGCACGTTGCGCGAAAAGTGTTCCCGAATGGAAGGTCCGTGTCATGACGAAAATGCGTTGTAGTGTGAACACCGGCAGTGTTGCGGCAATGGTGGTGTCGGCGTAGTAGGTGGTGGTGCTGTCAATGTATGAAAGGTGTAGTAGTGGTGGTGGTAGTGGTGGTGTTGCTGATAGGAGTGTCGTGCTGTCAGTGGCAGTGTTGCGCTGGTGGTGGTGTCGGTGAAGTAGGTGGTGGTGGTGGCGGTAGGGGTTGTATCGCGCATTCAGGAAGGGCAGGGAGGCTTTGGGCGCGTCGGTCTGCGCCAGCGTCGTCGCTCCGCTACCCGGCGAGCTTGCTGGCCATGGCGCCGCTCTTTCGCTGGGGCAGGTGGGAATGTGGTCGCCAGCCACCTCGTCATCTGGCTGCGGCAGCTGCTTGTTCTTCTTCTTGGCCATGGCCATGTTGTAATTTTCGTAGTCAAAGTATTTTTGCTGTAACGGACAAATTGCTAATTACACATTGGGTGGCGCGATACGTACGTATGTTGGACTTAGCAACGTATGTAGCCAACCATGTCAATCGGAGGTGTGTTGAGCAAGGACTCGTCGTGCGTGCGGGAGGACGCGTGGGAGATGCCGACAGGAGCGCGACTGGCGGCGGTGGCGCTGCTGCTGTGTTGTTGTTGTTGTTTTGCACAGGGGAGCACGGCGGTGTACACCAAGAGCGGCTACTGCGTGAATCGGTTTTCGTCGCTGCTTCCCGGCGGTCGCCACGGACAACACAAAGGTGAGAGCCTCTCACCTGCACTGGTGTGCACGCTCCACGTTATAACGGTAGCGCTCGTTTCGCGTTATAACGGTAGCGCACGTTCCACGTTATAACAGTAGCGCACGTTCCACATTATAACGGTAGCGCACGTTCCGCGTCATAACGGTAGCAGCGCGCTCCGCGTTATAACAGTATAAAGGAAGAACCGCGTTGTCGAGAAACCGCTATGCATGTTCATCTTTTGCACCGTACGTAGGCCAACCGTGCCCATCGGAGGTGTGCTGTGTGAACAGCGCGCGTTAGGCGAGGCCTCGCGGTCGTCTGATGGGCGTCGTTGCGCCGTATGCCCCCATGTGTGCTGCTGAGCAGAGTACAGCATCCTCGACTGCGTGTTCAGCGAGGTCGACCGCACCTACTACATCCTGGACGTCATGTGCTGGCGCGCACATCCTGTCTACGACTGCGAGGTGACACTTGTGCCAAGTCTGTCGTGGGGGGTTGGGGGGGTGGCGGGGGTGGCGACTTGGCACCAGGCCGATGCCACGGGGGTCATCTGCGGCTTTCGGCTTGAAAACGTAAATTAATGAACGTATTTATTTGTGGTTGCAGACAGAGTTCCGCTTTTTCTGGCTCCAGTCCAAGCTGCGGGACGAGGGCGCGGTGACGGAGACGTCCCAGCGCAACCCGGTAACGGCCGCGGCGGCGCTGCGTCTCCTGCCGCTGTCGCATTCGTCGTGTTGTTGTCGGAGCGCTGCGGTGGCGGGATGTTACGTTTCTCGCCTGGTATGCAGGAGGTCGTGGGTTCGATCCTGACCCCGATGACTGCCTGCTGTTGTGTATTTGGAGTTTGCATGTTTTCTCTCCCCGTGGTCGCGTGGATTTTTCTCCGGGTCTCCCGTTTTTTCCCCCTCCACATTATGAATCGATTTGCATTCAGAGTATTTGGCTGCTATGAATTTCCACGTGATGATGATGCACCACTTGGTTGAGCTCTCATTTGTGGCAGGTCGCTTCTGAACAAGAGCTAATAGCTCAGTGGGCTTTACCTGCTAAAGTAAAAACAGTTTTTCAGTTGTTATCGTTGTTGCTGCTGTTGCTTTTCAGTTCCGCTTCGTGGGTCTGCAGTCCTTCGCCTGCTCTCCGGACGTCCTGACGACAGCACTGGCCTCCTCCGAGTTCCCCTACGAGGTAGCGGCTCTGCCCCACTCCCACACGCGGCGTCACATTGTTACACGCGACCACTCCGCTGCTGGGTGTGATGGCCAGCAGGCGGAGGAGCGTTTGGCGCGCCGCGCGCACTATAAACCCGCCCACCTGAGTTCGACTCCCGCTCGTGGCGAATGTTTGAACCGTTCCTGAGCCTCCCCAATTGATTGGTCCACACCCGAGACAGCTTTTCTTAGAGCTTCGTCTCACATGGTGTGGAGCAATCAATTTCAAGGACAGTGCATACATTATCAGAGTTGTGTTTTTTGTTTGCATTCTGACCGCAGGTATTGTGGTCAATGCAAACATGACTCCTTGTAAAAAAAGGTGTCAGTTATGCTCCCAGATAAAAGGGTAAAAAAACAATGATCATATTTTGCTACTGGCAAAGGAGGTTCCAATGGTGTATTTGGCACGTTTTGTTGATGTGACAAACCTTACTGGCTGTGTCAGGTGGTGGAGGGTTACGACACATTTATACTTACGCGATCTAACCCCAAAACCTTTATTATGAATAATATTGATCATGAAAGCCAAACTGAATTACGAACCAGCTTCCATAAGATGTTAATTTTGTAACCATCAGACTTGCGAACCGAACCGTAGAACAATTTACAGTGCTACATGCAAATAACCATCTCTTGTTATTAGTGAGTTTAATGACGCTTCCCTCTGGTGAACCCCGTAGCACATTTCAGAGCACTGATCGCTGCTTGCTGATTTAAATACAGTCCGTGATTGAGTTCCGACTTACGATCCGTTCCACTCGCGAACGCCTCTCGGGAACGGAACCCGTTTATAAGTCGTTGACTGCCCATGTTACATCATAATAATAATACAGGATACAACAACGCTAATAACGATACCGCTGTGCAGGTGGATGGGTTGCTGTTCTATCACAAGCGCACTCACTACTGCCCAGGCAGCACGCCCATATTACATAATAATAATAATACAGGATAATACGTAACAACAACGCTAATAACGATACCGCTGTGCAGGTGGATGGGTTGCTGTTCTATCACAAGCGCACGCACTACTGCCCAGGCAGCACGCCGCTCGTCGGCTGGCTCAAGGCCTACATGGTGCAGGACGTGCTGGGCCTGGCTGTGCCCGACGCCGGCCCCACGGCGCGTCCGCCCCACGCCCACAGGCAGCTGCAGGACATCATCGAGCAGAAGCAGCTGAAGAAGGCTGCAGCCCGTGATGCGGGCCAGGCGGAGGGGCAGTCCGAGCCGAGCGACCGACTACGAGCTGGAGCACCTGTCCACCATCCGCCCGCCGCCACCGCCGTTGGACGTTGACATCGGCTGACTCGCGTCGCCGGCGTCGTTCCACGCGATGTCGTGTCAGTGTCGGGTGCGACGTTCCCCAAGTTTCACCGCCTCCGTGCGGGAACCCGAGGTCCGCGACGCTTGTACGCGCGTACGTACGTGTTGGACTTCGTTCACACCACCGTACGTAGCCAACCGTGCCATTCGGAGGTGCGAGGGGAAAGACAACAAGCTAAACACAAAAAGCAGTTCAAAATAAATGCGTTTTCAATGTATCTATGTTGAACTTCTTTTGCACCACCGCACGTAGCCAACTGCTCATCGGGAGGTGCAGGGGGAAGGGCAAACTAAACACAAACACCAGTTGTAAAGATATTCGTTTTCAATTGTTTTGCGTCCCTGTCGATGGAATGGGCAGTGTTCTCGTGCTCTCGCTGATGATCTCGTACTGCCATTTGAAGAGCAACGATTGTAAAAGATTTCAGTTGTCGGTGATTTAGCCATTCAATTGCTGTCTCGTGAGAGTTGGTGGATTGCAGATACACTCACCTACTTGCTCACCCACTCACCCATCCATTCACGCACCAAACTCACCTCATTCATCCACTCACCTACCCACTCAATCACCCACCCATTCACCCACCAACCCACGCACTCATTGACTCGCTCACTTATTCACCCATCCAACCACTTATTCGCCCACCCATTCACCCACCAACCCACCCAATCCACTCATTAACCCACCCACCACTCACCACCCACTCACTCACCCACCCTTCCTTTGTGTATTTGGAGCAGTGTGACGATGACGACGACGTTACGTGGTCCACGGTTTGGTGTTCGTAGCCGTGGTCGCACACAGGCGGAGAGAGTCTTTGATTCACCATCATGTGGCCCTCTCTCGTAAGGATTCAACAATGGCAACGCTTTTACCCTCATGCGTTTTCTCAGCGGCCTTCCGAATCTAAACACCGCGTCCAAGCGCGGGAGCAAGCAGTCGCGCAACAGAACCTTCTGCAACCGGTTGCGGGCAGCAGTTGCACACACGGTTTGCCGGCCACGGTAGAATATGGACTCGACTGTCATCTGGAACTCGTTTGCGCGCAACTGAATGTTTTGTAGCCACGACGCTTGGAGACGAACTGTTGTTTTTGCGTAACATCTCTGCGTGGAAAAAATAATCGCACAGCTCTTGGCATCGTATTTTAACTGTTATAACATGATAATAATAATAAAGGTTTATTTTTACCCCCCATCACATAAGCGTTGGCTTGAAGAAATTTGTTTGGGTCGGCGTGACACAGACACGTGACAGACAAACAGCGTAAATTAGCTGGGGCGTGCGGGGCGGTGGTGGACATCCGTCACTCGATAGGAGAACATGTCACATGTGAGTGCTCAAAACAAACGTCTCACGTTGCCACCACAGTGGCGGAATGACCAGATGCACTCTGGACTTGCGATCCAGAGGTCATGGGTTCGATTCCATCTCTCGCGGCGCGGAAGTTAAATCAATGGGGCAAGTTGTGTTTGTTGAACTTGCTTCGCACCGTACGTAGCCAACCGCGCTCACCGGAGGTGCCTCTCCACCCAGTGGGATGAATGGGTTCACCAAGGAGTTGGTTGGCCGATCGGCGGGTCGTGTACGGTGGGATAAAGTGTGAGTACTTCCACTGTCCTCCACGACGGTCTGAGCCAGCGTGGAAGAGTAGGCCAAATGCCATTTTAGTTGAGGCCAGCAGGCCGGCAGTGGCGTGAATGGGACATTGCCCCACCCACAACATTTACAACTCAAATTGAAAATGTTGCGAGTTTTAACGACACATTTACGCGATCCAACCTATAAAAAGTTTCATTATGAGTAATATTGCACGCGAATGCCGACTACTTGTTAAGGTGCATATGAAGGCTAACACAGCACCACACGACGGGGTAGGTGGCCAGCACCACGCCCGGCCACCTTTGTATCCATATTGGCGACGTTTACAGAATCTTTATTTAGGCTGGTGGAATCCGATGAACTCGTTTGCGCAGTGTGATACACATATATATAAGCGTCTAGCTTGGCAGTGTCTCATTCTTCACCTGAAGACGGCTGCTTGCGTTGTAGCCGAAACGTCGTGAGAATTATTTTATTTTATTATGTTTTATTTTTTATTATTTGATTACTTCCCTTCTACGTGACTTTACCGAAAGAACCAAGAAGATATCAAGCTCTTGTTCACAGATGTCCAGGAGGGGCGGGTGCACAAGCTTCAACAACAAACAATACAAAAACGACGAGCGTAAGTTAGGGAAAGGGTATGCAAGTCACGAAAAATAAACAAAGTATACCTGTACAAATGGCATGAACATAAATTCCTGCCGAGACACACCGAACCAGGTACTCGCGCTGCCTCCCAACTGCCCAGAAGTAGCAGCAGCAGCAGCAGCCTCCACAGCCCCCACCCCCTCCCTCACAGCTACGCCCCCTTTCCTATAGCCCCGCCCCCTCCTCTAGAGTCCCGCCCCCTCACAGCTCCGCCCCCTTTCTCGTGACCCCGCCCCCTTTCTCATGGCTCCGCCCCCCGCGTCAGAGACGAGCAGCAGAAGGCGGTGATGGTGGCGGTGGTGGCGGTGTTGTTGTTGTGAGGGCACACGCAGGGAGACTTGCAGGAGGAGCGGAGACCATGGCTGGGTTCCCTGAGGAGCGCGACTTCGTCGAGCCCAGCACCGAGGAGACGACGCCCGCCGCCCGCCAGGTAACGAGGCCCCGCGGGGCCTAAACGCGGCCGAGCGGCGCGGGTCGTGGCGGCGGCTCTGCGAGGAATTTGGCGGCGCGGCGAAGTCGACTCGGCCTGAGACTCCGTAGCTACCCCCACGCGTCTCTAGGGTCTCTGTGCGAGTCTGTGGGTCTCTGTGTGAGTCTATGGGTGGCTGTGTGAGTCTACGGGGTCTCTGCGTGAGTCTATGGGTCTCTGTGTGAGTCTGTGGGTCTCTGTGTGAGTCTGTGGGTCTCTGTGTGAGTCTACGGGGTCTCTGTGTGAGCCTATGGGTCTCTGTGTGAGTCTGTGGGTCTCTGTGTGAGTCTACGGGGTCTCTGCGTGAGTCTATGGGTCTCTGTGTGAGTCTGTGGGTCTCTGTGTGAGTCTACGGGGTCTCTGTGTGAGTCTATGGGTCTCTGTGTGAGTCTATGGGTCTCTGTGTGAGTCTGTGGGTCTCTGTGTGAGTCTATGGGTCTCTGTGTGAGTCTACGGGTCTCTGTGTGAGTCTGTGGGTCTCTGTGTGAGTCTATGGGTCTCTGTGTGAGTCTACGGGTCTCTGTGTGAGTCTATGGGTCTCTGTGTGAGTCTATGGGTCTCTGTGTAAGTCTGTGGGTCTCTGTGTGAGTCTACGGGGTCTCTGTGTGAGTCTATGGGTCTCTGTGTGAGTCTACGGGTCTCTGTGTGAGTCTATGTGTCTCTGTGTGAGTCTATGGGTCTCTGTGTAAGTCTATGGGTCTCTGTGTGAGTCTATGGGTCTCTGTGTGAGTCTATGGGTCTCTGTGTGAGTCTATGGGTCTCTGTGTGAGTCTATGGGTCTCTGTGTGAGTCTATGGGTCTCTGTGTGAGTCTACGGGGTCTCTGTGTGAGTCTACGGGTCTCTGGGTGAGTCTATGGGTCTCTGCGTGAGTCTACGGGGTCTCTGGGTGAGGAGGAGTGTAGCGGTTAGCGCGCTCCGCTACGAACCCGGCGACCCGATTTGTATTCCCGCTCACTGAACAACACCGGTGATGATTATCTGAACCGGTCCTGGGTCTCCCCTAGGTTGACGCAGCCACAAATGGGTACCTGGTGCGGTGTGTAGTAAACATCGCTACTGGGGAGACAAAGGCGGCCGGGCGTGGTGCCGGCCACCCACCCCCCTCGTGTGCTCGCTAACAGCACTTGCCCCAACAGACTGTTAAGGCTACACGGGGGATATTTGTCTTTATATGTGTAAGACTGTGGGTCTCTGTGTCAATCTGGGGTCTCTGTGTAAGAGTGTGAGTCTCTGTGTGACACTGGGTCACTGTGTGAGTCTGTGGGTCTCTGTGCGAGTCTATGGGTCTCTGTTTGAGTCTGTGGGTCTCTGTGCGAGTCTGTGGGTCTCTGTGTGAGTCTGTGTCACTGTGTTAGTCTGTGGGTCTCTGTGTAAGACTGTGGGTCTTTGTGTAAGAGTGTGGGTCTCTGTCAGACTGTGTGTCTCTGTGTGAGTCGATGGGTCTCTGTGTGAGACTGTGGGTCTCTGTGTAAGAGTGTGGGTCTCTGTGTTAGAGTGTGGGTCTCTGTGTTAGAGTGTGGGTCTCTGTGTTAGAGTGTGGGTCTCTGTGTTAGAGTGTGGGTCTCTGTGTTAGAGTGTGGGTCTCTGTGTGAGACTGTGGGTCTGAGTCTATGGGCCTGTTTGCATGTCTATAGGTCCTATGTCAGATTAAGTTTATGTCAGGCATTGAGCGCTGTGTAAGCCTTGTATGTTGACCTTCTTTCGCACCGTACGTAGCCAACCGTGTTAATCAGAGCTACGTAAGTAAAGCTACGGGTCTCTATGTAAGTCTGTGTATGGGTCTGCGTGCATTTGTGTGGGGTCTCTGTTGGGATCAAAATGCGAGCCTATGGGTCTTTTTGTTTAAACAGTCTATGGGCCTCTATGCAATTGTATGGCGGTCTGTGCGAGTTTGGCTTCAATGCCAGAGTCTGTGTGGTGTCTTGTGTTGGGCTGCAGGGTTGATCAGTGGCGTGGCGTGGGTTGGCCTGGTCGCTGGTGCGCTTAGTGAAATCGGGCTGCCTAATGTCCCCACCCCAGCAGGCAACGCCACTATTTAAGATTGTAAGACAATGTACGTCACTAATTTTCAGGGGGGGGGGGGGGGGGGTGCACTTTCGCCGATAAGACATCATCAGTGCGAGGGCCGCCACACATTTGACATTATTGGGGGTTTTACAGCAGCACGATGATGGTGATGATGGGAGTGTTTCCAATATGGGAATTAGTTGACTCGGCCTGGAGACTCCGTAGCTGCGACCCCCAGTGCCAGGAAAGAGAAGTGAGATGACCTGCAGAGTGGCGGGGTGAGTGGACGAGTGGGTGGGTGGGTGGGTTAGTGGGTTGGTGAGTAAGTGTTGTTGTGGCCTGCAGTGTGGGAGAGTATGCATGCATGTTGAACTTCTTTCGCACCGTACGTAGCCAAGTGTGCTCACAGGTGAGTGAACGAGTGAGTGGATTGGTGAGTGAGTCTTGTCGTGACCTGCAGTGTGGCGAGTGAGTGTAGTGGCCTGCGTTGTAGTGAGTGCATGAGTGAGTAGGGGAGTGTTTTTGCGATCTGCAGTATGATGAGTGGGTGGGTGGGTGAGCGAGTGGGTAAGTGTTCTGACCTGCAGTGTGGCGAGTGCATGGGTGAGTGTGTTGTTCTGATCTCCAGTGTGGTGAGTGAATGAGTGAGGTGGTGGGTAGGTGGGTGAGTGTGTATTCTGACCTCCAGTGTGGTGAGTGAATGAGTGAGGGGGTGAGTAGGTGGGTGAGTGTGTGTTCTGACCTCCAGTATGGTGAGTGAATGAGTGAGGGGGTGGGTGAGTAGGTGGGTGAGTGTGTTGTTCTGACCTGCAGTGTGGTGAGTGAATGAGTGGGTGGGTGAGTAGGTGGGTGAGTGTGTTGTTCTGACCTGCAGTGTGGTGAGTGAATGAGTGAGTGTGTTGTTCTGACCTGCGGTGTGGTGAGTGAGGGGGTGAGTAGGTGGGTGGTGAGTGTGTTGTTCTGACCTCCAGTGTGGTGAGTGGGTGAGTGAGGGGGTGAGTAGGTGGGTTAGTGTGTTGTTCTGACCTGCAGTATGGTGAGTGAATGAGTGAGGGGGTGGGTAGGTGGGTGAGTGTGTTCTGACCTCCAGTGTGGTGAGTGAATGAGTGAGGGGGTGGGTGAGTGTGTCGTTGTGACTTGCGTCCTTGTGACCTACGTCCTTGTAACCTGCGTGGTGGTGGTGGTGGTTGAACGCAGTATGGATGACACGATACAGTAATATATCCGTGTACAGCAAAAACCCGTGGACATGTCGATGATTTTGTTTCGGATTGCGGAAAGCGAATTATCAGACAGTGAGGGATTATCCAGAGCTTAAAAGGCTGCAACAAAACGGCGCTTTTAACTGACCCTCCTCATTGGGCAGAGTGGACGTTGCCGCTGTGAAACATGTCGGCGTGATACAAAACAAGCGAGAGAGGCGTGTCATTGTGTCCCGGACGACTTTCTCACAAGGTTGGATAAAAATAAAAAATATATTTTTCAATGACGGCAACTGCACAAAGACTCACAAATTCAAGGCAACTTCATAAGTGGCTCAGAGGCTCAGTTGTGCTGAGCTGGTAATTCCGAGATCCTGGATTTTAATCCAGGTTTTGGCCGAGTTCCCAAGTGTGAAGCCATTTGATTGTCTCAGCCAGGTCACCAGAGACTCGCGTTCAGACTCATAGACTCACGTAGAGACCCGTAGACTCGCGTACAGATTCATAGACTCGCGTAGAGATTCATAGACTCATGTAGAGACCCGTAGACTCGCGTACAGAGTCATAGACTAACGTAGAGACCCGTAGACTCGTGTACAGATTCATAGAATCACGTAGAGACCCGTAGACTCGTGTACAGATTCATAGACTCGCGTAGAGATTCATAGGCTCACATAGAGACCCGTAGACTCGCATACACTGAGTTGTGATGAAAATCGGGTTCTTAAGTGTGGTGAGTTGATGGTTGCAGCCCAGCCACTGATGGCTGTAAAAGCACATCATGTGATGTTTGGTTCCGCACTCAATTTCACCAAATCCCCACCTCTTGAAAGATTGCAGAAGGGATCTCGGCGGTAGCCCTCTGTGATATTGTGTGTGCACCAAGAGGTGACGTGAAGTAGAGACCTCGCAGGTAGCTTTGGCATGTCTGCTTTGCGGGCGCCGTTCTGCAACGCGAGAGGGGGCCACGCTTGCAACTGGGAGATTTCTGAACGGATTCTTATTGTCGTGACGCCGAGACGCCGATGGCAATGGTGGGGATTAAACTGGGGAGAGAGACGGAGAGAGACAGAGACACACACAAAAGGGAAACGCAAAAACGAACGTATGGTGCGAAAGAAGTTCAACATACGTACAACTCAATGATTATTTGGCCGCAATAAATGTTCACGCGATGATGATAAGAAGCCACTTTGTTGAGCTATTACTTGTGGCCAAGTTGCTTCTAAAAAAAAGCTCATGGCAAAGTGGGGCTCTACCTGGTAAAATAAAACAGCTGACTTAGATTGTGAAGTGGTTTGTTTACCTTGACTACACTTTGCGATCCCATCGTTACTTTGCGTTGTTTGTTGTTGTTGTAAAGTTCTGACTCCATGCCCCTTATGGACATCTGTGGCAAAGAGCTTTGCAGCTCGTGGGATTCTTCCAGTATGAGTAAATATTTTTATTCTATGATGACTTAAGTCTGAAGATTTTCAGGGTTGTCATTTGTTGGAGCCCCCGAGGGAGAGGGGTGGTGGGGCTTGAGTCAACACGCATCCAGGATGTGAACTCGCGACCTTGCGATTGCGAGCCGCCCGCTCTCCCGCTCTGCCGGTGCCTGACGGCTGTAAATAGAATGATGGTTCCTCCCATGCCTAGGGGGGTTAACGGGGGAGACGTTACATGTGCGCGGTCCCACCACCGCCTCCAGGATTATTCGGACGAGCGCCGCTTTCCCTGTCATCTTTTTACTTGATTCGGAGCCGCTCGCTCCAATAGGGCCGTTAATTCCATTGCAATAGGGCCGTTCATTTTCCAATAGGGCCGTTAATTCCAATAGGGCCGTTCATTTCAATAGGGCTGTTAATTCCATTGCAATAGGGCCGTTAATTCTCCAATAGGGCCGTTAATTCCAATAGGGCCGTTCATTCTCCAATAGGGCCGTTAAACTGGAACAGCTGTTCTAAAGAAATGAGTTTGTCAAGCTAGATGATATAAAAGTGCGTCATGGCTCCCAGTGGCTTCCTAATACCGGAAGGGAGAGCATTCCAGACGGCCGCAGAAGCAGCGCATCTGAAAGCGCCGCGCGACGATGATGCGGTGAGCGTCATTGTTTGATGGCAAGCGAACAAGTGGCGCGTGATTGTAACGGTGACGTCATCGCAAAGATCCCCCGTGTCGCCTTAACAGACTGTTGGGGCCAAGTAAGTGCTGTTAGCGAGCAGCACCTGTGAAGGCCGGCACTGGGGCACACGAGGGGGCGGGTGGCCAGCACCGCGCCCAGCCGCCTTTGTCTCCCTAGCGGTGATATTTATACAAGACACTAGGTACTAATTTCAGGCTGAGTCGCCGTAGGAGAGGCCCAAGACCGGTTCAGATAGTCGTTGACCGTGATCGGGAACGGAACTCGGCTCGCGGGATTCTTAGTGCGGTGTACCACTCCCCACATCATCACACGCGCACACGTACGCATGCACACACGTACGCATGCACACACGTACGCATGCACGCACGTACGCATGCACGCACGTACGCATGCACACACGTACACATGCATGCACGCACGTACTCATGCACGCGCGTGTGGGGTAACGGATTGTTTCCCGGTCTGTCTCTCCGCGTGCCGTGCCGCCGTTCCTTCTGCGCCACGTCGGCCCCAGTCGGCGGAGGAGGTGGAGGAGGCCAAGCTCCGGGCCAAGTACCCCAACATCGTGCCGCATCAACCGGGAGGCTCCCACTTCCTCCGCAAACGCCTCCAGAAGGGGGTGAGTGGCACCTGCCAAGCTGCCCCCCCCCCATCCCCTCGCTCTGTGTGGTGCCACGGTGGCCAGGAGATGTTGACTACCTCGCCTGGTCTACAGGAGGTCGTCGTGCGTTTGATCCCGACCCTGACGCCTGCTGCTGTAGATTTGGAGTTTGCGTGTCTCTCTCATCATCATCATCAGGGTGGCTAGGAGATGTTAACTACCTCGCCTGGTCTACAGGAGGTCGTGGGTTCGATCCCGACCCTGACGCCTGCTGCTGTAGATTTGGAGTTTGCGTGTCTCTCTCTCATCATCATCATCACGGTGGCTAGGAGATGTTAACTACCTCGCCTGGTCTACAGGAGGTCGTGGGTTCGATCCCGACCCTGACGCCTGCTACTGTATATTTGGAGTTTGCGTGTCTCTCTCTCTCATCATCATCAGGGTGGCTAGGAGATGTTAACTACCTCGCCTGGTCTACAGGAGGTCGTGGGTTCGATCCCGACCCTGACGCCTGCTGCTGTAGATTTGGAGTTTGCGTCTCTCTCTCACCGTAGTCGTGTGGATGTTTCGCTGGGTCCTCCGGTTTTACCCTCCACATTTAGAATCGACTACGATACGTTTCAACACCACGATGAGCCACTTTGTTGAGCTATCATTTGTGATTGTCGCTTCTGAAAAATAGTTTCATAAATAAACATTTAGATTGAAAACTCGTTTCGATAAAAACTGCTGCTGGAGTTGAGTTCTTTGTCCTTCCGCCGCCCCTCCGATTCCCACGGTTGGCTACATATGGTGTGAAAGAAGTCCAAAGTACGTATCGCACCACCCAACGTTTAGTTTATTGTATTTTGTGTTTTTTCGGGTGAATTAATCAAAGTGTCCGTTGCAGCAAAAATACTTTGACTCCGGAGACTACAACATGGCCAAGGCCAAGATGAAGAACAAGCAGCTGCCGCAGCCGGGCGGCGAGGTGACTGGCGACCACATTCCCACGCCCCAGGACCTGCCCCAGCGCAAGAGCGGCGCCATGGCCAGCAAGCTCGCCGGGTAGCCGAGGCACGCCGCTGGCGCAGACCGGCGCGGGCGCAGCCTCCCTGCCCCTGCCGAGCACGCGACACTACAACCCCTACCGCCACGGCCACCGCCGCAACGCTGACACTGACTTCAGCAGCACCACCACGACCATCATTAATACACTGACGGCACCACCACTACCACCACCACTACCACCATGAATACACTGACAGCACCACCACCTGCTACACTGACACCACCACTCTTGCAACACTGCCACTGACATCATCAGCACCACCACTACCACCACCACTACCACCACCACTACCACCACTACCACCACCACGACCACCAGCATCACCGCCACTGCAACACTGCCGCCGACATCACCACTGACATCATCATCAGCACCACCACCTCCCGCTATGAGACCACCGCCCTTTCCGAGCGCCCAGGGGACAACCTGGTCCCATGGCCGCCGCCCCCCTTTCTAGTTCCCTGCGTCCCAGTGCGTGAGAGATCCACCCGGGGTGCGTCCCGGTGCGTGAGAGATCCACCCAGGGTGAGTCCCAGTGCGAGAGAGATCCACCCGGGGTGAGTCCCTGTGCGTGAGAGATCCACCCGGGGTGAGTCCCTGTGCGTGAGAGATCCACCCGGGGTGAGTCCCTGTGCGTGAGAGATCCACCCGGGGTGAGTCCCTGTGCGAGAGAGATCCACCCGGGGTGCGTCCCAGTGCGAGAGAGATCCACCCGGGGTGCGTCACTGTGCGTGAGAGATCCACCCGGGGTGAGTCCCTGTGCGAGAGAGATCCACCCGGGGTGCGTCACTGTGCGTGAGAGATCCACCCGGGGTGAGTCCCTGTGCGAGAGAGATCCACCCGGGGTGCGTCCCAGTGCGAGAGAGATCCACCCGGTGCCGTGCGAAGGATCGTCTCGTTCACGCGGGGGGGACACACGCGCTGACGGCACCACACCCACATCGGCGGCACCACCACGACCACCGCGTGCGCCGACGAGGGAACCTGCCTTAGACGACGTTGCAGTACGCGCTCGAGATGACCGCTTGCCGACAGCCCTCGGTGGAATGCCACGCCAAAAATGTGAAAGTGTGCTTTGTACACGGGATGGCGAGTCTAGCGCGTAGGCTCGACTCGGTTGATTTAAAAAAAATTGCTGTTGCTGCTACCGCCGCTGCGTCTGCGTTTCACCACGTGTCACAGACGGTTTTGGTGTGTGAAGTTGTCACGGTCGATCATAATGGTCGGTGACCCTTGTTTTTCTGATGTGAGCACTCACGAGTTGGCCTATAACAGCTGAACCCACAGAGGGCCGCAACGCTTGGGCAATTGTTGGCAGCACCAGCTCATCGCGTGGCTGCCAGGAGATGAGCGATTGCTCATCTCCTGGCGCCCCTCCGGTCGTTCTCTCTCTCTCTGTACGAGAGCGAGCCTTCGCCGTGCGGCGACGGCGGCGTTACAAGTTGACGTTATGGTTTTTATTACCGTCGTCGTGCTCAGAAACCAGCAGCTCCTGTGTAGTACAGCAGCCGTTTGGACGGGGGCCAAAGAGAAGTTTGGAAATGCCACTGGCCCGGGCCGACCGTGCGTTGGTTGACGCTTAACCCTCTCGTGTGGTACTGGCACCGCGCACGTAGACTGCAACGAGGCGGCCGAGCGTGCCGAAGTTCTAAAACAGTGTTAACCCGTTGAAAGTATTTACCACTCCCCCCTCAGTACCCGATTTTAGTGCGGCTGAGATGCCTCGTGGTGACGGATGGAGACACCGTCTTGGACGGTCTTGGAGTGGTTGGCCCGTGGGGCCCCGTTTCAAAACGGAAGTTGTGGCTTGTGTCTGGCTCGCCTCGGCCGTGTGGGGGGGGGGGAGGGGCGTAGGGATTCTGACACACGGTCAGTGTAGCTGGGGTTTCAAGAGTTGAAGCTGATTTTGTGACGCCTCTTTTTACATTGGCACATCTGAGCCGTGCCAGGCCCATGTGGCACGGGTTGCTTCTCGCCACCCCCCCCCCCCAAGCCCCATCCCACACAAACCGGGACGGCGCTGCCGGGCCGGGCCCTGCTGACGCCGTTCTGTTGAGCGGCGGAAAAGTAACAAAAAAGGTTTCAGCGGCAAAGTGCGCCGTGGGTGATTTCCGCGCTTGGTGGGATAGGAGGTCTACCGACTGTCGACGTCCGTAGCAGTAGTCGTAGTAGTAGTAGCAGCAGGAGTAGTAGTAGCAGGAGTAAATAGCGATGCTGTGAATAACGAATCGTAGCTAGTGCGGTGGCGTGCGACACCGGGCAGCACCGTCGCTTCAACTCTCCCGTTTCGACCGCGCGCCGAGTTTGTGTCTGGGGGCGGCCGCCGATTTGAACGGTGCTTTTGCGAAGGATTTCAAATAAAACACGACTTTCTTTGCGCCCGCCAAACGCGCACTCGGGTTTAATAGTTTGCCTGCTTGCTGCTCCTCGCTCGTCGAGGAAGGAGGGGGGGGGGTTCAGGGACTCGGGACCGTGAATGCGCTCGCAATATTTAAACATCACTTTGAGAAGCAATAAAAACTAACTGGGCATTGTGCGTTCCTCGCGAGGGTAAACGCTGTGCGTGGATTCGTGGCGTTGCGTGAACCGTGTTTGTGATTCAACGAGTTTTTATTTTACCAGGTCAGGCCCACTGAGCTATGTAGCTCTTTTCAGAAGCGACCTGCCCATCGCAAACGATCGCTCAACAAAGTGGCTCATCAACATCATCATCGTGTGGAAATGTAGAGCAGTCACCAAATACTCTGTAAGCGCACGGCGATTCGAAATGTGGAGGGGAAAACCGGACGACCCGGAGGGAAATCCACGTGACCAGCAGCGGTCCTTCTGTCTTTGAGTCTCGCAAATCTCTCCTTGATCCACCAACCCTCGCCCTCCAAATCGCTGGACCACGGTCAAGTAAAGACCCCCCCCCCCCCCCCCCCGCTCAACCCCACTATCACTAATATTGTTATTAGTGATAGCGTCAACTTGTACACACATCGCACATCGTTGGCTCGCTCTCGTGGAGAGGACGAGTCTGAGGTGCTAGGAGGAGGAACCACAGACGAGTGGTGAGGAACTGGCGCCAACGCTTTCCCAAGGTCTGCGATCCTCTATGTTTTCGACCAATGAATGAGTGTTCACGTGTGAGAGGAGGAAACGGGAGCACCCAGAAAAAAACATTCACGCGTGTGGAGGGGGGCAACGCTCTATCCCATCGAGACGGGAATAGGTGGGAGCCGACTTTGTTGCTGGGCTGCACTGCATCCTCCTGGTAGAGCCGCGGTGATGGCACCTCATCAATGCCCATTGCCGAGGGAGTTTCGTAACATCTGTGATCCAACAACCCCCTCGACTGCTGTTCCCGGCAGCGCTGGATTGCTCCAGGGAGCCATTTGCAGCGTAGCCGTCTGACGCGTCCCCTCCGTGCGCCACGTGTCTGTGCGTTGACCTTCACCTCGCAACGTTACACAGCCAGCCGCGCTCAGCGCAGGTGGGGGAGACCATTTGCCTTTGAAGGAATTTTTTTTGAAGAAACGACCTTCCCTTTAACGTTTCAAACTATTTTTTTTTATTTCCACGAGCGGCGATACAGCAGGTCGTGCCACGAGGGCACGGCGGAGAGAGGGGGGGCGGAGAGAGGGGGGGGCGGAGAGAGGGTGGGGGGCGGAGAGGGGGGGTTAGGAAGAGGACAGCCAGCCATTTGGGGGCGGCCTCAGTTGATGGCGATGTTCAGCGGCGTGGTGATGGGCACGGAGATCTTCAGAGTGAGTTCCTGCGGAGACGGCAGGAGCAGGAGCAGCAGCAGCAGCACACACCGGCGGTGAGACTGGGCCATCAAGAAGATGTCTCTGGTGTCGGCCAATCGGCTTCATCTGACCACTTGTTTTATTGCCACAAAGGGTGAACGCCGAATTATTTTTCAAAACTAATTATATCGCAACGTTTGCTCATAAGACATCAGCAACAGCAGCAGCAGTGCGTGAGCGCGGCCGTTACATTTTTAAACCATGGGGGGGTGGGGGGGTTTGACAGCTGCATGATGATGGGGGGGGGTGTGGGGGGTGTTTTCACTCTTGAGTATTGTGGGGGAGGGCTGCCAATGACCAACCACTGATTTCGAATATTCAGACTATGGGGGGGGGGGGGGGGGGGGGGCGAAGAGGAATCTTTGCTGCAAGTCGGCGCAGCCTGGCGCTGCCACACCGGCGCAGCACGACGACGCGCCGGGCCCCTCGTGAAAGAGCCAGCCTGAGTGAGCTGCCGGGGCTCTCACGTCACGAGCCGCCACTTCCACTCGGCGGCCACTTTCCCATCAGTGACGCCGCCACCACTGCCGCCACCACCACCACGAGGAGGAGGAGGAGTGGCACTCTATGAATGCCTACCGCCCGCCAGGAGGCGATTCCCGAAACGAATTGAGGAAACCGCCCGGCCGAGGCTCGTGGCACGAAGACGAACACGAAGAGTCGCCCCTTCGGCACAATCGGGGCCGGGTGGCGGCTCTGCGGCGAGGGGCAGCGAGACGCTTCGTCGTGGGTCAGCCGCTCGTGGCTTCGCTCCGCCGTGCGACCCGCTTCGACGTCGCGAGAACTCAAGTTTTGATGCCACCGCCATCGCCCCGCGAGATTTTCTGACCGGGCGATTTGCGGATCGCGTGAAAGTAAATCACTATGACCATTTACTTCGTGTTATTTGACTACGGCGCGCCACCGGTGCAAACCGCCGCCTGTCTCCCGAGGAGCGCCGGCCGGTTACCCCGCTGGGGTGGAAGGCGACGTCGGAGGAGGGCAGGGGGCTCCCGTCGACGGTGACGCCGCCCGGCGGCGAGCGCAGGCCCAGCACGCGCACCGTCTGGAAGGCCAGGCCCGCCGCGTAGCCGGCACGCTCCACCCTGCTCGTCAGGCGCTTCTGTGGCGTGCGGCGGCGGGGGGGCAGAAGCGCCGTGGGGGGGGCGGGGGGGGTTAGGGGAGGGGTTTGGGGGGGGGTTTCAGGAGGGGTGGAAGAAAACAAAAACGTCGATCTTAAAAGGTGAAGGTCAAATGTGCTGCGATTGCCGGCAATGCCACTACCATCATCATCTACCACCATCCTCACTACCACCACCATCACCATCCTCACCACCATCCTCACCACCACCATCATCACCATCATCATCCTCACTACCACCATCATCATCCTCACTACCACCATCATCACCATCATCACCATCCTCACTACCACCACCATCATCACCATCCTCACTACCACCATCATCACCATCCTCACTACCACCACCATCACCATCCTCACTACCACCACCATCATGATCTCCATCATCGCGAGATCTCCACGTGTGGCGGCGCCACGAGGAGGCGGCGCTGGGTGCGGGCTGGAGACTCACGCCCGTGAAGACGAAGCTGGCGAGGAAGTAGTTCCCGCTCTCGACGGTCCCTGCGGGAGAGGGGGACGCGACACGTTACCGCGGCGTTACCGCGGCGTGAGTCGTGGCACGAACTCGGGGACAACAGCAGCAGCAGCAGCAGACTACGGGAACGGTAGAAACAAAGACGGACGCAATCCGTTCGGTCGAATCGCAACCCGATTATAAAATCGAACTTTGTTCATTTTGGGTGTTTTAGTGGAAGTAGAAACAAGCGAAACTATTGTTTTTTTATTATTTTACCAGGCAAGGCCCACTGAGCTGCTACGGAGAGCTCTTATTCAGAAGCGACCTGGCAATTACAAATGACAGCGCAACGAAGTGGCTTGTCAACACTTGGAGAGGGACACGCAAACTCCAAATATACAGCAGCAGGCGTCAAGGTTGGGTTCGAACCCACGACCTCCTGCATACCAGGCGATGTAGTCAACACCTCGCCACCGTGTTAGAGGCTACACGGGGCACCTTTGTCTTTGTGTGGTGCTCACCGATGGAGTCGCCGTCGTCCCAGAAGAGGGATCCGCGCGCCTCCAGGTTCTCGTCCAGAGACACGATCAGCCCCATCGGGTTCACGCGGCTGAACACACAACACGGCCGCTGGCTCACCAACACGCTCGCTCACTCACTCGCTTACTGACTCACTCGCTGGCACACCAACACGCTCGCTTACTCACTCACTCACTGACTCACTCGCTGGTTCACCAACACGCTCGCTTACTCACTCGCTTACTGGCTCACCAACATGCTCACTCACTCACTCGCTGACTGACTCACTCGCTGGCTCACCGACATGCTCACTCACTCGCTGGCTCACCAACACGCTTGCGTACTCACTCGCTTACTGGCTCACCAACACGCTCGCGTACTCACTCGCTTACTCACTCACTCGCTGACGCACCAACACACTCGCTTATTCACTCGCTGACTGACTCACTCACTCGCTGGCTCACCAACACGCTCGCTTACTCACTGACTCACTCACTCGCTTACTCACTCACTCGCTGGCGGACTAACTCACAGGTTCACTGGCTAACTGACTGACTCACTCGCTCACTCACTCGCTGACTGACTCACTCGCTCACTGACTAACTGACTCACTCGCTCACTGGGACTGCGGTTCTCGCCCACGAGTGGCCCCCCAGCCCCCCCCCCCCCCCCAGGCTCAGGCTCCCCCCCAGCCCCCCCCCCACGCCCCCCCCACGCCCCCCAGCCCCCCCGCCCACCTGTGCGTGGTGGTCCTGGCGGGCTGCTGGGTGGGCACGACGAAGCCCCCCCGCAGGAAGAGGGGGATGAGCTCGAGGGGCGCCGCCACGCGGGCCGACGAGCGGCGCCACGACGCCGGCACCTCCTCGCCCTGCAAAGACAAAGGTGCCCCGGGTAGCCTTCAGCAGGCTGCTGGGGCAAGTGCCGTTCGCGAGCACACACAAAGACAAAGGTGCCCCGGGTAGCCTTCAGCAGACTGCTGGGGCAAGTGCCGTTCGCGAGCACACACAAAGACAAAGGTGCCCCAGGTAGCCTTCAGCAGACTGCTGGGGCAAGTGCCGTTTGCGAGCACACACAAAGACAAAGCTCTTGGGGGTGAGCCCCCCACGAGGTGAGCCCCCCACGAGGTGAGCCCCCCACGAGGTGAGCCCCCCACGTGGTGCACGCCCCGTACCGTGTAGTAGCTGTACCAGCGCGCGTCCGGGAAGTAAACGTCGACCGTGGTGGCGCCCTGCGAACGCCACCAACATCACAGCATGAGTGGCGCCATATGGTCCAATTCTCACGATTACAGCGACTCCTCTACTCACGAACATTCGACTTACACACTTCCAGAGATACGAACAAACCCGTCCCTATGTCCAGTTGCCTGTTCGGACCGAGAGTCGTAAGTTTAACCACCACGCAACAGATAGCGGTGGTGACATCTATATCTACAGAACGTGAAGAACCAGTGGCATCTACATCTGTAGAACGTGAAGAACCAGTGGCATCTACATCTGCAGAACGTGAAGAATCAGTGGCATCTACATCTGCAGAACGTGAAGAACCAGTGGCATCTACATCTGTAGAACGTGAAGAGCCAGTGGCATCTACATCTGCAGAACGTGCAGAACCAGTGGCATCTACATCTGCAGAACGTGAAGAACCAGTGGCATCTACATCTGCAGAACGTGAAGAGCCAGTGGCATCTACATCTGCAGAACGTGAAGAACCAGTGGCATCTACATCTGCAGAACGTGAAGAACCAGTGGCATCTACATCTACAGAACGTGAAGAACCAGTGGCATCTACATCTGCAGAACGTTAAGAACCGGTGGCATCCCTCCAAGGTCCATTGCAACATCGTGACGTCCTGGACGCATGAGCAGGCACACGGGACTCGGCAGAGCAGGCGGGGTAGTAGTTGAAGCTTTTTCTTATATTTATATATATAAAGAACAAATCTTCATCATCATTTCGACACTTGCTTAAAGGTGCCACAGACACCCATCCCCGTGTCCGTGCGACGCCCCTTGTACCTCCGCCAGCACGGGCGCCACCATCAGCGCCGGGCCCCAGAGGAACGCGCGGTCGACGCCGTGAGTCTGCACGTCCGTGACGAACCTGGCGCGGCGTCGCGGGAGGAGAGAAGAAAACAACCACACATCACACCACACACACACCACACACACCACACATCACACCACACACCACACACACACTACACACACCACACACACCACACACACCACATATCACACCACACACACCACACACACACCACACACACAACACACCACACACCACACACACACCACACACACCACACACATACCACACACACACCACACATACACCACACACACCACACACACACCACACACCACACACACCACACACCACACACACACCACACACACCACACACACCACATATCACACCACACACACCACACACACCACACACACAACACACAACACACACACCACACACACACCACACACACTACACACATACCACACACACACCACACATACACCACACACACCACACACACACCACACACCACACACACCACACACCACACACACACCACACACACCGCACACACCACATATCACACCACACACACCACACACACACCACACACACAACACACCACACACACACCACACACACACCACACACACCACACACATACCACACACACACCACACATACACCACACACACACCACACACACACCACACACCACACACACCACACACCACACACACACCACACACACCACACACACCACATATCACACCACACACACCACACACACACAACACACCACACACACACCACACACACACCACACACACCACACACATACCACACACACACCACACATACACCACACACACCACACACACACCACACACCACACACACCACACACCACACACACACACACACACCACACACACCACATATCACACCACACACACCACACACACACACACACACACAACACACCACACACACACCACACACACACCACACACACCACACACATACCACACACACACCACACATACACCACACACACCACACACACACCACACACCACACACACCACACACCACACACACACCACACACACCACACACACCACACACCACACACCACACACACACCACACACACACCACACACACACCACACACACCACACACCACACACACACCACACACACACCACACACACCACACACCACACACACACCACACACACCACACACACACCACACACACCACACACCACACACACACCACACACACCACACACACCACACACCACACACCACACACACCACACACCACACACACACCACACACACACCACACACACCACACACACCGCACCGTGGACTCACTCGTGCAGCAGGGGCCGCACGACGGTGCCCCCGCGCGTGTGTGCCTCGTGGAAGAGCGAGTAGAGGAAGGGCAGCAGCGTGTAGCGCACCAGCAGCGCCGAGCGCGCCGCCTCGGCAAACTCCGGCCCGAACACGCCGGGGTCTTGATCCTGCACAGCGGCGACGCGCGGAGAACAAGGGGAGAGGCGGAGAACAAGTTGACACGCGGAGAACAAGGTGAGACAGAGAACAAGGCGGAGAACAAGGCGGAGACCAAGGTGACACACAGAGAACAAGGTGAGACACAGAGAACAAGGTGACACACACAGAAGAAGGTGACACACAGAGAACAAGGTGACACTCAGAGAACAAGGTGACACACAGATAACAAGGTGACACACACAGAAGAAGGTGACACACAGAGAACAAGGTGACACACAGAGAACAAGGTGACACACAGAGAACAAGGTGACACACAGAGAACAAGGTGAGACACAGAGAACAAGGTGACACACAGAGAACAAGGTGACACACACAGAAGAAGGTGACACACAGAGAACAAGGTGACACACAGAGAACAAGGTGACACACAGAGAACAAGGTGACACGCGGAGAACAAGGTGACACACAGAGAACAAGGTGACACACAGAGAACAAGGTGACACACAGAGAACAAGGTGACAGAGAGAACAAGGCGACACACAGAGAACAAGGTGAGACACAGAGAACAAGGTGACACACACAGAAGAAGGTGACACACAGAGAACAAGGTGACACTCAGAGAACAAGGTGACAGAGAGAACAAGGTGACACACAGAGAACAAGGTGAGACACAGAGAACAAGGTGACACACACAGAAGAAGGTGACACACAGAGAACAAGGTGACACTCAGAGAACAAGGTGACACACAGATAACAAGGTGACACACACAGAAGAAGGTGACACACAGAGAACAAGGTGACACACAGAGAACAAGGTGACACACAGAGAACAAGGTGACACACAGAGAACAAGGTGAGACACAGAGAACAAGGTGACACACAGAGAACAAGGTGACACACACAGAAGAAGGTGACACACAGAGAACAAGGTGACACACAGAGAACAAGGTGACACACAGAGAACAAGGTGACACGCGGAGAACAAGGTGACACGCGGAGAACAAGGTGACACACAGAGAACAAGGTGACACACAGAGAACAAGGTGACACACAGAGAACAAGGTGACAGAGAGAACAAGGCGACACACAGAGAACAAGGTGAGACACAGAGAACAAGGTGACACACAGAGAACAAGGTGAGACACAGAGAACAAGGCGACACACAGAGAACAAGGTGACACACACAGAAGAAGGTGACACACAGAGAACAAGGTGACACTCAGAGAACAAGGTGACAGAGAGAACAAGGTGACACACAGAGAACAAGGTGAGACACAGAGAACAAGGTGACACACACAGAAGGTGACACACAGAGAACAAGGTGACACTCAGAGAACAAGGTGAGACACAGAGAACAAGGTGACACACAGAGAACAAGGTGAGACACAGAGAACAAGGTGACACACAGAGAACAAGGTGACACACAGAGAACAAGGTGACACACACAGAGAACAAGGTGACACACAGAGAACAAGGTGACACACAGAGAACAAGGTGAGACACAGAGAACAAGGTGACACACAGAGAACAAGGTGAGACACAGAGAACAAGGTGACACACAGAGAACAAGATGACACACAGAGAACAAGGTGACACACAGAGAACAAGGTGACACACAGAGAACAAGGTGACACACAGAGAACAAGGTGACACACAGAGAACAAGGTGACACACACAGAGAACAAGGTGACACACAGGGAACAAGGTGACACACAGAGAACAAGGTGAGACACAGAGAACAAGGTGACACACAGAGAACAAGGTGACACACACAGAGAACAAGGTGACACACAGGGAACAAGGCGACACACAGAGAACAAGGTGAGACACAGAGAACAAGGTGACACACAGAGAACAAGGTGAGACACAGAGAACAAGGTGACACACAGAGAACAAGATGACACACAGAGAACAAGGTGACACACACAGAGAACAAGGTGAGACACAGAGAACAAGGTGACACACAGAGAACAAGGTGACACACAGAGAACAAGGTGACACACACAGAGAACAAGGTGACACATAGGAAACAAGGTGACACACAGAGAACAAGGTGACACACAGAGAACAAGGTGACACACAGAGAACAAGGTGAGACACAGAGAACAAGGCGACACACAGAGAACAAGGTGACACACAGAACAAGGTGACACACAGAGAACAAGGTGAGACACAGAGAACAAGGTGACACACAGAGAACAAGGTGAGACACAGAGAACAAGGTGACACACACAGAGAACAAGGTGACACACAGAACAAGGTGACACACAGAGAACAAGGTGACACACAGAGAACAAGGTGACACACAGAGAACAAGGTGACACACACAGAGAACAAGGTGACACACAGAACAAGGTGACACACAGAGAACAAGGTGAGACACAGAGAACAAGGTGACACACAGAGAACAAGGTGACACACACAGAAGAAGGTGACACACAGAGAACAAGGTGACACAGAGAACAAGGTGACACACAGAGAACAAGGTGACACACAGAGAACAAGGTGACACACAGAGAACAAGGTGACAGAGAGAACAAGGCGACACACAGAGAACAAGGTGAGACACAGAGAACAAGGTGACACACACAGAAGAAGGTGACACACAGAGAACAAGGTGACACTCAGAGAACAAGGTGACAGAGAGAACAAGGTGACACACAGAGAACAAGGTGAGACACAGAGAACAAGGTGACACACACAGAAGAAGGTGACACACAGAGAACAAGGTGACACTCAGAGAACAAGGTGACACACAGATAACAAGGTGACACACACAGAAGAAGGTGACACACAGAGAACAAGGTGACACACAGAGAACAAGGTGACACACAGAGAACAAGGTGACACACAGAGAACAAGGTGAGACACAGAGAACAAGGTGACACACAGAGAACAAGGTGACACACACAGAAGAAGGTGACACACAGAGAACAAGGTGACACACAGAGAACAAGGTGACACACAGAGAACAAGGTGACACGCGGAGAACAAGGTGACACACAGAGAACAAGGTGACACACAGAGAACAAGGTGACACACAGAGAACAAGGTGACAGAGAGAACAAGGCGACACACAGAGAACAAGGTGAGACACAGAGAACAAGGTGACACACAGAGAACAAGGTGAGACACAGAGAACAAGGCGACACACAGAGAACAAGGTGACACACACAGAAGAAGGTGACAAACAGAGAACAAGGTGACACTCAGAGAACAAGGTGACAGAGAGAACAAGGTGACACACAGAGAACAAGGTGAGACACAGAGAACAAGGTGACACACACAGAAGAAGGTGACACACAGAGAACAAGGTGACACTCAGAGAACAAGGTGAGACACAGAGAACAAGGTGACACACAGAGAACAAGGTGAGACACAGAGAACAAGGTGACACACAGAGAACAAGGTGACACACAGAGAACAAGGTGACACACACAGAGAACAAGGTGACACACAGAGAACAAGGTGACACACAGAGAACAAGGTGAGACACAGAGAACAAGGCGACACACAGAGAACAAGGTGAGACACAGAGAACAAGGTGACACACAGAGAACAAGGTGAGACACAGAGAACAAGGTGACACACAGAGAACAAGATGACACACAGAGAACAAGGTGACACACAGAGAACAAGGTGACACACAGAGAACAAGGTGACACACAGAGAACAAGGTGACACACAGAGAACAAGGTGACACACACAGAGAACAAGGTGACACACAGGGAACAAGGTGACACACAGAGAACAAGGTGAGACACAGAGAACAAGGTGACACACAGAGAACAAGGTGACACACACAGAGAACAAGGTGACACACAGGGAACAAGGCGACACACAGAGAACAAGGTGAGACACAGAGAACAAGGTGACACACAGAGAACAAGGTGAGACACAGAGAACAAGGTGACACACAGAGAACAAGATGACACACAGAGAACAAGGTGACACACACAGAGAACAAGGTGAGACACAGAGAACAAGCTGACACACAGAGAACAAGGTGACACACAGAGAACAAGGTGACACACACAGAGAACAAGGTGACACACAGGGAACAAGGTGACACACAGAGAACAAGGTGACACACAGAGAACAAGGTGACACACAGAGAACAAGGTGAGACACAGAGAACAAGGCGACACACAGAGAACAAGGTGACACACAGAACAAGGTGACACACAGAGAACAAGGTGAGACACAGAGAACAAGGTGACATACAGAGAACAAGGTGAGACACAGAGAACAAGGTGACACACACAGAGAACAAGGTGACACACAGAACAAGGTGACACACAGAGAACAAGGTGAGACACAGAGAACAAGGTGACACACAGAGAACAAGGTGACACACACAGAGAACAAGGTGACACACAGAACAAGGTGACACACAGAGAACAAGGTGAGACACAGAGAACAAGGTGACACACAGAGAACAAGGTGAGACACAGAGAACAAGGTGACACACACAGAGAACAAGGTGACACACAGAGAACAAGGTGACACACAGAGAACAAGGTGAGACACAGAGAACAAGGTTACACACAGAGAACAAGGTGACACACAGAGAACAAGGTGACACACAAAGAACAAGGTGACACACAGAGAACAAGGTGACACACAGAGAACAAGGTGACACACAGAGAACAAGGTGAGACACAGAGAACAAGGTGACACACACAGAGAACAAGGTGACACACAGAGAACAAGGTGACACACAGAGAACAAGGTGACACACAAAGAACAAGGTGACACACACAGAACAAGGTGACACACAGAGAACAAGGTGACACACAGAGAACAAGGTGACACACAGAGAACAAGGTGAGACAGAGAGAACAAGGTGACACACAGAGAACAAGGTGACACACACAGAGAACAAGGTGAGACACAGAGAACAAGGTGACACACAGAGAACAAGGTGACACACAGAGAACAAGGTGACACACAGAGAACAAGGTGACACACAGAGAACAAGGTGACACACAGAGAACAAGGTGACACACAGAGAACAAGGTGACACACAGAGAACAAGGTAACACACAGAGAACAAGGTGACACACAGAGAACAAGGTGTGACACAGAGAACAAGGTGACACACAGAGAACAAGGTGACACACAGAGAACAAGGTGACACAGAGAACAAGGTGACACACAGAGAACAAGGTGACACACAGAGAACAAGGTGACACACAGAGAACAAGGTGACACACAGAGAACAAGGTAGGGAGTGGGGGCAGGGGGCAGTGGGCAGGCAGCAGGGAGTTGGGAGCGGGAGCAGGGAGTGGGGGCAGGGAGTGGGGGCAGGGGGCAAGGAGTGGGGGCAGGGGGCAGGGAGTGGGGGCAGGGGGCAGGGAGTGGGGGCAGGGAGTGGGGGCAGGGGGCAGGGGGCAGGGAGCTGGGGGCAGGCCGTGCCTTGTATCCGAGGCCGTTGTGGTTGCGCGAGAAGGGGTAGAAGGCGCCCAGCTGCATCCAGCGCAGGCACAGCTCGTAGCTCGTGTCGTAGATGAAGCCGCAGATGTCAGCGCCGATCTGCTCCGCGTCACGGGGACGCGGCACCAGCGGTCAGCGCCGACGCGCTCCCAACTCCGCTGAGACGCGCGGGTTCCGAACGAGCGGCCCTGGACCTCCCGTAGGTCGACTCGGCCTCAACTGAGTACCTAGCGCGGCGCGTAGTAAAACATCGCCACCGGGGAGACAAAGGCGGCCGGGCGTGGTGCTGGCCGCCTCCACCCCGTCGCGTGTGCCGTGCCGGTGCTGCTGCTGCCGCTCGCTAACCGCACTTGTCCCAACAGTCTGTCGGAGGCTATCAGGGGGATCTTTGTCCTTGTGGTGTGATGAGCAGGGAACGGAGTTCAACTCAAACGAGACTAAAACTGATAATTGGTTCTTTACCCTTCTATCTGGCAACAAAACTGACACCTTTGTTGCCAGATAGAAGGGTAAAGAACCAATTATCATATTTTTACTGGCAAATGAGGGCCCCATAGTGGAGACTAAAACTATTTCTATTCTGGGATCTAAGGCCCCCACTGAGCTACGGAGCTGTTTGTCAGACGCGAGCTGAGCTATCACAAATTATAGCTCAGCGAAGTGGCTCAGCACCATCGTCATCATCACGTGGGAACTTACAGCAGCTGAAGATTCTAGACGCGTGACGCTGATTCTTAACGTGGAGGGGAAAAACGGAGGACCCGGAGAGAAGTGTCAGGGTCGGGATCGAACCCACGACCTCCTGTATAGCCGGCGAGGTAGTTAACATCTCTTAGCCACCGTGATGATGATGATGATGAGAGAGAAAGACACGCAAACTCCAAATATACAGCAGCAGGCGTCAGGGTCGGGATCGAACCCACGACCTCCTGCAGACCAGGCGAGGTAGTTAACATCTCCTAGCCACCGTGATGATGATGAGAGAGAGAAACGCACAAATTCCAAATATACAACAGCAGGCGTCAGGGTCGGGATTGAACCCTCGACCTCCCGCATACCGGTCGAGGAAGACAACATCACAGGCCCCGTGTGCTGTACTCGTAAAGAATTGACACGCTTTGTTCACGTGACAAACGTACTTATTGGCTGTGTCGGGTGGCGGAGGGTTTAACGACACACATTTACGCGACGCGACCTCTATTGTGGAGAGATCCTGTGTGTGGTGGTGGTGGGGCCGGCGGTGTAGGGGGGGGGGGGGGTGCAAGCTCACGTAGGGAATGCCGAAGATGTTGAACTCGAGCATGCCGATGATGGACATGTGCATGTCCCTCCAGAGCGAGAAGTTGTCCCCCAGCCAGTGGCCCGCCCAGCGGCCGCTGCCCACGAACGTGGAGCGGCTCAGCACGAAGGCGCGCTTGCCCGTTGCATTCTGGGAGGCGCTGGCACACGCCGGACGGACATCCCCGAGTCATCTTCTCGGTTCTTTCGGTGAAGTCGCGTAGAAGGGAAATAATTAAATAATAGAAATAAAACATTATGAAATACAATTCTCACGACGTTTCGGCCACAACGCAAGCAGCCGTCCTCAGGTGAAGAACAGGTCTGTCGGAAAGACAGTGTCTGAATGGGCACCACCAAGCTTGGCAGCGTATATTTAAGCTGGGTTGGAGGGGAAGGGCGCCTTGACAAAGGAATTTGCATATCAACAGATGATATTAGCATATTTATGGAAAATGCAGATATGGGATTAGTCACTACTTGTGGAATGCGTAGGAGGTGGGGGGGGAGAGTCTCAAAGTCATATTATGCCCGTGCATTATGTAGGATTAGCAGCATTAAAGGGAGGGAGTAGGGTTAGCAGTAATAATGGGAAGGAATTTTAATAGTAAGGAGCTGCAGCAGCTAAACCTGCATTTTCCATAAATATCCGAAATTCCGCTGTTGATATGCAAATTCCTTTGTCAAGGCGCCCTTCCTCCCCTAACCCAGCTTAAATATACGCTGCCAAGCTTGGTGGTGTTCATTCAGACGCTGTCTTCCCGACAGACCTGTTCTTCACCTGAGGACGGCTGCTTGCGTTGTGGCCGAAACGTCGTGAGAATTGTATTTTATTGTTTTATTTTTATTATTTTATTACTTCCCTTCTACGTGACTTTACCGAAAGAACCAAGAAGATGAATCCCTGCAGTCACGAAAGCTTAACATCGAAAATCCCCGAGTTAGCCAGACACCTGATCTACGTCTATAAAATGTCGACGTTTCGTGGCTAGGAGATGTTGACACACGGACATCCTGACGTTCGCGCGCCCGCCAGACAACTCAAATGTTTCGTGGCTAGGAGGTGTTGACTGCCTCGCCTGCCTTGCAGGAGGTCGTGGGTTCGTTCCCGACCCTGACAATGCCTGCTGCTGTTGTGTATTTGGAGTCTGCGTGTCTCTCTCCCCGTGGTCGCGTGGATTTTTTCGGTTTTTCCGTCCACGTGTAAACTCAACTTCACGCGTTTAGAGTAATTCAGCTGCTGCTATAAATGTCCACACGGCGATGACGACATCAGTCACTTTGTTGAGCTCTCGTTACTGATAGCCAGGTCGCCGCTGGAAAGGAGCTACATCGGTCAGTGTGTCTCACCTGGTCAAGTAAAAAAATAGTTTAGTGTATTCTTTGGGTCTTTCGGTAAAGCCACGTAGATAAATCAAGTAATAACATTTTTACAAATATAAAAAATCATAAAAAGTAGTTTAGTGTAGAATAATTTTGATCGATCGATCAAATGACCAAAATGTGGTTTTCTTTGAATGTATTTTTTACTTTAGTTTGGATTTGAATGTTAATAATAATACGACTGCTGCGATGGGAGTCGATTAGTATGCCGTGGAGTGGGAGGGTGTTCCTCATAAGCGGGGGATACCCTTGTGATTAGGAAGCCACTGGACTTTTAGATCATCCTCCAGATTGAAAACTCATTTCTTGAGAACTGCTGTTCGTGTTTAGTTTGTTGTCCTTCCCCCACACCTCGGATTGACGCGGTTGGCTACGTACGGTGTGAAAGAAGTCCAACACACACACACACGAGCGTACGTTGCCCGCCTGTAGGGGCTGTGCGTGAGACCGCTCATCTACCAGCGGGGGGCTCTCGTCATCGTTGTTGTTGTCTTCACACCTCACCTGGCTTCAATAAACACAATACACGTTGTTGTTGTTCACGGCGCCCCACCCCACCCCCGGCTCCCCCCCCGCCCCACCCCCCCACCCCCCCGGCCCACCCCCCCGGCCCACCCCCCCGCCCCCGGTTCCCCACCCCACCCACCCGTCCCCCCACCCCACCCCCGGCTCCCCACCCCCCCGCCCCACCCCCCCACCCCCCCGGCCCACCCCCCCGCCCCCGGCTCACTGGAAGGAGGGCTCGTGCTGCGCCCAGCCGAACAGCGAGTGGGTGTCGTAGTGAAGGCCCAGGTGCGTGCGCGCGTCCGGGCACAGCGTCTTCTCGGCCAGGTCGTCGCCAGAAATCCCTGCACACCCACAGCACGCACGCAGCACATCACACCCACATCACACCACGTGACACCCACATCACGTCACACCACACCACGTGACACATCACATCACACCCACATCACACCACATCACATCACACCAGATGACACATCACATCACACCCACATCACACCACATCAAATCACACCACGTGACACATCACACCACATCACATCACACCAGGTGACACATCACACCACATCACATCACACCACGTGACACATCACATCACACACCACATCACATCACACCAGGTGACACATCACATCACACACCACATCACACCACATCACACCAGGTGACACATCACACCACATCACACCACGTAACACATCACACACCACATTACACCACGTGACACATCACACACCACATGACATCACACCAGGTGACACATCACACCACATCACACCACGTGACACATCACACCACATCACACCACGTGACACGGCGTCCGTGGGGTGCTCTTACGCGGGTGGTATGGCGGCTTGTTGAGGAGGTTGTTGGCGCAGCCCGGCTCCTGTCCCGTGCCGAAGTTGGCCGGCTCGTTCATGTCCTGCCGCGTTGTTGTTGTTGTCGTCGTGGTTGTTGTTGTTGTTGTTGAGCAAAACGCCCCGGTGAGAGAGAAACACACAACGGGACCGTGACCAAAGGGGAACGTCAACGGGGAGTGGCGGTCGACGACCGATGGAAGAGAAACTTTATCCGATTCGCAAGGCGGCGACGGAGGCGATGCCAGTCTGCTCGTCGCGGCGTGCGCCACTGCGACCGACTGATTTGGGCTTTTCTCTGCCGAGGCGGAGGCGTACCGGCCAGGATCGTTGAAAAGCGAAAAAAAATCCCGGCAGTTTTCGACCACGATTCTTTGGAGCGAGCCGTGGATTGGTGAGTGAGTGAGTGAGTCGTGGTGAGTGAGTGAGAGTGCGATCTGTGGATCAGTGAGTGAGCGAGCGAGCCGTGGATTGGTGAGTGAGTCGTGGTGAGTGAGTGAGCCGTGGTGAGTGAGTGAGTGAGCTAGGTGAGCGAGCGAGCGAGCCGTGGACTGGTGAGCGAGTGCGCTACGCACGATCCAGATGCCGTCGTACTTGATGACGTCGCTGAACTCGACGCACATCTGCACCCACCAGGAGGCGGTGGCGGGGTTCGTGAAGTCGGGGAACACCGAGCCCCCCGGAGGCCACACCTGCGACGACACGCGCACCGCCGCCGCACGTCACGCAAGGACAAAGGTCCCCCATGTAGCCTTTCACAGGCTCTTGGGGCAAGTGTTGTTCGAAGTGCTGGAGCCTCCCGAGCCACCCCGGGGCTTGGCATGGCCCCGGCACGGTTCTAGGAGTGCCAGTGGAAAAACAACTACACCGGGGTTGGCACGGCCCCGGCACGGTTCAGGAGTGCCAGTGAAAAAACAACCACATTGGGGTTGGCACGGCCCTGGCACGGTTCAGGAGTGCCAGTGGAAAAACAACTACACCGGGGTTGGCACGGCCCCGGCACGGTTCAGGAGTGCCAGTGAAAAACAACCACACTGGGGTTGGCACAGCCCTGGCACGGTTCAGCAGTGCCAGTGGAAACAACAACCACATTAAGGGTGGCACGGCCCTAGCACGGTTCAGGAGTGCCAGTGGAAACCACAACCCGGCACCTCCAGAGCCACACCGTGGCTTGGCACGGCCCTGGCACGGTTATGGTTGTGCCAGTGGCAAAGGAGGCACTGCGAGGGTGGGAGTATGGGGTGGGAGTATGGGGTGGGAGTATGGGGTGGGAGTATGGGGTGGGAGTATGGGGTGGGAGTATGGGGTGGGAGTATGGGGTGGGAGTATGGGGTGGGAGTATGGGGTGGGAGTATGGGGTGGGAGTATGGGGTGGGAGTATGGGGTGGGAGTATGGGGTGGGAGTATGGGGTGGGAGTATGGGGTGGGAGTATGGGGTGGGAGTATGGGGTGGGAGTATGGGGTGGGAGTATGGGGTGGGAGTATGGGGTGGGAGTATGGGGTGGGAGTATGGGGTGGGAGTATGGGGTGGGAGTATGGGGTGGGAGTATGGGGTGGGAGTATGGGGTGGGAGTATGGGGTGGGAGTATGGGGTGGGAGTATGGGGTGGGAGTATGGGGTGGGAGTATGGGGTGGGAGTATGGGGTGGGAGTATGGGGTGGGAGTATGGGGTGGGAGTATGGGGTGGGAGTATGGGGTGGGAGTATGGGGTGGGAGTATGGGGTGGGAGTATGGGGTGGGTGGCGCTTGGGGGTGGCTGCTGGCACCTTGCCCACGGCCGGCGATCCGTCCGAGTTCTTGATCCAGATGTCCATCTGCTGGCCCAGCTCGTAGGGCCGGTAGGAGCCGGGCGGCTCATCCTTGGTGATGCACGGGTCCTGGCGCGGGGCACAGCGCACACATCGCGACGCTTGTTCGTTTGTTTATTATTTGGACTGCAAAGGAAGGAGGAATCCGATGAGCTATGAAGCTCTTTTAGTCCAGTCGGGGCGCGGAGTCCGAACGTTACAACGGTGGATGACGCAAAACCACGAGTGGAGCGGAAATTATAGGAAAGGTAAATAAATCGCTTAAAAATATACAAATAGGTATTAACTTGTATTCTTGGTTCTTTCTGTAAAGTCACGTAGATAGAAAACTAAATGAAATAATAAAAATAAAATACAAATAATAAATTGAAAATAATAAAAGCAAAAACCACACACTAAACATTTAAGAAAAATTGTAAAATAAAATTTTTATTTAAAAATTTACTTACTTTTCAGAAGCGACCTGGACATCACAAATGATAGCTCAACAAAGTGGCCCATCATCATCATCGTCGCGTGGAAATGTACAGCAGCAGGCAAAATCATCTCAACGCGTGACGTTGATTCTGAAAGCGGAGGGGAAAACCGGAGGACCCGGAGGAGAAAAAAAATCCACGCGACCACGGGGAGAGGGAGAGACACGAAAACTCCAAATACACAGCAGCAGCAGCAGGCATCGTCAGGGTCGCGACCGAGTCCACGACCTCCTGCAGACCGGGCGAGAAAGACAACATCGCACCAGCGTGGTGCCCCTTAAATAAATAAACAAAGCACGCGTCACTTGAGATTGCGTCATCGATCCCCAAGCGCATCGCCAGAGTCACCTCGGAGTCACGGGAGATGGTCGCGACTTGTCAAATTGCCGGTCGCGTTTATGGGGGGAGGGAAGGAGGGAAGGGTTGGTGGGGGGGGGCAGAGGGGGGGGGGGGGGCACGTCTCACCAGGATGATGACGTAGTGCATGCCGGCGTCGCGCAGTGACTGCACGTACTGGGGCAGTCCCGCGTAGCTGGCGGTGTCGTACGTGAAGTCGAGCTGGCGATCCATGTAGTCGATGTCGCCGTACTGCACGTCCTGCAAGAGGGAGGGGGGGGGCAGAAGGCGGCCAGGGTCGACGTCCCCCCACACCCCCCACCACCCTCACCACCCCCCACCTCACACCCCCCACCACCCCCATCCCCCCTCACCACCCCCCTCCCCACCCCCCCTCTCCTCCCCCCAGAAACTCGCTGGAGCCGAGCGATCGCCCCCCCCCCCCCCGGGGAGACCGAAAGTTTAGAAATCCGTAAAAGTAGAAAAAGCAGACAAATCGAATTCCTCGACAAAAAAATAAATCGGCGCTCTCGCTCAACGAGATTTCGTTTTTTGTTGTGGGGGTCGTGGGAGGTCGTGGGGGGTCGTGGAAGGTTGTGGGAGGTCGTTTGTGGTGGTGGGGGTTGTGGGTGGTGGTGGTGTGTGGTGGTGGGGGTCGTGTGTGGTGGTGGGTGTGGTGGTGGTGAGTGGTGGTGGTGAATGGTGGTGGGGGTGGGGGTGTGGTGGTGGTGAGTGGTGGTGGTGGTGAGTGGTGGTGGTGGGTGGTGTGTGTGGTGGTGTGTGTGGTGGTGGTGGTTAGTGGTGTGGTGGTGGGTGGTGGTGGATGCTGCAGGCTACGTGCGGGATGTCGTGTTGGCTGAGTCTGTCCACGTGTGTGGTGGTGGTGGTGAGTGGTGGTGGGGGGTGGTGGTGTGTGTGGTGGTGGTGGGTGGTGGTGAGTGGTGTGTGGTGGTGGTGGTGGGTGCTGCAGGCTACGTGCGGGATGTCGTGTTGGCTGAGTCTGTCTACGTGTGTGGTGGTGGTGGTATGGTGGTGAGTGGTGGTGGTGGTGGATGTGGTGGTGTGGTGGTGGTGGTGTGTGTGGTGGTGAGTGGTGGATGCTGCAGGCTACGTGCGGGATGTCGTGTTGGCTGAGTCTGTCCACGTGTGTGGTGGTGAGTGGTGGTGGTGGTGTGGTGGTGAGTGGTGTGTGGTGGTGGTGGTGGGTGCTGCAGGCTACGTGCGGGATGTCGTGTTGGCTGAGTCTGTCCACGTGTGTGGTGGTGAGTGGTGGTGTGTGTGGTGAGTGGTGGTGTGTGGTGAGTGGTGGGTGCTGCAGGCTACGTGCGGGATGTCGTGCTGGCTGAGTCTGTCCACGGCGGCCTTGACGGCCCCCAGGCTGCCGTAGCCCCAGCGCGACAGCTGGAAGCCCAGCGACCAGTAGGGCGGCAGGAACGGGCGGCCCACCGCCTGCAGACGGGTGACGTCACAACGACAACAACAACAACATGAGACAACAACAACATGAGACAACAACAACACGGACACCACCACCACCACGATGACCACCACCCACAGCGTGCCAACAGCGAGACTGGTGTGACAATGACAACAACGACGACAACACAACGCAACATAACGATGAGCACCACAGACGAAGATCCCCCATGTAGCCTCAACAGCCTGGTGGGCCAAGTGCTGTTGGCGAGCGCTGCGCCACCCTGCCGGCAAAAGAGCGGTGGGATGGGTTCAGCCAGACGATGCGGAGTTGACGCGCTGTTCGTGGTGGAGGTGGTGGTCGTGGTGGTCGTGGTGGTTATGGTCGTGGTGGTGGTGGTCGTGGTGGTCGTGGTGGTTGTGGTCGTGGTGGTGGTGGTCGTGGTGGAGGTGGTGGTCGTGGTGGTGGTGGTCGTGGTGGTTGGTGATCGTGGTGGTCGTGGTGGTGGTCGTGGTGGTTGTGGTGGTTGTGGTCGTAGTGGCAGTGGTGGTGGTCGTGGTGAAGGTTGCGGTGGTGGTCGTGATGATGGTAGCGGTGGTTGTAGTTGTGCTGGTGGTGGTGACAGTAGTAGTGGCGTTAGCAGTGGTCGTGGTGGTCGTAGCATTTATTGTGGTGGTGGTCGTGGTGGTGGTGGCGGTGGCGGTGGTGGTGGCCGTGGTGGTGGTGGCGGTGGTGGTGGTGGCGGTGGTGGTGGCCGTGGTGGTGGTTGTTGTGGAGGTGGTGGTGGTTGTGGAGGTGGTGGTGGTGGAGGTGGCGGTGGTCACCTCGGTGTACTGCTGCACGACGCTCTCGGGCGTGGGTCCCAGGAAGAAGTAGAAGTCGAGGACTCCGCCGATGGTGCGGTACGTGAGGGCCGGACCCGGCGCCAGCGTCACATCTGCGGCCACCGACACCACCGACACCGACCCGCACGGGCTGTGAGGACGGCCCCGTGGTGCCGGCTCCGCGGTGGGGCAACTGGGCCACTGGCCAGCGCGTGCCCAGCGGACGTGTGGCTTGGCGACGTTGGGTCAACGTCGCGCGTTTATCGGATACGGGGCGGTTCAATTGCGGGAACGTGAGAACGCAGCCACACACACCGATAACATGAAAAAAAATGTAAAAACAAGTCGTGAACAGCCGTGAATAGAGCCCCTGGCTCTCGGTCTTCGTGTGGCTCTTGGTCTTCCTCTCACCCTGCGCGTTGGAGTTGAGCAGCAGCACCCCGTGGGCCGTGAAGTCGGAGCCCACGCCCAGGTAGAAGTTGTGCACCCCGTACAGGTTGCCTGCGGGCTGCACACAGAGACACAGAGACACAGAGACACATAGAGACACAGAGACACACATAGAGAGACACAGAGAGACAGAGACACACAGAGACACAGAGACACACAGAGAGAGACACAGAGACACACATAGAGAGACAGAGAGACAGAGATACACAGAGACACACAGAGAGAGACACAGAGACACACATAGAGAGACACAGAGACACACATAGAGAGACACAGAGAGACAGAGACACACAGAGACACAGAGACACACAGAGAGAGACACAGAGACACACATAGAGAGACAGAGAGACAGAGACACACAGAGACACACAGAGAGAGACACAGAGACACACATAGAGAGACAGAGCCACTCAGAAAGACACACAGAGACACAGAGACACACATAGAGACACACAGACACATAGAGAGAGACACAGAGACACACAGAGAGAGACACAGAGACACACATAGAGAGACAGAGAGACAGAGACACACAGAGACACACAGAGAGAGACACAGAGACACACATAGAGAGACAGAGAGACAGAGACACACAGAGACACAGAGACACACAGAGAGACACACAGACACATAGAGAGAGACACAGAGAGACACACAGAGAGACACAGAGACACACAGAGATACAGAGAGAGAGAGAGAGAGACACACAGAGACACACAGAGCCACATAGAGACACAGAGACACAGAGAGAGACACACACAGAGATACACAGAGAGACACACACAGAGAGACACACAGAGAGACACACAGAGACACAGAGACACACAGAGACACAGAGACACACAGAGAGAGACACAGAGACACAGAGAGAGACACACAGAGACACAGAGAGACACAGAGAGAGACACACAGAGAGAGACAAAGAGACACAGAGACACACAGAGACACACAGAGACACACAGAGACACAGAGAGAGGTGGAGGTGTTCGTCGCCGATCGTTGTCCGTGAGCTGCTGGATCGCGCTCGCGTCCCCCTGCAACCCCTCGGTCCTCTGCGCGCCCCCCCTGCGCCCCACCGACCCCCCCCTCCCACTCGTCCGCGGCCCCCCTCACCGTGGGCGACTGGTCGCGTGCGTACATCCCGTGGCTGACGAAGTGGTCGTGGTGGCGGTAGGCGGGGTGCTCGTGCTCGCCGAAGCCGTAGACGGAGGAGCCCGCCCCGAGGCGCGTGGCGAGCTGCAGGAACTGCTGCGAGAAGGTGAGGCCCCCCAGGGAGGTGTCCCACCTGGCACACACCACCACCACCACCACCACCACACAACCACAACCACCACAGAGATCGTCACCACCACCACCACACAGAGATCGTCACCACCACCACACACAGAGATCGTCACCACCACACAGACATCGTCACCACCACCACACAACCACCACCACACAGAAGGTGAGGCCCCCCAGGGAGGTGTCCCACCTGGCACACACCACCACCACCACACACAGAGATCGTCACCACCACACAGAGATCGTCACCACCACCACACAACCACCACCACACAGAAGGTGAGCCCCCCCAGGGAGGTGTCCCACCTGGTACACCACACCACCATCACCACCAACACCACCACCACCACCACCACCACCACAGAGATTGTCACCACCACCAACACCACACAGAGATCGTCACCACCACCACACAACCACCACCACACAGATATCGTCACCACCACCACCACACAGAGATCGTCACCACCACCACCACAACCACCACCACACAGAGATCGTCACCACCACCACCGCCACCACACAAAGATCGTCACCACCACCACACAGAGATCATCACCACCACCACCACCACCACCACACAGAGATCGTCACCACCACCACCACACAAAGATCGTCACCACCACCACCACCACAACCACCACCACACAGAGATCATCACCACCACCACCACACAGAGATCGTCACCACCACCACCACCACACAAAGATCGTCACCCACCGCCACCGCCTTCGCAGTAGTGGTCGGGGCTTTTCGCGACCGATGTAATCCACAATGAAGGTGGGGGGGGGGGGTGTTTGGCCATTCCGAATACAGCGGCCACGGCTACAGCAGCTTCACTCGCCATCCACGGCGGGTGTTAGCACCCCCCACCACACCGCACCACACAGAACCACACAGAACCACACCGCACCACACCACACCGCACCACATCACACCACACCACCACCACACCACCCCACACCACCCCACACCACACCACCACCACACCACCCCACACCACCCCACACCACCCCACCCCACCACCACACCACCCCACACAACACCACCCCACACCACCCCACCCCACCACCACACCACCCCACACCACCCCACCCCACCCCACACCACACCCCACCACACCGCACCACATCACACCGCACCCCACCACACCGCACCACACCCACATCACACCGCACCACCCCACACCACACCACCCCACACCACACCCGCACCACACCACACCACCCCACACCCCACCACATCACATTACCCCACACCACCCCACACTGCACCGCACCGACTCACACCACCCCACACCACTCCACACCCCACCACACCACCCCACACCACACCACACCACACCACCCCACCACCACACCACCCCACACCACCCCACACCACCCCACGCCACCCCACCCCACCACCACACCACCCCACACAACACCACCCCACACCACCCCACCACCACACCACCCCACACAACACCACCCCACACCACCCCACCACCACCACCCCACCCCACCCCACACCCCACCACGACGCACCGCACCGACTCACAGGGCCTCCCCGCTGCTCCTGCGCAGCACCTTGAAGTGGAAGAAGGGCGCGCTCTCGAAGCGCACCTCGTACTGCGGCCCCGCGGCCGCCGTGTCGGGCGACGGCACCTGCAGCGGCACCTCGAAGCGAGCCTGGCTGGGGTCAAACACCTGCGGCGAGGTCATAGGGGGGGGTCACGCGAGGTCAAGGTCACGGCCCGGCGCCACGCGGCCACGCGCGGTCGAGGGAGAGGTCACCGCGGTCTCAAACTCAACGGCGTCGCCGTCTGACCGCCGGTGGAGATGTTGACTACCTCGCCTGGTACACAGGAGGTCGTGAGTTCAATCTCGGTCATCATCACTATCGCGGTGGCTAGGAGATGTTAACTACCTCGCCTGGTGTACAGGAGGTCGTGGGGTCGATCCCGACCCTGACGCCTGCTGCTGCTGTATATTTGGAGTTTCCGAGTCTCACTCTCTCCCTGTGGTCGCGTGGATTTTATCTCCGGGTCCTCCGGGTTTTTTTCCCCTCCACATTTAGAATCAACATCGCCACGCGTTTAGAGTCATTAGGCTGCTGCTGTGATGATGATGAAGAGAAGCCAATTCGTTGAGCTATCGATTGTGACGGCCAGAGCTGCCTGGCTCAGTGGGGCCTCACACTTGGTAGAATAAAAAAACACAATAGTGGAGTTTGTACTTTACTCGCGGGAGGGGGTGGGGGCGGGCTGCGGCATGGATACCGTGCAAGAGGACAAACGCAACAGTTGAACGTCGACGGAGAACGACAAAGGATTAGTTTTTCTTGTCGAGTTAGATCGCCTGAATATAAAGATTTGAGCATTGTGACATTTCGCTGGGGATTACAACAATCAGCTTCGTCGGGCGATTTGCCAGAATTCTGGCCAGAACTTTGTAAAACCGCCTGATGAAGCTGGTTGCAATCACCAGCGAAACGTCGCGAACGATATCGATATTGTGTTTTGCCGACCATCGCTCGATCGTCGCTCGATCGTCGCTCGATCGTCGCTCGATCGTCGCTCGATCGTCGCTAGAACGCGTGACAGACAACCACAGGTCGTAAGGTCGCTCGCCCAGTCGAGCGCCCATCGTTAATTTAGAGTTTCACACTCGCGGTGTCGCACCACTCCACCTACCCCCCCTCCCCCCACCTCCACCCCCCCGCCCCCCACCTCCACCCCCCTCCCCTGACCTCCACCCACCCCGCCCCCCACCTGACAGGCGAGTTGGCGCTGCGAGGCGTCTCACCTTGATGCGCAGGCGGTCCGCCGTGTGGAACTCGGCCTCGAGCGCAATGATCTCCACGTCGGCCCCGAACAGGCTGCTGCTGTGCAGCTTCTGCAGGTCCACCCTGGGGGCACCGGGGGGGGGGGGGGGCGGTCAAGACACCGGAGACAAAGACAAAGATCCCCCGGGTAGCCTTCACCAGACTGTTGGGCCAAGTGCTGTTCGCGAACAGCAGCGGCGCCTATGAAGGCCGGCACGGCACACGAGTGAGTGGGTGGCCAGCACCGCGCCCGGTCGCCTTTGTCTTCCACGGGGGCGATGTTGTTTACACATCGCACCAGCTGCTAAATTGGGACTGAGTCGACCTTGGGGAGACCCAGGACCGGTGCAGATAATCGTCACTGATGTTGGCCGTGAGCGGGGATCGAACCCGGGTCGCCAGGTTTGTAGCGCAGTCCGCTAACCACCAACAACAACAACAACCGCCATTCGCCACTAAGTGGCGGCGACGTCACCACGGCGCTCGTGCCAGGCTTGGTGCACTTTAAGGGCCACGAGAAGTGTCGAACGCCCGCTGGCAGGAGGCCACGGGACAGGCCCAGTAGGTGCCATGCGTTGGCTTACTGAGATGACACAGCCACAAGCGCCGTAACTTTGGGAACTTTCCGACACGGAAAGTAACGACGCCAAAAGTTAAAACGCCCAGCCAGACGGTCGGTGGTCGCCAGTCGGTCGGTCAGTCGGTCAGTCAGTCAGTCGGTCAGTCGGTCAGTCAGTCAGTCGGTCAGTCAGTCAGTCGGTCAGTCGGTCAGTCGGTCGGTGAGCCCCCCACGCACCTCCAGCCCTTGGCCGTCTTCTGCGGGGCCCCCCGCATGGCGTAGCCGTAGGAACCGTCCCTGGGGATGAAGCACCACGGGGCGCCGGCGGCGCTCGCCGGGCACCAGCGGCAGCCGCGGGCGCGGCACGCGGCCTCCGTGGCGCCCTTCTCGGGGTGGCAGTCCACGCGCTCCGCGTCCTCCACCAGCTGGTCTACAAAGACAAAGATACCCCCCCCCCCCGGAGGGGCAAGGGCCGTTAGCGAGGGGCACTGCCAATGAAGGCCGGATCGGCACACGAGGGGGTGGGTGGCCAACACCACGCCCGACCGCCTTTGTCTCCCCGGTGGCGATGTTTACACATCGCACCCCGGTATTCATTTGAGGCTGAGTCGACCTGGGGGAGGCCCAGGACCGGTTCACCTAATGGTCACGGGTGTTGGTGGCCGTGAGCGGGATCGAACTTGGAGCGCGCTAACTACTGCACTTCTGCTCCCCACAACAACAACAACCACCATTCGCCACTAAGTGGCGGCGACGTCACCACGGCGCTCGTGCCAGGCTAGGTGCACTTGAAGGTCACGTGAAGTTGCTCCCCGGGGCTCGCCCCGCGTCCTTTCTGCAAACGTTGCCCACCGCCGTTGCTGCAATTCCGACAGGAAATGACATCACACCCGGCGCAGGAGCGCCCTTTGTGACGTCATTGGAGTTGACACTTTTGATTGGAGTGGGGGCGGGGCTCTGTGTTGGCTTCTCGCGCCGGAAGATCCTCGGCGCAGCGTCTGGGCGCGAGGCGCCACGTGCCCACTCCCCATGGCCGACGTCTCGCGCGACGCTCAACGGCTGCACGCGGCGGTTGTCCGCGTCGGGTGGTGGAGGGCATTCACGACCGCAGGTGTGGCCCCCGGTAATCACGTGATCTGACCGCCCTCCCCGCCCGAAATAAAATCAAGAACTAAAAATAAAGAGATGGGAGATTTGAGGAGTGGGTTTTTCTATGGAGCTGCTTGGTGTTGAGTTTGTTGTCCTTTCCCCCGCCCCCCCCCCCCCCCCCCGATTAGCGCGGTTGGCTACGTACGGTGCGAAAGAAGTTCAACATACTTATACTCCACTATACACTACAACACTACACTATACACTACATACCACGCTATACACTGCACTACACCACGATACACTACGAAATTGGAGACTAATTTCTGTAGAACTACTTTGTGCGTGTTAACGAGTGCGCCCAAGCCAGAGACGTCGTAAGTCTCGGCGGTTTTAAATATCGAGTCGCCGAGACGAGGAGAATGACTCCGTAGAGATCCACACACGAACCTCGACTCAGATTCCACAGATTGTCATCAACGAGACCAGGGTGGGGAACCTTTTATCTGCCAAGGGCCATTTGGATATTTATCTAACATCATTCGCGGGCCATACGAAATTATCAATTTAAAAATTAGCCCGTTATATTTGGTCAAACATTTAATTAACTCGCCCCTAATGCGATGGCTGGAACTGCTTCTCTTTGGCGAGGCGTGTGATGTTAGCTGGTATTGATGATGTTGCTACTCGCAACTGCTTTTCCAGGTTTGCTCCTAGAGATTTATTGAATTTCGAGTCTCGCCTGCGGTTGCCTTAGCAGGGCCACGCCCGTGGGCCGGACGTTCCCCAGCCCTGATCGAGACTTTGACCGATAACAAAACTAAAAGTTTCCTCTCGCTTTACTTTCTAACGCAAAGTCGAGGCTGGTTTGCTCCTGCGGGGCTCAGCAGCGTGACGGAGTGACCGTGGTCCCTCGGGAGGCGCTCCCCACTTTCAAACCTGTCCAATCAGTGGGCGCCTATGCACGTGTGATGGAGGAAATCACGCGCGCGAGGGGGAAGCACTCTATCCCGCACAGACGGAACAGATGGAGTTTAGTGCACATCTCTGCTGTGCCGCCTTCTCCTGGCAGAGCCGGGGGGTGCGGCTCCTCCTCGAGGGCAGCGAGAGTCGCAACATCAGCGGTGCGCGCGTGATCCACCAATCCCTCGCTGCTGCTGCTGCTGCCTCTGCAGTGCTGGATAACAGACTGCCACGTGCAGCGTAGCCACCACCACCACCACCTCGCTTGCATTTAGTGTTGACATCTCTGCACCAATGTATGCTCTTGTGCAAGTTGCACGTCTTTAGTTTGTGTTTCGTGACTGTTAAACCTTTTCTCTGTGTCGCACTCCTAATTGGATTGTTTGCTGTTGGTAACTTGCTGACTCGCGCCCTTACCGGACATCTGGTCAAAACAAGAAAAAGAAAAAGAGCTTCATAGCTCATCGGATTTACTCCCTCTCCACATCCTCCCGCCCGCCTCGCCCCTCCCCAACAAAAATGAGAGGGGGGGGCGGAAATTCAAATAACACCACCACCACCAACAACAACATCACCACCAACACCACCACCAACAACAACACCACCACCAACAACAACACCAACACCACCAACACCAACATCACCACCACCACCAATAACAACAACAATTTTTTTTAAAAACGCCTCTCGCGCGCGTGCCCCCACCCACCGCTGCCGCAGGTGTCGCCGGGCGCGTGGAAGCACCACGGCACCCCCGGGGCGGCCACCACCGCCCAGCAGCAGCCGCGGGCGAGGCAGGAGCCCTCCGCGGCTCCTTCCTCGGGGTGGCAGTCGCTCTTGGCGGCGTCGGACACGGCGCCGCAGCCGGCGGCTCCCGCCGAGTCGCTGCGGAAGCACCACGGGGCGCTCGGCGCGGCGGCGCTCGCCGGGCACCAGCGGCAGCCGCGCGCGGCGCACGACTCGGGGCTGGCGCCCGGCTCCGGGTGGCAGTCCTCGCGGCGGTCCTCGGGGACGCCGCCGTCGCAGCTCTGCGCCCACGCTCCCCGCTGCCCCTGCAGCTGCAGCAGCAGCAGGGGCAGCAGCAGCGTGGCTCGTGTGGCGTGAGGGCGCATGGCTGCGTGAGTGGCAGGCGACTTGGGCGGCTGGCGGCTCTCGCGAGGCTTTATGTGGGTGGCGGCGCGCGCGAGGATGGGAATTGTCGCAGCTGAGACGGGGAGTCGACTCTTGACGTGTGACTGATAGCCCTCGGGTGCACGCGCGGGTGTGGAGCTTCGTTCGCACCGTACGTGGCCAGCCGTGATAATCTGTGGGTCTCTGTGGGTCTGAGTGTCTGTGGGTCTCTGTGGGTCTGAGTGTCTGTGGGTGTCTGTGGGTCTGAGTGTCTGTGGGTCTTTGTGGGTCTGAGTGTCTGTGGGTCTTTGTGGGTCTGAGTGTCTGTGGGTCTCTGTGGATCTGAGTGTCTGTAGGTCTCTGCGGGTCTGAGTGTCTGTGGGTCTCTGTGGGTCTGAGTGTCTGTGGGTCTCTGTGGATCTGAGTGTCTGTAGGTCTCTGTGGGTCTGAGTGTCTGTGGGTCTCTGTGGTTTTATGTTGAACTTCTTTCGCACCGCACGTACCCATCCGTGCTAATCGGAGGTGCGTGCCTCGCTCGTCTTGTTTTCCCCGCGGCACGCGCGCCAGTTGTTGTTATTCATTGACTCGTTTATTTATTAACTTCAGCGAAGAGGTGATGGCCGATGTCAGCCAAAGGAATGGAACGAGTCCCACAGAGATCTGACGCCCCCCGGCCCCCCCGCTTGGGGAGGCTTTCATCCAGCAGTGGATTGATCATGGCCAGATGGAAAATTCATTTATTTCGCACTGCATCTTGTGCTCGGGGTTGTTGTCCTCCCGCCCCGCGAGCCTCCGATGAGCAGGGTCGGCTACGTACGGTGCGAAAGAAGTTCAACATACCAACAAATAACTCCAAACGCGTGGCGATGTTGATTCTAGATGTGGAGGGAAAAAAACCCGGAGGACCGGGAGAAGAAAATCCACGCGACCACCAGGAGAGAGAGAGAGACACGCAAACTCCAAATATACAGCAGCAGGCGTCAGGGTCGGGATCGAACCCACGGCCTCCTGTATACCAGGCGAGGTAGTTAACATCTCCTAGCCACCGTGATGATGATGATGATGAGAGAGAGACACGCAAACTCCAAATACACAGCAGCAGGCGTCAGGGTCGGGAATCGACCCCACGGCCTCCTGTATACCAGGCGAGGTAGTTAACATCTCATAGCCACCGTGATGATGACAAAGACGCAAACTCCAAATACACATCAGCAGGAGTCAAGGTCGGGATCGACCCCACGACCTCCTGTAGACCAGGCGAGGTAGTTAACATCTCATAGCCACCGTGATGATGAGAGAGACGCAAACTCCAAATATACCTCAGCAGGGGTGAAGGTCGGGATCGACCCCACGACCTTCTGTAGACCAGGCGAGGTCGTTAACATCTCCTGGCCGCCGTGGTTCACAACAAGCGGCGCAAGGCAGCTGCTGACCGTTCCCAGGACCTTGGGCCTGTGTGCCGCGAGCAAACATCCTGGCAGCCCTTGCCCGACGCGGCAAGGACACGCAACTCAGAGCCGTCGTCAGCTGCGCGTCGGTTCCCTTCGGGCACGCCGCGAGTGCTGTGACGGCCTTCGGCGGTGCTCGATAACAGCACTTGCCCCTACAGTCCGTTAAGGCTATACGGGGGATATTTGTGTGTGTATATTTGTATGCGTGTGTGTGTATGTTTGTATGTACCATCGGGCACTCCACCCCCAAAACTCCCAATCGGTGATAGGGCAGTTGTGGAGAGAGTGGAGAGTTTCCCATACCTGGGCAGTGTGCTCATGACCGGCTCCGGTTTAACAGCAGAGGTCTCACTCCGATTCAGTCGAGCGCCAATATATTTTCATCGGTTGCGTAACGCTGTGTGGAAGCTACCTGGTCTGTCGCTCCGCACGAAGCTTCGGGTCTTCTCAGCCACAGTCATTCCCTACCTTCTCTACGCTTGCGAAACGTGGATCACCCTAATGGAACATCTCCGCCAGTTAGAAACATTTAGGCTGGCCTGCCTACGATCAATCCTGGGTTTAACCAGGCTGGATTGTGTGAGGAACTCACAAATCCTCGAAAGATCTGTACAAAGTCCCATCGGTGAGCTCCTCCGGCAGGCAAGGCTGCGTTGGCTGGGTCATGCAGCCCGCATGCCCAGCCACCGCATGCCTAAACAGCTTTTGTTCGGCCGGATGGAGGGGGCTAAACGGGCGCGGCACGGGCTAGAGAAGAGATGGAGTGACGTGGTACAGGAGGACGTGGAGCTGAGTGGACTTGCCGATGACTGGTACCAGCGGTGTCAAGATCAGCCTCTGTGGAGGAGGCTCGTGAAGGACGCTACTGGGCAGTTGGAGGCAGTCGCCCTCCAACAACAACGGAGGGCGGAGGAGCGACGCTCACAACAACGAGCGGAGCGCCGGGTGGCTAAAGCACAGCAAGTTGGCACAGTAGGGGGCACAGGTGGTGCATCAGCCAGTCATCTCGGTCATCTCAGTCAGTCGACCTGTGGCACCTGGGTCTGCCCCGTGACCTTCTGCCAGCGGGCGTTCGACACTTCACGTGGCATCAAGGTGCACATTGCCTGGCACAAGCGTCGCGGTGACGTCACCGCCACTTAGTGGCGAATGGCGGTTGTTGTTGTATGTATGTGGGTGTATGTTTGTATGTATGTGTGTGTATGTTTGTATGTATGTATGCGTGTGTGTATGTTTGTATGCGTGTGTGTATATTTGTATGTGTGTATGTTTGTACGTGTGTATGTGTGTTTGTATGTGTGGGTATGTTTTATATGTAATGTTTTGTTTACGTGACAAACCTTACTAATTGTCTGTGTCGGGTGGTGGCGGGTTTAACGACACATTTATACATGTTCGCGATCTAACCCAACAAAGCCACATTATGGATGATATTGGTCGTGAAAGCCTCCGACTCCGTGTTATATAATGGAGCTTACGATGCGGTGACACCGAATGGGAATCTTATCTTGTAGATGTATACAGCCCCTTCATCCACGGCGCTTTACGTGGATGTTGACCGGTACAATGAGGGCAGCTTCAGGTGAATAGGGATGGGGCCATGTGTAGGGAGGTTTAGTGGGTAGGGGAATTACTGGGGGTGGGTACTTAGGGATGGAGGGAGGGATGGGCCAGGGACAGTGCCGGATTGTAATCTGTGTGCTTCTCGGATAATTGTCCAAGTAGCACAAATAGCACAAGTAGCTACACGTGTAGTAGTAGCTACACGTGTGTAGTAGCTACACGTGTGTAGTAGCTACACGTGTGTAGTAGTAGCTACACGTGTGTAGTAGCTACACGTGTGGCTCCAAGGCGATAGCGCGGCTCTTAGGGGATCACGGACATGGCTGGAGGGGAGTGACGGGGAAGCAAGGAGGGGGGGATCAGTTCCGTCCGTCGGAGGCGGCCTTGCAGTGAATTGTTTTGTTTTGTGCCACCAGATGGCGCCAAACACCGGCCTCAGCTCGTGACGCCGGGCTCAGAGTCCATCCCGGACTGCGAAATACCCAGCCGCGTTTTCACAAATGCCGGTGGCCAACTTGAACCTGCTGCATTTAGATATTACAACAGCAACAACATTAGTTGATTGGTGATGCTACTGCGTTGGCAGTGATGCACAAGCACAATTAACAGCAAAGAGCACAAATAACAACATAGATCCTTAGCATGGCCCTTCTTCATAGCACATACATTTTTAAACTAGTTTTTTAAAAATGTTACTCGGTAAGGCCCTCTGAGCTGTGTAAAGCTCTTTTTTCTCGGGAAGCTAACATGGCTATCACAAATGACAGCTCAACCACGTGGCTTATCATCATCGTCGTGTGGAAATTTACACTCCAAACGCGTGGTGATGTCGATTCTTAACGTGGAAGGAAAAACCGGAGGACCCGGAGAAAAAATGCACGCGACCACGGGGAGAGAGAGAAAGAGACGCACAAACTCCAAATATACAGCAGCAGCAGGCGTCAGGGTCGGGATCGAACCCACGATCTCCTGCACACCAGGCCGTTACGTGAAACGTTGACTATTATAGATACTGTAGTTCCTGTTAAGGCCACAGTGTTCGTGACGGATGTGTAGAGGGTTTTCATTTTTCACAACTCGATCAATTGAATGACTTCCCGAACCCCATCGGCCACGCTCCGCTGGCTCCGTGTGTCCAGGAGACGGCCTTGGAAGATGACGTCGCAGACCCACTGGATTAGGAGTCACTTGAATCGGAGTCACTTCAACAGGAGCCACTTCAACAGGATCCACTACAATAGGAGCCACTTCAATAGGGCTCACACTCAAGACTCATTTCAGCTGCCAAGGCCCCACTGAGTCAGTAGGGGGTCAGAACGTTACCACAAGAAACGATGCAAAAACACGATCGGAGTGCCAAGTATGGGAAAGGTAAGAAAATCATTAAAACATACGCATCAATAAACTTAAAACATATTTTTTCTTTTTCGAGTTAAAGCTTTCGTGACTGCAGGGATTCATCTTCTTGGTTCTTTTGGTAAAGTCACGTAGAAGGGGAGTAATAAAATAATAAAAATAAAACATAATAAAATAATATATTTTTATTTGTATTATTGTATTACTTCCCTTCTACGTGACTTTACCGAAAGAACCAAGAAGATATTTTTTCTTATTTTATCAGGTAAGGCCCACTGAGCTATGGAGCTCTTTTTCAAAAGCGACCTGGCAATCACAAATGACAAGTCAACGGCGAGTGGCTTATCGCGTGGACATTCATAGCAGCAGCCAAATACTGCGAATAATCTCGACCAAGGACACAACTGTAGAACACAGCACACGTAGTGTCTCGTGTGTGTGGGGAGACAAAGACGGCCGGGCGTGGTGCTGCCCGCCCACCCCTTCGTGTGCCATCGTGCCGGCCTTTATACGCGCTGCAACTCGCTAACAGCACTTGCCCCAACAGCCTGTCCAGGCTATACGGGGGCATCTTTGTATTTTGACACATTTGTACGTATGCCCACGTGCGTGTGTGTGTGTACATATATATTTGTGTACTTTGTGTGATTTTGCCATTACATTTTATG